ATATATCAGCCTTTATCTCTAGTAAAATGTCCAATTGTAGACAAAGATTCCCATTCCCATTTTCTAGGTCACACAGCACAGAAATTCAAATGAGGAGATGTTTTGACTTCCAAGAGATTCCACCAGGAAGGGCTGCCATAAGGTTATTCTTCTTGTCCCTGATGGTTATTTTATTCTAGGCAGCCAAATATTAAGTATGTTGCATCAAAACCAATCTATTATGTTCTTCCCTTCCCTTCCCCTGGTACCCTCATCACTCACAGTATCAAGGGCAACCCAAATAGCAAACAGCTTTGCAGAGACCTTTTGGAAGACTGTTCCATCACCAATATGGGCAATCTTAGGTTGCTCCAGCCAAGAAGAAGTTTGGTTTATTTCAAAGCCTCTCCTTACCTTGGGGACACAGGGAGGAAGCCAAGGGCACTGGACCAGGACTGGCAGAACACTCAGGCACCCCAAGCAAATGGCAAAGTTTATCATTTATATTGCCATATGACAAAGCCCACACTGGTAAGTAGACCCTGCCAAATTGGGAAACTGCATGTTTCCGCAATCTGTCCTTGTCTGACAAATACAGCAAGTAAATTAATTGAATTAATAAAGGGCAACAGGAGTGGGAGGGAAGGAGGGGAAAGGTAAATAGGAAGGAAACAGATGCCATTACGCAAGATCCCAAGGACCCAACATTCTGAACTTTGCAAAATAGTTATCTTCCCATCAGGGCTTAAATTATATCCCTGGCTGTGAGTAACAGCATAAGCAGACCGTGTGTCAACCATGTTCACAGAAGCACTAAAGCAGTCTGCAGTCTGAGATTGAGATGCTGATGCTGATGCTAATAATAATAATAATAATAATAATAATTTTTATTTGTATGCCTCCCATCTGACTGGGTTGCCCCAGCCACTCTGGGTGGCTTCAAACAGGATATAGAAACACAGCAAAACATCAAACATTAAAAACTTCCCTATACATGTGGCCTTCCAGAGTCCTTTGCAGGGCTGTCTATGTTTTAAGAACTGGGTCCAATAGGATTTGTGACCCTGTGTACTCACATGGTACAGGTTCTTAGGGGAAGCAAGATGTCTTGAACCAAGCTGTAAAAGGTAAAGGTAAAGGACCCCTGACAGTTAAGTCCAGTCACAGACAACTCTGGGGTTGTGGCTCTCATCTCGCTTTACTGGCCGAGGAAGCCGACATTTGTCCACAGACAGTTTTTCCGGGTCATGTGGCCAGCATGACAAAGCTACTTCTGACGAAACCAGAGCAGCGCACAGAAATGCCATTTACCCTCCCACCGGGGTGGTACCTATTTATCTACTTGCACCTTGACGTGCTTTCGAACTGTTAGGTTGGCAGCAGTTGGGACCAAGCAACTGGAGCTCACCCCGTCGCGGGGATTCAAACCGCCAACCTTCTGATCAGCAAGCCCTAGGCTCAGTGGTTTAGACCACAGTGCCACCCCTTAGAATCATAGGCTCTCTTAGGATCATAGGATCACAGAATTGGAAAGAACCCTGAGAATCATCTAGAGTGACAAAAGGAACAAGGCGCAAATATACCTTTGTGGGAGAATGGTAGAGCTTAATTTTGTTTACAAATTACAAAAAGACCACTTCCAAAGGTTTATATGCCCACCCTATGGAATGCCCTCCCATCAAGGGAGGAGATAAGTAACTATACAACCTTTAGAAGACATCTGAAGGCAACCCTGCAGAGTTTTTAATGTCTGATGTTTAATTATGTTTGTGTGTATGCTGGAAGCTGCCCAAAGTGGCTGGGGAAACCTAGTCAGATAGGAGGGGTACTACTAATACTACTGCTAATAGTTCAACCCCCTGCAAAGCAGGACTATGCAGCTGCCCCTTATGGAGAGCAAACCTGCAATTTTGGTACTATCAGCACCATGCTCTAACCAACTGAACGGAAAGTCTCAGTTTCCAATCTTAAATTCAGTTCTCCCACGTATTCATATCAGTTTGTGGTTTGTTTGTTTTTAAGCCTGCAGGAAATTTTGTATGTGTTTGCATGTGCATTTTACCTAAAATTGTATTAATTTTATTTACGACTTTATAATCTGCACTTCCATTAAAATATAGCAGGACAGAGTACAACATATAAGGATGAAACAGCAACAAAAAAATATCCATGCAAACATAATTAAAAGCATTAATGTATCTATAAATACTGACTGGTTAAAAGAGAGGAAATCATTTTGTAATCGGCCGCCTAATTTAAAAAAGTTTTCAAAAGGTGACTGGAGGGAGGGGTTTCCGCTGATGCTCTATTGGTAGGGAGTTCCACAGGGCAGATCCTGCCACGCTAAAGTGGGGTCCCATAGTGGGGACCAACCAAATTTCAGAGTGTGGGGAACCACCAGACATGCTCCATCAGAGGACCTCGTGGCTAAAGAAGATGCACAAACAATCAGGCAGTCCCTAATGTACTTTGGTCCCAAGTTGCTTAGCGCTTTGTGGATTAACACACGTACCTTGAACCTGAACTGGTAGCAAATTGGCAACTTTCCCAGCAGTGAAACTTTCCCAGCAGAGGAGTAACATGTACAGGACCCAGTCATCTGCTCTTGTGAGCTGACTGGCTGCTGCCTTCTACACTGGCTGAAGCTTTTCAACCAGATACCAGAGCAGCCCCACATAAAACACTTTACAAACAATCAAACCTTGAAGTTGCCAATGCACTGTGCTGTCACGCCCCAGGAGCTGCCACAGCTGGTATACCATCCTGGACCTGATTTTAAAAAACAACACTTTGCTACAGAGGTCATGTGGGCCTCTAGGGACATAAATGGATCAAGGAGTACCCAAGACTGCACTCCTGCTCCTTCAGATAGTTGACCTCTCTCCTGGATACAGGAACTACCCACCCATAAGGCCTCCATCTTTCAAGGATTCAAGTTCAGTGTATTGACCATCACCCAGTCCAGCGCTGTACCCAAGCACTGGTCCAGAGCTTGCACAGCCTCTCTGGACTCAGTTGTAATGGAGAAACAGAGTTGGGTATCATCAGCATACTGAGGACACCTTGCTCCAAGCCTCCTAATGACCATTTTCAATGGCTTCATGTAGATGTTGAAAAGTATGTGGGACAAAACAGTGCCTTGTGCCACCCGATATCATAGGGGGCTGAAGAACATTCACCAAATGCTACTCTCTGAACACAGCCTTACAGGTAGGGATGGAGCCACAGTACCACCACTCTCCATCCTGCAGAAACAGTCCAGGAGAATCCCATGGTCAATGGTAGCAAAAGCTGCTGAGAGATAGAGCAGAAGGAGCATGGTTGCACTGCCTTCTCTCTGCCTCTATAAAGGCCATCCGTCAAGTGGTCTGAACTCCGAGCCTTTATATCCCAACTCAGTCACTGAGATCACCTGGAGGAAGGCTGTTTGTTGTGCCCCATGTTTCAGAAGCCCAACTGGCTTCAACTGGAAGTTGGGCATTTAGTATCACTTGTCCCATACTGTGAGAAACCCTCCCAGCAGAGAGATTTGGCAGGCATCCTTGCGATGAACTGTTAGGGATCTCTTGGACACTTATTCATGCCAACAAGCCTATTGAGTTGTTTAAACTTTTTCCAGGGTGACCCTGCTGTTTCAATGGTTTTGCAGTGCCTTATTGGTATTTGATGCTAAGGAGGATGGTGGCATTTCAGTTTGTGCATTAGTTGATGGGAAGAAGTTAGGTTCATCCTAAAAGGCGAACAAAACTCGTTTCTCTCCTTCTCCACCCCTGCCCATGACCTTCTAGTTTTTTTAACATTTTTTTGTTCTTTTCTTTTAGCGAAAGAGAAAACAGTCTGAGAAAATGCTTCCCCTACCTATTCTGCTTAGAGTGTTACCCCACCACCCCTTAAAGCTAGTTTTTGTGCAGCTGCTAATGAGAATCGGTGGGAATATCAATCAGATGTCCTCTAAAACATGGTCTTCTTTCTTCTGAAAAGCTGGTAGCACTGGAAGACTTGGGACTGTTCTGATCCAAGCTGGATGAAATTATTTATTTGACATGAACCTAAAATATTGCTGTTGCACTAAGTCACTTTTTTTTTAAACAAGTACACTAATGAGGAGAGGGAGGAAAAACCATAAACAGGCACTTTTCCAACTCCCAGCAGCAATCATTAATTAAAAGGGAAAGGAGTCAAATACTTCCAAAAGGAAGGGGCAATGCCAGCTGGTTTCATGAGGTTTATTTAAATCTTTCAGCAAGTCCTGATCGATACTCCGAGGAAAAAAGAACAGTTCTCTTGCTCACTACAGGGCAAGAAAACCCACACATTAAAACTCATTTTTCTTCTCATCGGTGATGTGCCACAAACAACTTTTGCTTCGCTACAGATAAGGGGTCACTGCACATCTCCTTCTAACCCAGCGTGGTCTTGCGGTTCCCTTCTTCGCTTTGCTCTCTTGTTCATTACTGAGAAACAAGCACATAGTGGATTTTTTTTGGCTTTCCAGCCCATGATTAGTGCCTGCCTCTCTTTGAACCAGTGCCCGCAGGTGCCCAGTGGGAGACTTTTTAAATAACATGCATTTCCCAAGGACAAAAATGTAACCTGTTTTGGTTTGTTGACTTGTTTCTAAATGTGCTTTCTGGTTACAAAAAGCATCTATCCTGAAATGAGCAAATAAGGTGCAGGAGAGGAGGAGAACCAACTGAAGGTGGTGCGGTATATTAAGCAAGTTTGAAAACAGATTTAGAGGGTGTCATTGTGAACATGTTCTGGCCTGACCCTAATCAATTAAGCTTGCTATGGGACCACAGCTTTATTTGGGTGTATGTTCCATTGAAATCAGTCTGGTGAACTTTTAGTTCTTAGGGACTGGGCTGCCAAGTCTGAAGACTGGCATTATTATGGACCACATTCTTGTCTTCACTGCATCACTGTCTTAGCTGCAGTTCCCCCCATCTATTTCCTTGTTTTCTGGAGGTTTCAGGTGGCTGTGCAGTAATCTGGTCCAACCCTCTGCAGTGCAGGAAACTTTTTGCCCAATGTGGGGCTTGAACCCACAACCCTGAGATTCAAAGTATCATGCTCTACCAACTGAGCTATTTCATCATTCCTTGATTCATCCAGCTTCACAAGAACTCATGAAGAAGGTTATTATTATACCCACTTAACAGACAGACTAAAGCAAACTGACTGACCCCCCCAAGCACATGCAATTTAATCCACAGCTGTACTGGGATATGTACCATGATCTCCAAGATCCAAACCTTAAGATTCCAGATCTGCACAAGACCATGAGATTTGGGATTTAACCATTCCTGCTGCTGAAATTACCATGAGAAGAAATAAAGCATATGTGATACAGAAATGCCCGGCATATTTCTGAGATACTGTCTGAAGTCATGAAATAAATAAAAAAAGAGGATTTGGGAGAAAGAACATTACTCATAAATATATCCCTAAAAAGAGAGCAGCCTGGTTATTTACTGTCAACTCTAACTGCTCAGCATAGGAGGGAGACGGAATTCAAAGGAACAAAATAAGGATTACAACATGCGAATAGAGAAGAAGAGCTGGGATCAATGAAAGAGGTAGGTAGCAGAGATAAGTCCTTCAACAAATGCATATTAAACTTTGAGAATTCAATGCCGCAAGTATTGTGGTAGTCTTAGCCAACTACAACAAAATATCCTCCTTTTTTGGTGGGGGGAATGCAAGGCATTTCTTTCAATTGCTACCAATTATCAGTGGGGCAATTAGGTCTTCCAGTGTCCTTCAAAAGGTGGTTAAACCACCCCAGACTCATTCTGATGTCTGGCACCTTGAATGTTAGAACTAAAGTCATCACAATAACTAGAAACACAACCCATCCCCATATTCATATGTGATGGATTCTGGGGACCAGCAAGGACTGGTGAATATCATTGTTTTGTCTCATTTATTAACTTTCTGGACACCCAGTTATTGAGCTTAGAGAGACCACTGGGCTGACCCAACATGGCCTTCCTTAACTTCCCATCTTGTTTGTTTTGTCCCAAAGGATAGTGGGGTCCCATCCCCCCACAAGTGGTTCTAAGGTTCTTTCGTTCAGATGCTCAGGTAACTACATATTTGAACTTCACATCTAATGTGAAGAAAACGTCTAGAGCAGATACATTCACAAAGTCTGAGAGCGATCAAAAGACATTCCTTCTAATCAAGAATTCCGTTTATGGGGGAAGCGTTCCCTCCCCCAAACTACAGTTAAGCACATACAAAGACTGCAAAAGGGTTTTTACTTTGGCACTAGCAACTTCATTGCATCTTCACTAAGCCCGGGTCTGTCCAAATTGGCTGGGGCAGGGAGTGGGGAAAACACACCACCCATTCTCTCAAGGTTCATGAGGCCTTTACTCTCAATGTATGTAGACATGACTAAGTCCAGTAGGGCTTGCTGACAGAAATATGTTTCAGGGTAGCTGCTTCTCAAATGCTGCTCAGTCCAGGTGGCTCTGCACACGCACGCACGCACGCACGCACACCTGACCAGTTGCACCTGATCTGCCTACATGACAAACATACCCCATATTCCAAAGTTGCTTAACTCTTATGGCTTCCACCAATGCACAACACAATATGGCTTAGATGCTGCTGCTGCTGCTGCTGCTGCTGCTGTGCTATCAATATACCTGCCTGCCTGCTGGTTGGCTTCCTACCAATGAACCCCGAGAACTGTACTACGGTGGGATTAAGGATCTCTAATAAAATTATATAATCAGCTTTCCAGGTTCTTTCGGAGAAATCCTGATAATTAAAGCTGTTTCAAACTGATTTCAGTTCGTAGTTTGGATGAGTCTCGTTTTCCTTTTGGGGCGAAATTCCTGGCAGCTGGCTATTCAGCATTCCTTGTAGGATTCCTGCCCCTCCAGGTCATTCATCTGTATAGACTGGCCTTGTGTAATCCATAAGTGTACAAACAGAAGTCAGTGAGGAAGGGGATAGAGGGGGTGGAAATCCCACAGGCCATTCCCATGGAAGGATCCTCACTACTTTTACCCAATAACAGAACGGACCAGCTACGGTATTGTCGAGCTTCCTGATTTCTGAATCAGATTCAGGACTTTGCTCCCGCTGCTGGTTCAGTGTTGCATTTGAACCGGCAAGCAAGGTGCAGTGAGGTGGTTGCCACCATGGGCCACCATCCACTGAAAAGTCTCCCTTGGAATGAATGGGAACTAGGCAATATTACCCCTCTTCATGTCAGGGCCACACGCAGCAGAACTGCCCATTGGATTGTGCCTAAACCACTTAAGTTTACATCTCGGTCAGATTCTGGGGGTGGGGGTAGCAACCCATCGTATGCAGCTTTCCCCTTCCTTCCCATTTGTGGTTAGTTCCCCACAACCCCTTCTTGTGTACATCAGATCCAGTGCTAGATTTCAGGCTGCATTCCCTGTTTAAAAGCCTGCCATAAATTATGGCGTGTGTGCTTTAAACTGTAACTAAATCATATAATAAATAGGATGGGTGTGAAAGGAGCTTCTGCTAGGGCAGCTTTGTGTATGTGTTTGCCAGAAAGACTCTCTCTCTCTGTCATGCAAATGCTATAATTATATTTTAAAAGGGGGGGGGGAGAGAACCCCACATTCTCTTGTCACTGCAGTAGATGGAGCAGTCGCTGGCTTCCTTGAACTCTCTTTACAGTCTAATTCTTTCTCACACAGAGACTTTTTAAAAAGAAACATTCTTCATATCTCCCCGCTAAAATTGCCTAGTTGTTGAAGGCGAGGGAAATTATTAAAAGCTTTATTTATTTATATCTCCTCTGCATCCATCCACAGTTCAAGAGAGAAGGTGGGAGGGTGCGTGTTGGGGAGTGGGGGGGGGGGAGAGCGTCTGGGAAATGGTAACTTTTGCTTTAAAATGTGAGGCCAGAAGCTCAGGACACATTGTTATGTCTGGGTCTGAGGTGAGGGTGGGAGGTAGATTGCGTGTATAAATAAATAGATGGATTACATTCATACATGCCCAGTGACTTCCCTAAGGTTTGTTTCTCGTGGATGGGGGCACTTGTGTGTGTGTTGTCCTTTGAAATCATAGTTCTTTGGATCGGAAATGCACAGAAAGAACAGAAAGGGGGGCAGGTTCCTGAAGATTAGGTCCCCCACCCTTCAAACTTCTCTTGCAACTGTACCCTCCGAGTTGATCATGCTATCGTAGCAACTGTCCGCCCAGCTTTCCTTCTGGGGAGAAGATAGACCTTTTTTAGATGTTGTGTTTTTGTAGCAGAGCAATCCAGGATTATCCATGTTAAGTTTTATTCCGGCTCTCATCTCCTCAGCTAAAAGATGAGAAGGAAAGCTTGCGGGGGGGGGGGCGGAGGGAAGAGAGAGAGAGAGAGAGAGAGAGAGAGAGAGAGAAGGCAAGAGGGAATCAGAGCAAATCCGTCTCGGAGGGAGAGCGCGCGAGAGACCTGCTCTTGTTTCCTTCCCATAGTTCTTCTCTCCATTGAGAGTTACATATTGTTTCCATTTTCTAGTACTTTTCTGGAATTCCATGTTATGACTTCAGCCCCAGAGAAATCCCTGCCTAGTAGGGCAGGAAACATTGAGAAACCCCTTCAACAGATTCTGGAAAAACTTCCAAGTCATGAATTGGAGACAGACGTAGCAGAGAGACACAGAGACGGGGAGATCTCCACCAACACACACGCACATAAGAAAACACCACACACCACTTCTTTCCTGCCCTGTAGAAAAAGCTTCAAAAGTTTGGAAATCATCATAATATTTTTCCCCCTATTTTTTAAAAAAAGGTAAGGCGCCTTGCATGCGACAGGCTGCCTCCTCTGGGAATAAACAGCTTTCTCCGTCAATTATTTGCGTTGCATTTTGTCTACCCTCCCCCCCCCAAAGCTTTTTACAACAAATGGACTAGCTTGCAGGCTGGTGGTCCAGAGGTCTTTATGGCGGCGGCAGCAACCCCCCCACTCCCACCCGGGAAGACGCAACTTCTTGGGCTGCTGGGACGAGCGAGGAGAGGAAACTTCGCTTACCTTCAAGCTGCAGAGGGGAGGGCGGCTGCCCCGGCTTACCTTGGCCGCGCCGGCGGCGGCCACCTGCCCCTGTCACCTTGGGGGGTGGGGTGGGGGTGGAAAAAGGATATGGGTTGCACACGATCCTGAGGCACCAGCTCCTGGGTCGGCTGTGCTGGCTCAAATAGAAGAAGACGATCGGCGCGAGGGCCGGGTAAGGGAGCGCTTCGCCGTCCGAGTCCCCGCTGCCCGGGTCCTTCTCCTTGTCCCCGGGGACCGAGCGACCTCCATCTCCCGAGAGATCGTTAAGGCGGACGAAGGTCTTGGAGGTGCTGTCCTCCTCCGGGTCCTGCTCCTCGGCTGCTCGCGGTCCATCCTCGTCCATTCTCCGGCCACCAGACCCGGGTCCGACGAGCTGACCGAAGGAAAGAAGATGCGCCCCGGGAGAAGAGAGGCAGGGAGCGGGATGGGAGAGGGCAGGAGCTCCTTAGGCGTTAGGATGATGAGCCGGCCATGGGCCTGGTGGGGAAGAATCGCTGGCCATGGGGAGGATCGCGGTGTGGGGTGGCAGCGGGGTTGGCTCGGGAAAGGGGCTTCAGAAGCGGCGAGGGAGCCTCCTCCCCTCCCGCTGGGGCGGCTGCGTAAACCCCGCTCTCTCCATCGGGATCCAGACCGCAGCCGGCACGGGAGCTTCTCGTCACTTTTGGCGCCTTCTTTCTCCCCCAAGATCCTGAGGCAGCCGGGGAAGGAGGGCTGGGGGAAGGAGGGAGTCCCCGATTAGCGGCGAGGAGGGTGGGAGCCGGTGCTCCGATGATCCACCCAGCTCCTCCGCGCTCCAACTCCGGGGCGCATTGCCGGGCGAGCGGGAAAGAGGAGAAGACGACGGAGATTGCTGCGGGGGGCGCCTCTTTCAGGTCCGGCTGAATGGGGAGACTCCGCTCCTACTCCTCCAGCCTCAGCATCCTCGTCGTGCCGGGGACTGCGCGGGGTATCCTAAGGGTTTGGAAGGGATCCAGAGAGGGTGGGGGGTGTCCAGGAGCCTCTCCTGTAGGTTGGGCTCCTCCCGCCCTCCGGGGGCTACTGGAGAGGGTGGGGAGGGGTGACACGAGGTTTGGGGCGAGGTGTGGGGTGGGGAAGAGCAGATGCAACGCGCGCGGAGCCGGAGCCGCGGGAAGGACGGTGAGGAGGGATGCTCCTCTTCGCCGCTGCCTCTGCCGGACGGGAGAAGCGAGCGAAAAAGCTGGGCGCTCCGAGCACCTCACAGCTGGATCCCTCACTCCAACTTCAAGCCGGAGCTCCGCCCCGGAGCCGCGGCGCCAGCCAATCCCGAGCCCCCTTCAGACCCTCCTCATTGGCCGCGGGAGGCAGCCATAAGAAAAAAGATACAGCCCGGGCGAGAACCACAGCTGGAAGCAGCCACAGTTAGCGGAGCGCCGCTAGGTACCCTCCCCTCCCGACTGCCTCAAGCGCCTTCATGGGGCGTGGAGAGCCAATGGGGTGCGCGGGTGGGGCAGAGCCCCTCTCGGATTGGCCCCTGAGCTGCCCAAGCAAGGAGCCCGCTTCCACCACCGCCAGATCTCTTCCAGGAGGGCTGGGGCTTCCCTTTGAATGGTGCAGATCGGGGTCATTTCCCTTGCCCCAGATTGTGGGGTGGCGGCGGCGGCGGCGGCAGAGGAGAGCCCCAGCTCGGCGCATAAACGAGGGCAGCCGAGCTTTCGGAGGCTTGCTGGAGGATTTGAGGGAGCGCAAAGAAAAGAGGGGAATGAGCGAGAGGCGATGGAACAAATGCGGACGAAGAGAGCAGGAGCAACTCGGCAGGAGAGAAAGCGAGAAGGACGGCCAAGAGCAGCCGATCGCGAGAGAGCTGTGAGCGCTGCTGCACCAGCGCAGTCCCTCGTGCCTCCCTCCTGCTCCAGGGGGTGGCGGGGACTGGACATGGCCGGAGGAGGAGGAGGAGGGCGTCAGTCTGAACAAGGTGCCGCTGATCAAGGAGGCAAAGGGACGCATCCTGGCGGGGAACTAAGGAAGGGCACCAGGGTAGGATCCGCTCCAGGGCAAATCTGTGGGAGTTTCGCCCTCCCTTCTCTAGGCGCAAGGGGTCAGGTCAAAGCCATTTTCTAGACGGAAACTGCAGTGGCTCACTCCCTACCTGGAGACCAAACGCACAAATCTTGTTGTTTCTCTATGGTGAGAACGGTGTTCTCTGTACATGCCCAGAGGCATTGTACTGCTGTATTATAGCTGCACAGATAGCGGGAGACAAATAACCACAGCTGGTCTTGGAAGCGGTTCCTGCATTTGTGCCTGGAGACAACTTCGTGCATCTCTGTAGCAGAGGAGGAGGAGGATGGTCTGGTGGACAAGGTTTCTGGCGAACATGCTACAAGTCAAGTCCATGGTATGAGTTAGGCAGTATAGCAGGACATATGTAGCCCCCACCTTCCCATCCTCAAACACCTTGGCATGGTTTTGCCTCTAGCCTGCCAGGCCAGGAAACACAGAAACACCTGAAAGCAGACAGGAAAATAGACCTGACTCTACTTCAGGTCCAAACAAGCCACAAAGTCCCATGCTGATAGCCTCTGCTAGTCCAAGAGGAACAGACTGGGGATTCACAGGATCAGCTGGAGGTGGTACAACCCAGAAGAGTGAATGTTGTGTGAAATCCCCAGACTAATTGGTACCTCAGTAATTCTCTCCCCCACCTGTCTCTCTCTCAGAGGCATTCCCGAGCGTGCCACACGTACACACTTCCAGTTCAAAACACATGCCAGTCACACACATTGCCAGAGCAGGGCAATGCCTTGAACCTTAGACTAGGACCAGGAAGATCAGAGTTCAAATCTCCACTTGGAGCTAACTGGGTGGCTTTGGGCCAGTCACACACTCTCTGAGCCTAACCTGCTTCACAAGTTCATTGTGAGGATTAAAGGTGGAGAAGAACCATTTCATCTGTTTATATATCGCTAAAGGTAAAGGGACCCCTGACCATTAGGTCCAGTCGTGGCCGACTCTGGGGTTGCAGCGCTCATCTTGCTTTACTGGCTGAGGGAGCCGGCGTACAGCATGACTAAGCCGCTTCTGGCAAACCAGAGCAGCGCACGGAAACGCTGTTTACCTTCCCACCGGAGTGGTACCTATTTATCTACTTGCACTTTGACGTGCTTTCGAACTGCTAGGTGGGCAGGAGCAGGGACTGAGCAACGGGAGCTCACCCTGTTGCGGGGATTCGAACCACTGACCTTCTGATCGGCAAGTCCTAGGCTCTGTGGTTTAACCCACAGCGCCACTCGCGTCCCACTAGTATTTATTAGTGGCGCACATAAAAATAAACCAAACGGACGGAATAAACCAAAAAATAAACCAAACAGACGGAAAACAGTAACAATTGATCATAAACCCGAGCTACCTCAGAATGCCTGCTGGAATAAGAAAGTCTTTGCTGTGTTTGCCTGGAGTTCAGTCTCTCTAATCTCAGTTGGGAGGGAGTTCCACAGGCTTGGGCCCACAACACTGAATGCCCAGCTTCTGGTCCTTATGACTGTCTGTCTGAGCCATGGGAAAGCGTGCTCTCACCCTCAAATCTCAGTGATTGGGCAAGGTAATAATGGATCAGGTGGTCCGCGTGTGCCCCGAGCTTCCTAGGATGAAGTGTTGGGGGGGGGGTGTTTACAAATGTAATAAATTGCCAAGATGCCTGTTCCGTCATTAGTAATACAGAGGTTATGGATTGGAGGAAAGGGCAAGTGTATGGGGAGATGGAGCACCCTGGTGTGCATTGCTCAGAAATGCCTTCCGCCCCCCTCCCCAAACACGCCATAGCTTTCAGCGCTCTGAGCTCCCTCCTCTGGCTCAGCCTCCGAAGATGACAGGATAAGGGCAGGATAAGGAAACAGCTGAACTAAGCAAAGATGTGAGCCCAAGGAGGGAATGCCACTTGAGAGGAACAAATGAAAAAAGATAGGCACATGGCTCAAGGAAAGAGACTCGATAAGGGAGGAAACAGCCTGGGGATATAAGAATCAAGCAGCAAGCAATAAGCAGGTCATCTGGCTGGTGGGTTTCTGATGTCTGGGTAGACAGGCGAGAGGCAGAGCAAAAGAAGTGTGGAATTAGCACTATCAGCAGAACAGAGAAGGGATTTAACAACAGGCGTTCAGGGAGAGCTGGTGAGGAAATGAAGTTTAAGGGATGCTGCTGGGGAGCCAAGAAGAGGAGATGTCAAGATCAAGAGCCTGCAGAGGAGCAGTCTTGAGAAGTTGCTACTATACAGGGAACTGGTGCAAGACATTAACCAGGGCGTATGTTTCTCAGGCTGTACAGAGTAAAATTGTCAACAAAAGACAAGGCTTGTTGATATATCACTTTAATTCAGCCCTGACCGCATCCAGACCATCCTAAAGTGGCCTGCAGGCTCTGGCCTTGTGTAACGTCAATACTTTAACTTAATCAGATGTGCTATGTGTCAGATGGAGACGAGGGGTTATTCCAGATCTTGATGTATACACACGTCAAGAAAGTGTCAGACCAAAGTGTGGGCAATTTTAGTTGTGCAAATGTACCCTGGGACATCACAAAATTCTAGGCTTCACAAGACCGACATGGTCAGATTTCTGTGATTCCCCATAGCGTTAACCCCTCTCTAAATAGCTGCAGAGTAGTCCCATCAGAGAATATGAATTGGTTTGCTGGGGTCTATCATGTAGTCACAGTGAATTTTTGAAGTACTTACAAGACATCATAAACTGGGCCACAGAAATTCAAAGGAAGTTTGCCAACTCAAGCTAATTTGATGAGAAGGAGTGTACTCCGCCAAGTCAAGTACAGAAGATGTCTCAAACTGCATCCTAGATTTACACTGTGGGTGACAAAGATGTGGCTCATGGGGCTACCAGTTGGCCATGCCCAATCTAAACACCCCTTTATCCACTGAAGGCTCTCAACAACCCTCCAAAATAGTTTGTTGGGCAAGTGCGTTGGAAATAGCTCCATCACAGGGATGGGGAGCCCATGGCTCACCTTCCAGTGTGGACCCCACATCTCTAGATGTGGCTTAACTCACATCATCCCTAGCCATTGGCTATGCTGGCTGAGGCTGACAGGAACCGGGGTCCAAGAATATCTGGAGGACCACTAGTTCTACATTGCTGATTTCAAGGCTTCCAGATAGTAAGGTAAAAGTAAAGGGACCCCTGACCATTAGGTCCAGCGCTTATCTCACTTTACTGGCCGAGGGAGCCAGCGTACAGCTTCCAGGTCATGTGGCCAGCATGATTAAGCTGCTTCTGGCGAACCAAAGCAGTGCACGGAAACGCTGTTTACCTTCCCGCTGGAGCGGTACCTATTTATCTACTTGCACATGACGTGCTTTCAAACTGCTAGGTGGGCAGGAGCAGGGACCAAGCAACGGGAGCTCACCCCGTCGCGGGGATTCGAACCGCCGACCTTCTGATCTGTAACTCCTAGGCTCTGTGGTTTAACCCACAGCACCACCCGCATCCCAGATAGTACATGGATATAAATAGTATAAACTTTCTGTGCTGTTGCCTCTCCCTTGTTTCTAATGTGTTTATGCCACAGGGTGTGTGTGTGAGAGCTGCATCTTTACCTCTTGAATGCATCACTGGCCCTTCTCGACGAAGCTGAAGCTTAGGAGCAGACTGTGTGTTCCACCTCATGATTCAACTTTCACTTTGGCCACTTCCATTTTTGTCAGAAATTCGGAATCCATCTTCGTTTGCCATGGAGCTGGGCCAATGAATGTAACATTCTGTTTCCAACTTGTCCACAGCAGCGCAGGCTTTGGATCCAAGATCCCCTTGGCTTCCAGAACAGGGACACAGTGGAAGGAAATGTGAGGATGGACAGAAGGTTCTTCTTGCAGCTCTGCTTTGCCTCTCTTCAGCTGGGATTTCTGGAAGTAAGAAAGCTGTCTTGGTGGTTTCAGTCCAAATGTCAAATGAAGGGTGGGGGAGGGGGATCAGAGAGGCTTTGACAGCTGTAAATATATTAAAAGTCAATTAAGTATGCCACTCACTGCAGTTTAGTAGGCCCGGAAATCCAAAGTTTGAAAATTCAAGCGTCGAGTTAGCTAGCTAACTGGAATTATCGAGTCTTCTCACTGAACTACCAGATTATCGAAAACAGTGTGAGTGTGTTTAAAAAGCCCAAGTGCAGTTTTGTTAGCTTTTAATTCTAATTCTTGGGAACTGGGCAGGAGTGGATTTGTAATTCAGGCTAAAGGGGAGAGGTTGACAAATTCAATTTTAATTTCAATCCTACCCTAAAAGCCAGAAATTCAGGCTGGTTAGATGAAAACATGGCCAAGATTTGGATGCCTCCATTTCCATAAATACCGTATTTTCCGCTCTATAAGACACACCAGACCATAAGATGCACCTAATTTTTGGAGGAGGAAAACAAGAAAAAAAATATTCTGAATCCCAGAAGCCAGAACAGCAAGAGGGATCGCTGTTCTGGCTTCTGGGATAGCCGCACGAAGCCTCTTCAGGGCAGTGGGATGAAGGCTCCCCCTGCCCTGAAGAGGCTTTGTGCGACTAAGCCAGAAGCTAGAACAGCGAGAGGGAGCGCTGCACAGTGATCTCTCTCGCTATTCTGGCTTCTGGGATAGCTGCGCAGCCTGCATTCGCTCCATAAGACACACACACATTTCCCCTTACTTTTTAGGAGGGGAAAAGTGCGTCTTATAGAGCAAAAAATACGGTAAATGTATATTGGTTTGAGTGTTTCATGCCTGTGTTTTCATCACTTGGTGACTCCAGGGTCTAAGTGGTGGCTTTCATGAGTGAATGAGCCATCCTAGATCAAACACCACAGACAGAAGTGTCACATTATCAGAAACTTCAGGGCATGAATTGGAACTGGTGGGAAGTGGCCTACCTTAGTGAGCTACTGTGAACCATGTATTCACAGAGCTCTATTAACATCACTGTTTTTATTCTGTTTTAATTTTCTGTATTATTATTTATATTTAACTTTATATAAGCACATTCACACAGCTGTTTTTATTTTGCTTTCATTTAAGTTGCTTTTCTTTATTTGTCAAGATTCTGGTTTTTATTTGTTTCATTTTTATATTGCTTTGCTTGTTTAGTTTTTAAACAGAGAACGCTCCAACTCCGTGGTTTGTATATGGTGGAGAATTCAAGCATTTTTCTTCACTTCAGAATCTCACCATGACTGTGACAACCCCAGTCTAGATTTTTAAAGTAAGGTCTATAAGTACAGTTTAGATTTTTTTAAAGCATCCTTTTGTTTGGAGTCAGCAATGCTCTGATGCAGACTGAATGGTTAAACGGGTTTTTTGTTTTTTTGCAAGTCTTTTGTGGTATTTATAGGATATCAGATTAGGAGGGTTTTTCTCGTGTGCTTATTTTTGTCGTATGCTGCTTGACAAAATTTACGGAGTGACTTGCCAACTTTCCCTTATTTAAATTGTTCGTCACATGACACAACTAGGGCTACTTTCTTAAGAACGCTACACCAGGGCAATCCTATCAGTGCTTTTTCAATAGGGCTTATTCCCAGGAAGTTGCACATAGGGTTGCAGTCTTAAAGTGTTTGCATTCTCTCAGGCAGGAGCATCCGGTGGGGCGGGGTGGCAGCACTCACCTAGCCTCCCAGAAAGGGCATAGCTGTGGCTTATAGGGAAGGGGAGGCAGCAGGGTGGTTGGCACATTGCGAACACACCAACAGATCCAATATCATGCTCCCTCTACAACTCTTGCACCGCAGTGTCCTCTCTACCACCTCTCCCTCCCCACAACCTATAGCGACACACATGCTCGGAAGCCAGCTAAGTGCCATCGTCCCTCTGTGGTGGATGTTCCTGCTTCCAGGTCTATTCCTCACCAGGCAAAGGGACAGCCCTGTAAATAGGGTGGCTATTTGTGCATCATGGAAAAGGAGGAAATACATTAGCAAAACAGATATTTGCATTAAAAGGTGCTCATTAAGTGTATAGAGCATGGGTAAGCAAACTAAGGGCCGGGGGCTGGATCTGGCCCAATAGCCTTCTAAATCCAGCCTGCGGACGGTCCAAGAATCAGCGTGTTTTTTACATGAGTAGAATGTGTCTTTTTATTTAAAATGCATCTCTGAGTTATTTGTGGGGCATAGGAATTCGTCCTTTTCTTCTTCTTCAAAATATAGTCCGGCCCCCCACAAGGTCTGAGGGATAGTGGACCGGTCCCCTTCTGAAAAGGTTTGCTGACCCCTGGTATACACTATAAACAGAAATGCAATATATCCCACCACATTGAAGAAGATTGTGGATCATATTGAAGAAGACCAAGAATAGGTGAGTTGTGTGTCCACTTAGTCTGCTGTCCAAATGCAGTTAAGTGTTGATGGGCAACATCCTTTCCCCATCGAAGTTATTTATTTTCAATCCAGACTTGAGCCAGTAGAAGAGAGAGCTTTCCTTTGGCAGCTCTTCAGATATAAGACTGTCCTCTGCAAAGCAGGACAACTGGCCACCCTAACTTTAAGAGGAGGCTGGATTGGAATGCTTGAGGAACAACATGTTTGCTAACCTTGGACATGCTCTACCAATGGGTATCGTTTCAAGAGGATGGGGATGAGATTAAGAGATTTCAGGTGTGTGCACAGACTCTGGCAAGCTGGAGAGATCCACAGCAAGGGTTTAAAAGAAGAACAGCCTCGTTGGGCTATGTTAGGGGAAAATGGCAAAAAAGTGCAATGCATTCCAGGAGCATTTGTTGTGATTTCATTTTCTGTTTCATACTAACTCAAGCAGTGCTATCTACACAGGTTAAACAGCCACAGCCACATCCTTTATTTGTGAAGGAAAGGGATTTGCAATTTTGGCACAAATAGTTATACAGGGCTCATTTAATTGCTTTATAAAAATAGTCACTTGGTGTGAAGAACCCAGTGAGCTGGTGTGAGAAATAAATCTTCCTGAACAAGAATCACATGTGGTCTAAAAAATATATAGGTGGTTAGACCACCCCAGAATGGTGTCCCTGTATCCAGACAAAAGTAGGTACTTTTGTTGAATGCATTGGGGGGGAGGGAAGATTGATTTCAAAGGACAAGGTATATATGAAGGAGATGGAGAGATGAATAGCAAGGCTAGAAATGAATCCCAGAGATTCTAGAGGGTTGCAATGCTGACTCTTCCTTCATACAAACACATACCTGCATTTCTTATGTATACGGTTAATGCTCACGGAAATGTTCAACTCAATCTTCACTATTTCTGCAGGATTTTTTTCCCCCTCCTTTTAATCCTGCCAGTTCTAGTTTGGGTGTCTTTATTAATAATGAAATTCTGTAGTAAGGTTTGGGGGAAAAAATCCATTTGCATAAGCTGAGTGCCATCTTAGATCAAGCATTTCTCATTGTGCACAAAGCAGATGGACGCAGCGGACAACTTGTGATCTGGCTTGCTTTGCAAAGTGATAATATAGAGGGGAACCTTTGTGTGTCATTTTGTTTGCTTCAAATCCATTTAAATAAAACATTTTTTAAAAAAACCCACACAGATGAAGCTCTGAGCCTCTAAAGTGGGTTACCAGATTATGTGCTATCGCCATTTTAATTACATTTTGTTCCTTTTAATTCGTACATTTCTGTCAAATTGCATTTCTTTCTGGGAACAGGAGAATTTTCCAGCAGAATAATGTGGGCAAGGGTGATATAATTTGCCATCAAGCATTGTTGAGAGTGCTTGAAAGTCTAGTGCATGCTGCTCATCAATATAGACTGGTCCTGTTAGAAGTCTCATCTTACCAGCTTGGCTGTCACTCTCAGGTGTCATTTTTAGAGATGGCCCTTAAACCAGTTTTCGCGTTTCTCATGTCTGTAAACTGAATGGAAAACTTAGGTTGACTAGCATGTACATTCAATTTTAAACACACACACACACACACACCATTTCTAGAGTTCATTAAACCACCTCTGTAGATTGATGCATTCCAGATGAGAAGAGCTGGTCTATATGCCCACGTGATAATTTGCAAGAAGTTGCACATGTGGTACAGTCTACATAGGGTTGTATTACTTCAAAATGCACATAGGTTTGAATGCCTGACCACATTAAAAACAGCAGTGCCCTCCCTGCTTACACTGAAAGCTTTCTTCCATCATGCAAGCAGATTTTGCTGCAAAGAAGCACTTGATCATGTGTTGTTTTTTTTAATAAAAACACACACATGTAGATCATCTCTAAAACGCTGGCATGGAAACACCCTAACACAAACATAGTGAAATTACATTGCCCAATCAAACACCAAATTACTCAGTTTGTACCAGTCTGAACACCATGAGAGGCATGCCCAGTGTTAGAGCACATCCCAGATTCAATTTTCAGCATCTCCATTCAAAATGTTCTCTGTCGTAAGTGATGTAAAATGAAGACTTTTGCCTGAGATCCCAGAATTCAATTGCTTAGAATTCAGAGAGCAGGGCAAGGTGGCCTCAGCTAATACTCTGGGCACAGGTCTTGTGCAACCGCAAAAGCTACTTCTCTACCAAAAGGAGGAGGAGGACAGGAGAAAGCAAATGTCTTACAGGATCAAGGAGAAGTGTTAACTTGGGATGACATGAGCATTTCACTCCACATCATTTCTTGCTTCTTCGAGCATAATAGTTGAGACCCTTATCCTAGATATACGGTAAGTAAGAAGATTAGAGGATAGAAGCATCTCTTTTCATGACAGCTGCCTTCCCAGGAGAACACTGACACGGGCAGCAATCGGGGTTGAACAAACGCAGAACCTCACAATGGGGACATATTTGTGTGTGTGTGTGTGGCTACATGCAGGACAAAGCAGAGAACTCATATTCCCTAAAGCTTCTCCATGTTGCCGATGCAAATTAGATAAAAGATGCTAAGCTACCTTTCCTCCAGGGAGGAGAATCAAGCACTATCCTTGATTATGTTGGTGTGTGAAGAATAGCTGAAGACTGGAGATGGTCCATGATTTCAGACATAAACAAAACTGATGACCAGACAATGCCCATCCTAACCATCTATATGGGTCAGCAGTGATTTGAGGAACATATCTAAAGCAAATCAGGTGTGCAATACCTGTGTGCCACAATAAGCGACAATAATCACCACAATAAGAGACAGTTTCTGTGCACTTGAGGTATGCACACCTTCTACAAGGGCCTCATCTAATCAGGAGTTTGTGAGTGGAACAAGAGGAAAATGCCAATGATGATTACTGTGATATGGAAAATCTTTTGTTATTTTATTTGCACTGTGGCCAAGGCTTGTGCTTCATTCCTGAGCTTATCTAAGTGTGAATTCCCTGCTGCTTTCCCCCACATTGCAATTAGCTGGGAATCTGTGCAGGCATCTCGCTGCACTAAAACGCTGCAAACAATTTTGAGGAGGTCAACGTTTTCCCAAGTGAATATACTGCACTTCAAAAGTGTTTATCTGAATCGAAAACATGAGAACAGGATATATCTCACCTCTTAGTTGAAACCACTCTCAACTCCTTTTTCTGCTTCAGCCCCTGCCTCATTTCAAGAAGGTGAAACTTGCCGCTTCTTAATTCTTTCTGACTGTGGTTGTGTGGATATGCACAAACCTGCGTTTTCCTGAAATGAGCCCCAATGGATTCTATGATGGGAAGACAAAAGAAAGGAGGTTTTTAAAATGCCCATTCTTTAAATTTATTTTGCAACTATTCATTACAGTCACATTCAAAAGTACAAAAGAAACAAATAAAAGGAAAAACACAAAAGGACTGACTTACAAGAAATTCCACTTGCGAGGCAGCAAATATTATGCATGTACAGTATATACCCAACAGACTATAGCACATTTTGTCCCCTTCCAAACAGATTCCGGTGGACACAAAAAATGACAAAATCTTATTCCATAATTTTTAGTATTGGGCAAGAACCATGGTCTTTGATTGTGTGAATTGTCATACTGAATAAAGTCATGCCAAACAGCAAGACTCTGGACTGATCTGACATTTCAGTACCCAGAAATGGTGAGTTAATTACTCCATGACCTCAATACTCAAAATTTTATGTGCCACTTCCCAAATTGACATAAGGTTTTGCAGTTGTCACCAGACTTCTTTTTTATTTTATTTTATTTTTTATTTTATTTTATTTTATTTTAAGGAAAGGTCCCTGGATGAAGGCAGAAACCAGAGCATACCACAGTCACCTGGAGACTGTCCTATGGCCTTGTAGCTTGGAATGTTGGATACAGGATACATTTCTAATGCAGAAGCTCTTCAAGAACTAGATATAAATCAAACATGAACCAACTGCGAAAGTTCTAAGACCCACAAAAATAGGAAAATTTGTAATCTTCTACCCCTCAGACATATTCCAGGTCCCTGTTTTGAATGTTCAGATTTCTTCTTTTAAAAAGAAGCTCATTCAAGCTCATTCAAATATGGAGAAATCAGGAAAAACGTACAGGCAGCCATTATCCAGTTGCTCAGTTGGAAGTACAGTGGTACCTTGGTTCCCGAACTCCATCTGTTCTGGAAGTCCGTTCGACTTCCAAAACATTCACAAACCAAGACACAGCTTCTGATTGGCCCCAGAAACAATGCCGACAGCCGAAACAAATGTTTGGCTTCCAAAAAATGTTTGCAAACCGGAACAGGTTTGCAACGTTCAGGAGCTGATTTGTTCAGGAGCCAAGCGATTTGGGAACCAAGGTACCACTGTAAATCTCTTTCCATTTTTCTGTCAAATAAGTGCAAATGCACAGAGATGTTAATGTATTTCGCAAATTAAATATCTTAAAATTAAACAAATTCGGCCACGTATGTTAAGGTTTTGCTGTTTCGGTCCAATTTATGAAGCCCCCTTGGGAATTCAGAGACTCTACAGTTCTCCCTATCAGCCAATGTCTGGGGTGTGGTTGCTGGCAACCTTAATTATAATTTAAGATTTGTAAGTGCCTTATCCTTACAGGTATCAGTTCTCATTTATCCCCACCCTAAACTCAAAATCCAGCCTTACTCTTGAATCAGATTCGAATTCCCAGATGTTGTAATCGCCATGTAGAGGAATGAGTTCACAGAGAGCCATCCTGATGTTAATATGACCATATAATTTGTATGCTGTGGTGTCTGTGATCAGCACAGGGGGACCTTGCAACATTCAGGGACATTTTCATTATCAGTTGGCAAACAGAAGTTGGTGCTAATTTGACATGGGGCCCTATGTAAAAGAATGCATATTTCTCACTTTTTTAAAAAAAACATAAAACATCTAGCTGATTAAAAAATGAAATTATTGAGCTATGCATGTATCTGGGATTATTTTACAGGGTTTTTTTTTTTTTAAATGATGCATGAAACTCTGGAGTTCTGCTGTGCTCCCTGCCAGATCTGAGTGAAAGGGGAATGAGAATCGAACCCTGACAACCGCAGCAAAGGACGAAGCGGCCACAAGGATTAAATGCAAAGGAATTGGGGGATTTGAGATGTAAATGAGTGCATAATATTTTGATACCGCCGAAGAATCTAATGAGGTCACATTTGTCAGTCACACACACTATTCTGGCCCCCTAATTATATTGTAAGGATAGTGTGGAAATGGAAATGATACTGAGCAGAGGATGACCCAGATGGTACAAGGACAAGGAGGCCTGAAGACAGAGAAACGTCATGCTCTGTAATGAGGAAATTGAGATCACTGTTGCCACTGGAATATCGGAAGCGGGTAGATCATCTCCCTTGCAGTCCTTTGGGTTCCACTGCACATGAGCAACAGCGGAGGAGAGCCACATGGGAAAATGGGATGTGTGGTATCACTTTTGTGGGAGCTGGCTGATGGAGATGACCCTGTGGGCCACAGATGGCTGGAAGACCCCAGTTTCCGGGCAGTTGTACAAATCCTCCAGAAGAAGGGAGGCAACAGAAATGGAGTCCCTTAGGCCGTGTAAATGCTCAGTAGCTCTCCTCTGCTCTCCTTATGTTAGCTTTGCATTAAAGTCTCTGGACAGGAATATGGAGGAGAACAATAGCGCTGGTAACTATGAAGAGATCCCCAACAGGAACAGGGCAATATAGAACAGAAACAGCCCTGTAGCTGGCGGAAAAGTTAAAAACACAAGAAGAGCCCTGATGGAACAGACCAAAAACCCATCAGAGTCCAGCATTCCCTTCTCACAGGGGCCATCCAGATACTTCTGGGAGACCCAGAAGCAGGATATGAATGCAACAGCGCTCTTCCACTCATGATCCCTACTATTCAGAGGCATGTTGCTTCTGGTCCTGGAGTTCACATATAGCCATCAAGACAAGTAGTAGCTATCGATTGCCTTGAATTTGTCTAATCCCATTTTAAAGCCATCCAAGTTGAGAGCCGCCACCACCACATCACCACCAGAAGTTCAGCTCTGCTAGACCTTGTTGGACATCTGAGAGCAAACATAGGCTAGGAGAAAACACTGTGATTTGAGGGAGTGCCTTCTGCAAGATTAGCTACGTGCATGTGAAGAAATAGACGTAGCTTTTGTGATTGTTCTGGTACAAGTCATTGCATTGCAGTGGAATTGGTGAGGACGGGCAGATAACTCGCCTCTGAAGTGGAAAACCGGCTGCTACTATGCCTCTGCTTCCCCAAGAACAGAAGCAGGAGATTGTTGACCTGGGAAGTGAGCACTTTTACCCTGTAGCAAAGGAGACAAGCGATGGAAGACTTATCAATGAATTATCATAGTTTTGAGAGCCATGGTTAATCAACATATTATAATCTGTGAAGCAGTGAATCATAACAAAATAAGTAGGGCTGTGGCGCTTAGTCAATTAATTGGTTGGGTGAATCAATTAAAAGCCTTCTAATTGGTTAAAAAGGTGTTGCTGATTTACTGCTTGGGATGCTTGAGGATTTGTTCAGTCCGCATTTGATGAGGACCAAATCAGCTCATGAAACCCAGACTGCTGCGCTGAATGTAGCACAGCAACCAGCAAAGTAATGTAGTTCTCTAAATTTTGTGCCGTGTTTATCAGTTAAAAAATGCACAAATGCTGTGAAATATGTTTTCACAAATACTTAAAAATTGTAAATATATATATATATGGTCAAATATGCCCAAAATTTGCATATATATATATATTTGTATTATATCATTGTAAATGTTCAGTGAACTATACAAAAGCCTTGCTTATTTGTAATGGCAAAAGTGAACCTCTGCAAACTACTCATTTTCAAACCACAGCTTGGAAAAAGATGCATTCTGGTGTTTGTTTTTGCTTTCCCGTTGACACATGACTGGAAAAGCTGCAGAGTGATTTTAATAAGGCAGGATAATATTTTCGATCAGTTCTAAGAAGCACAGACTAAATCCCGTGTAAGCAGCTGCTTCAGCTGCTAGCCTACAAATTATATTCAGATAAGATGCTTGCTCATTCCCGGGCTTAAAAACTGAAGTGGAGATTCAATTTCATCTACAGTGTCACACTCGGAAGGTAGGACCAGGATTCATATATAACTGCTTATTCAAATTCAACTACATTATTAAGACGCTGCTTGATGACAGGTAAGCAACCGGCTACATTCTTAACAGCATCTCCAACGGACCTGACAGCAAATTCCACAGGAAGAGTAATTGCTCTGGCTTTTACAAATTTAGGTTAGCCATTATGGTGTGCTCGAGAGTACTGGAAAGTGCTACATTGGACTTTGCTAACCCACCCAGTCATGCAAGTCCTTACCTTGTGCTGATAATTGCATTAGGGATTGTAGTACTAATTTGTTCGTACTAAGCAGGTAGGGATGGGGGGAAATTGTTCATTGTACATTGCTCATTGCAAACCAACCTAATTCCCACATCTCAGGCAAATATGCAAACTTAAAATGCAGCTTTCACTTGAAATTCATTAAATACTAATAATTAGAGATCTCTAAAAGAACTCTCAGCACCATCAACTGAATTACAACCCCCCAAGATTTGTTGGGAGAAGCCATGGCCATCACCTGGCCTAAAACCTATACAGTGGTACCGCAGGTTAAGAACTTAATTCGTTCTGGAGGTCCGTTCTTAACCTGAAAGTGTTCTTAACCTGATGTACCACTTTAGCTAATGGGGCCTCCCGCTGCCACCGCGCCGCCACCACACAATTTCTGTTCTCATCCTGAAGCAAAGTTCTTAACCCGAGGTACTATTTCTGGGTTAGCTGAGTCTGTAACCTGAAGCGTCTGTAACCCGAGGTACCACTGTATATTTTTAATGCAAAATAATGCTGATATCATGGCTACGTAGCCACACAATTTCTCATGGAAGTTTGCAGTGCAATAGGCTTCTTGCATAATGCTGAATGGCTTGTGGATGTGCACAACACCTCATTCCCTTGTTTGCCTTCTGGTACGCTTCAGGCTGCCAATTTCTGACCGGCAACTATTCTGTGAGAAGGAACAATCAAACAGCACCAGATTCTCATACCACGAGATTCATCAGATAAAACCCTGCAAAACAAAAGAGTGCTTTTGAAGCTGTGGTATCTATTCAGCAGAGCTGCATCTTCCCTGTTCCAGAATACAACTGCTGAAATTCCATGGGCAGGGATGCTCTGAAATAAAAGATGTTCTCTTGATAAAAAGGATTTTTGGCAGGCGTACTGTCCAGACGCTCACTTCTTTCCTCTTGCAGTAGACAGCCAGCACCCCACACCCTACAGCAGGCTGTTGGAATATTGCAGCGGCAGCAGCACAGCTGGAGAAGATGACCTGCCAAATAAGAAGCAGAGAGGGTTTTTGTTTTTTTAAAAAAGAAAAGAATAGGAAGCCCTTTGGTGGAAATTTGGCAGCTAAAGACAAGTTAAAATGACATTGCCTGATGAATTGATCATTCCTGCCTCCTTGTTGCTTGGACTCCCAAAACACCCAAACCTATAGCAGTCTTTCTTATAAACTGCCATAATGTTAGCTCAGATTAGATTTCCCATTCGGGGTGAGCATTCATCCTCCTTCTCCTCCCATCACTAGTAACCCATATGGCAGGCTTCCTCAACCTTGGCCCTCTAGATGTTTTGAGACTACAATTCCCATCACCCCTGACCACTGGTCCTGCTAGCTAGGAATCATGGGAGTTGTAGGCCAAAAACATCTGGAGGGCCGAGGTTGAGAAAGACTGCCATACGGCTTCTCTGTTGTTTAGCTTTGATTGAAAACATGGCTGTTTAGGAAGGCCTGCATGGCTCTGTTGGTTAGAGCGTGGTGCTGATAACACCAGGGTTGTAGGTTCAATCCCCGTATGGGACAGCTGCATATTCCTGCATTGCATGGGGTTAGATTGGATGACCGCCAGGGTCCCTTTCAACTCTACAATCCTATGATTCTAAGTTGGTGATTTGGTCTGAAGCTACACGGTGGAGCGGCAGCACTAAGACACTAAGGCAATGGGTCTTGCTTCTAGGAGCCCTCTGTTTGCCCATTGATTTGCATGCTGAGAACCTCCCGCCCCCCCAAGTGTCAGTCATGGAGCTTCTGTGTAGGGATGTATGGTAAGGTTACCAGACATCCCCGTTTCCCGGGGACAGTCCCCAGATTTACAAATCAGTCCCCACACAAAATCCATTGAAGTTGAAATGTGTCCCCGGATTCATTGAAAAAAATCTGGTAACCTTAATGTACGGACATTTCAAAGATCATGCCAACATCCATTTGCACATTAATCTGATGTTTTCTGTTCTGCTGAAATTGGTTTCTTTTGCACAAGTCTTCCTTTTCATCCTCTACTTGTATGGAAATGCTTGTTTTAAGGAAATGTATCTTGTGGCGCACAAAGTATCATCAACATATATTTAAAAATCATTTACTTTCCCTTGGTGTTCCTTGCATGCAGCAAAAGCAACAAAGAGTCTTGAAGCACCTTAATGGTCCATTACAAAGCTCCGCATGCTTGCAATTCTAGCTATGTCTACTCAGAAGTAAGCCCCATGGAATTCAATGAGGTGAGCGGAGTCAGAATCCCAGCCTAACTGGTTAGCTTGATTTCACAGTCCATCACCTGTCATCTTGTCTGCTTTCCCTCACCCAGGCATCAGGGAGGGATGGTTTAGCACCCTCTTGACATTTTGCTCTTTATGTATGAATTAATCCTTCAGTCAGTAATAATGCTCTTTAACCATAATGTAAGTCCTTTCTTTATTGCAACATTTTATGCATGCAAATGTTACTCAGAAAATGGTGATGTGTGGGTGTTTCTGCTGAAACATAAACTCTCTGGGTAAGGTAAAGGGACCCCTGACCATTAGGTCCAGTTGTAACTGACTCTGGGGTTGCGGCACTCATCTTGCTTTATTGGCCGAGGGAGCCAGCGTACAGCTTCCGGGTCATGTGGCCAGCATGACTAAGCCGCTTCTGGCGAACCAAAGCAGCACATGGAAATGCCGTTTACCTTCCCGCCGGAGTGGTACCTATTTATCTACTTGCACTTTGACGTGCTTTTGAACTGCTAGGTTGGCAGGAGCAGGGACCGAGCAACGGGAGCTCACCCCGTCACGGGGATACGAACCGCCGACCTTCTGATCGGAAGTCCTAGGCTCTGTGGTTTAACCCACAGCACCACCCGCATCCCAAAACTCTCTAGGTAATTTGTTTCAAATGTTGGGACTTGGCTAGTAGGGCAATACTTCAAAATGAAGATTTAGGGGACGGGTGCCAATCCATATGGGCCTCTTCACTTTGACTGCTAAAGTCCACAGGTAACAAAAGAGATCACTTCTTTCCATGGGAAAAGACAGAGCCGGCCCACCCATGATGTGGGGTGAAGGACCTGCCTCAGGCGGCAGAAGTGTAAGAGGCAATGCTCCACCCATCCCACCAATTTTGCCACAGAAAGGAAGGTGTTCTAGCTCACCCCATTGCCACTTGTCTTCCCCACCCCTGGGCAGAGAAGCAGAGAGAGCAGCAATAGTTTGAGGAATGCCCTGACTCCCACTAAGTTTGGTAAGAGCCAGGGCACCCGTGCAAGTGGGACACAGCATGGTGGGCCAGGAGGTGGCAATTCCTGTTTCACTTCAGGTGGTGAGAAGGGATGGGCTGCCCCTTGGAAAAGGAAAACAATCAACGCTGCATTCCACTTGATTTTATAGTTCACAGTAAAAAGTGGATTAAAGCTACAACCCTAACCCTCCCCTGCCCAAGATTAAATCCCATTGAATTCAGTGCCGCTGACTTCTGAGTAACCATGGTTAGGGTTGACAGTCCTGGTGCATTGAGGCTGCCTCAGGCATCTGTCAGGGCAGCAGCAATTCTACATCAATGGATATCTAAATGCAAAGCAATTTACATATCTGTTTAGATATAAAGTGTGCAATGCATCTTTAAAAACAACAACTTTTGTTGTGGAGGACTAAAGCAAAAAAGCACGAGTCTGTGCTGTGTTGGGGATTGAATGGGCAGATGGGAGGAAATCCATTTGATAGTCCGTTTTCAGTGCGTTTCTCTGACATCTGATTCTGGGAAGCGTTCTAGGGGATATAGATTAATCCCACGGGGAGCGCCTGCAAAGTCTGGTGGGACCTGCTTTTGGTCCACATGATCTCAGCATGTAGTGTAGAAGCACATCCAGCACTCCTTGATGGCTGGGGCATTGTAGTGGGTGGCGGCTGCTGCTGTGGTGGCCGAAATGTATTTCAGAGAAGCTTGTTTGCCACCAACTATCTTCCCATGGAGGGGCCCAGGATATACACTTCAGAGCAACCCCAGGCTTCTCCAGAATGCAATTACTCTGACACAAAGGGGTTCTAGAATGTCCTGAAGTTTTACACTATTAAATCCAATTAAATATGCTGGCGCAATGGAAGCTTAGCAGTATTGGGCTGCGGGGCATTTACATTTGCCAAAGCCAAGTATTTAAGCAGCACATGACTAATAACTTATTAGCACATTCTCCCAGAACAGCATGCTAATTATCCCTCTTGGAAAATCAATGGAAGAATGAGGCACATTGTATTTAAAACTAGAATGGGACAGTCCTCTCCACTTGCAACGTGAAACGGAGCATTTGTGCTCTAAGTTTGCTTACTTAAAAGCAAACTTCTGTAACGGCACAATTTTGCTGAGCATCCATTACTTTACCACATGGAAATCTGTTCTTGGTACAATGGTTCTACATGCGTTCATTGCTTTGGGTAATAAACCTAGGCAAGCCAAGAACCAGGAAACACGATTGTCTTCTGTCACATCTGTTTGAACAATAAACACCCTCATGTACTGAGGTATTATCAGGGATATAGGCCTTTGACGACTGGTGCAGAAATGTTTCCTAAATGCCTGGTTCCAGGGCCATGCAGAGGAAAAAAGCTAGGAAGTGTGTACGTAGTGATGAAACACAAAGGTGAAGCCACCATCTGGGCAACTAATCAACAAGTTTCAGAACTTTTATATTGGGGTGTGCAGGAATATTGAATTCCGAGCTGAAATGGGGTGCCTTGGAGAAATCTGGGGCTTGTCAGAGGAAAAGTGGGAGCCTTATGAGCCAACACAAGTTGAAGTGGAGGATCCTCAAGCACTTGGGGTTCAACCCTCGTGGTCCCTTCCAACTCTACAAATCTGTGTATAGGATTGCACTGTCAAATGAGTTCTGGGCTTTGAAGGGAAAACAAGTTAGCCTCTTGGGATAGGAAAATGCCAGAAAACGTGATGTGTATGTACTCTTAATAATATCAATACAGTGGTGCCCCGCAAGACGAATGCCTCGCAAGACGGAAAACCCGCTAGACGAAAGGGTTTTCCGTTTTTGAGTCGCTTCGCAGGACGAATTTCCCTATGGGCTTGCTTCGCAAGACGAAAATGTCTTGCGAGTCTTGAGATTTTTCCCCCGCTTTCCCCCCCTTTATCTAAGCCGCTAAGCCTTTAATAGCCTTTTAGCAGCTAATCCGATAAGCCGATAAGCCTTTAATAGCCGCTAAACCGCTAATAGCGCTAATCCGTTAAGCCGCTAATAGGGTTGCTTCGCAAGACGAAAAAACCGCTAGACGAAGACTCTCGCGGAACGGATTAATTTCGTCTTGCGAGGCACCACTGTATTAATAATATCTATTTGACACCGTAAAGCCTTTGGGTGCTACTCACTGCCTAAAAACTACTTGGGACACGGGTGGCGCTGTGGGTTAAACCACAGAGTCTAGGACTTGCCAATCAGAAGGTCGGCGGTTCGCTCTGGTTCGCCAGAAGCGGCTTAGTCATGCCGGCCACATGACCCGGAAGCTGTACGCCGGCTCCCTTGGCCAATAAAGCGAGATGAGCGCCGCAACCCCAGAGTTGGTCACGACTGGACCTAATGGTCAGGGGTCCCTTTACCTTTACCTTTACACTGCCTACAAAAGTCAAGTTGCATTTACCGGAAACCAAAATTTAAAACAAGCCATTGAAAGGAGAGATTCTTTTTGCAGACGGCCAAGAATTGCAGCTCTCCTTTCAGTTTTGCAAACTACGGGTTCCCCCTGTGCTTCCTGACAAAACAATAAGCCATTAGCCTCTAGTGCGTTTGACACTTAACTAAGGCACAGCACCTTAAGAAATCTTTTGAATCTGTGAAAGGGAGAGATGCATGTTTCCAAATGCAAGATTGGGCTGAGCAGAAGAACACTGCTGTTGGAAGCAGCTTCTTGGAGTGCAGCCACTGCAAATTTGGAGAAGTCTGGTAGTCTGTGATTGGCTCAGTAGGCCAGAAGTAGTGAAGGCTGCTCAGAAGCATCTGTTTGTGCTTCACCTGGAAGGCATAATATCGCTAAGTGCCATTCATTATAAGCAGCATCTTGCATTTTTGGCAGAGCTGGTCTTGTATATATTCTAAGTCGACATGGAGGTTTAGAGCTCAGCTCACTCATCCCACACCAGTGCAGGGGCACAAACAGAGTCCCCAGGAAAGAAGGGGCCAAAGGCGCATTCAGCTATAATACTGCACGTTATTTTTCTTTCCAAATTGCAGGTTCTGCATCTTAATGCCTTTTAAGACAACATCACCTGCTGTTTTTGCTTCCTGACTTTCGTGTTTTGCTTTGCCGCTGTAGTTTTTAATTCCCATGGTCTTTGCCCATACACCTATCATCTTAGTTTAAAAATGCAATCTGGTTCGCATGCGACACAAATTCTTACAGCAAGCCTGTAAAGTCTGTGGGGAAGCAAAGCACCATCTACGCCAGGCCGGCCAGTTCCCTCCGTAATTGAATCTTCAAGCCCTGCCTGACAAAGGAAAAAGACAAGAGAAAAATGAGACACTGGTTCAGGTGCACACACAGCAGCTTAGTTAAAAATGAATCCTCTCTGGGGAACGGTTGGTGGCTGAGCTTTTCCCCAGCCCTGATATCTGCTGTATTTCATGGCCCTGCTAGAAAACGGAGCCACAGAAAACTCCTTCCCTTCAACCATGAACTTTGCTGAGCTTAGTTTGAATATGATCTCCTGCCCTGATCAGGGCCGGATTTAGATGAAGAGAGGCCCTAGGCTATTCCACTTGTGAGGCCCACCCCCCTACCCTCACGACTAGAAGAAAATGGAAGAGTGTTATGAACAAAATTGAGTGAAGCCAAGGATGATGACGGGTATTTAAAATTCTGCAATTCACAAATTCTCCTCTAAAGGACATAAGATGGTTAAATACCATGGTGATTTTAAAAAATGCATAAAACTTTTGCAGTAGCTGAACTTTGTAAACATTTTGTGGAATGAGCATTATTTTTTGGAAAATGAAGTTCTAATGTTATTCTTAAAATAAGGTCTGGGTAGGCCGGTCTTCCTGTCATATACTTGCTGGGATTGACAAAGCATATGACCCTCACCTGAATCTCATAGCTCTCCTGACAGGTGATTTGGTCTGCAGCCGCAGTGTGGAAATAAAGGAGGATATTGCCCACCAGATACCAGGCACTCTATTATTCAAATTAGGCCCCAGTGTTTTTCTTAAATCCCCTTCTCAATGAATTAATCAATTTTAATCTAACATGTAAATTCTCAAAACTTATTTATTTGCTAATTCAAGCAACTACTGCTCTCACTTCATTACAAACAGTATTTCTACGTGCAACACACTTGAGCAAACCTGCTCCTCTTCCTTTCACAGATATTTTGTTTCCATTTGCAACTGTAGCTGCCTCTGATGAGTTATCATTTAACTCTTTGGGGGGGAATTAGCATCAGACATCATATGCATGTCTGGCATTCAAATCAGGAGGAAGATGGGGGAGAGTGGCCCAGAGGAAGGCAAAAGGACAGGGCCTGAGGGCCTTGGATACATGGTTGGTGGCTGACTGGCAAGGAAAGAGCCTAGCAAATGCATTGCTGGGCTAGACAAGCTTGCTGTGAATGACAGCATTCCCTCCTAGCAGAAGACTCACAGATTGGAAGGAAACCATAGTGGTTAGGAGGAAGACGCTAATCTTAGGAAGGAGCAAGTGGGGCAGGAGTGAGATAATGATCTGAGACTGCAGAACTCTGTACTATAACAATGGGCTGTAAATAATGGGTGGTAGGTCCGTATGGTAAAAGCTATGGTTTTCCCAGTAGTGATGTATGGAAGTGAGAGCTGGACCATAAAGAAGGCTGATCACCGAAGAATTGATGCTTTTGAATTATGGTGCTGGAGGAGACTCTTGAGAGTCCCATGGACTGCAAGAAGATCAAACCTATCCATTCTGAAGGAAATCAGCCCTGAGTGCTCACTGGAAGGACAGATCCTGAAGTTGAGGCTCCAATACTTTGGCCACCTCATGAGAAGAGAAGACTCCCTGGAAAAGACCCTGATTTTGGGAAAGATTGAGGGCACAAGGAGAAGGGGAGACAGAGGACGAGATGATTGGACAGTGTTCTTGAAGCTACCAGCATGAGTTTGACCAAACTGCGGGTGGCAGTGGAAGATAGGAGTCCTGGCGTGATGTGGTCCATGGGGTCACAAAGAGTTGGACATGACTAAACGACTAAACAACAACAAGAACCCAACACAGCACTACATGAGCATTCCATCAGTGCCAGGATTTCTGCTTGTGCAATGGAATGTTCTTCCCCTTCTCCTCCCCAAATCCACTGAGAAATATTGCGCTCGAAATTCTGTATGGTGATGTAAAAGCTCCGCCTGCTGTGTTTGAACTGTGACGACTCATTCTCACCTGTAAGTTGCCACTTCCTACTGCCATCGTCAAGCAATAAACATGCATATTTGAACCAGGCCTTTAGAATACCCACCCAGAACCCTAATGGGCATTCAGTGGAGTGTCCAAGCTCTGTGCAGAATACTGTCATTTGAATAAGACCTGCTCACTCCAGGTCTTAAAATAAATGGAGCAGGAGGCCTCTTTCAATACCGAAAGGGGAGCTGCTTCATATGCACATTGGACCAATACACCCAAACCAAACTGCTGGGTAAGGGCAATTCACTCTTAAACGTATAGATCCTAGTGGGGAGGGGAATACTGTAGCTAAAATAATATGCTAAATTGTAACCATGTGCCTGTCTAGCCATAGTCAATAAAGCACTTTACCATGTTTAACACATCAATTTATGTTTAACATCACTTCAACATCAGACAAGGGAGTAATCCCATACATTTCAATGGGGCTAGTCATATGTTTCTAATTACGTGATTAAGATCTTGCTGAGAGGGGCTGCAATAAGTGCCTTGCCGCATGAAGATCTGAACAGCAAGTACCTATTTAAAAATCGGTGTGCAAAACTCCCTTAATGAAATGCTAAGAGGGAAAAACCACTTTTGTAGGTATCCTTTTGTGGATCTATTGTTAAATTCATCGCATTTTCTTTAGATAAAAAAAGCTGCAAATCCATATGACTACTTCATAGAACTTTGTTAACCTCTTTATTTTAATAGACGGAACTACAGCGTTTGATTTATATATTATTTTTTGCAAGGAGAAATGTTTTTTATATGTTTAGAAAATGCCATATTTTTATTTGAAGGCACGGAGTACATAAGAGGAAAACTTTCTTTGAACCATCTGTCGGAAATGGTGTGCAAATAACTCTGCAAAGCTTTGAAATCTTGCAGACTCGCATTCGGCGACCAGGGCCTTGCATTCTTTTTGACCAATATGGAAGCAACACCCTTTTACTTATTTTCACAGGGATATATCCTAATCCAGATGTTAACAAAAGAGAAGCCCGCAGTAACTCACAAGTCTCTTATACTTAGCTCTTTTCAATATTTTCATCTCCTTCTTGTTGATTCATGGCCAACTCCCACAACCAAATGAGGAAACTAATCTTCCCTCACCCTCAAATCCAGGCTAAGCTTTTCCCATTGATATAGGTCCCTTTCAGACAATCTGTTTTGTGGACATTCATTCTGGTTTGTTTGTATTGTGAGGTTATATGACATCAGCTGCTAATTGAGCATTCATTCAAATTTGCTTCTGGGAGGTGTTACAACATCACACTAAGCAACTGTGACTGTACAGTTCCCGGTGCATTTTTCCATCAAAAGCCCTCCTTTTCTGAGTTTTCAGTTTTCAAAAATTTACAGATACACACCTTACAACCACATACTACCAACACAAATACATATTAGACTTCCCTCCTCCCGTGTTTTGTGGTTTCTTATCTTATTTAAATTTTTAACACTGCATTTTCCACTTTACTCCATTTTTTAATTATTCTACAATTAATCTTAATAATACTTTTAACTGCTTGATTTAAGTTGGCCCTACTAATGCACTTACTTGCATCCCATGATTTTTCAAATATTCAACAAATGTCCCCCACTCTTTAATAAATTTTGTGGTTTCTTACCACACCCGTTAATTTTGCCATTTTGGCGTAATCCATAAATTTTAATCAGCCATTCTTCCTTGGCTGGAACAGCATCCTCTTTCCACCTCTGGGCAAATACCATTCTGGCTGCGGTTGTAGCATACTGTACATAATTCTTTTTTAAGGTCCTTCGGAATTTCAGAATTAACTATCCCTAAAGAGAAGTTCTGTTCTGGGTTTTTTTTACGCAAGAGCTCAGATCCACTTTAAAGGAACAACTTGAATGTGCCACTATGCAATAGAATCCCACCTGCAAAATAGTGACAGGCTGGGTGTTGTCATCGACCCCAGCCAGCATGGCTAAATGTCAGGGATTATGAGTCCAACATCACCTAGCGGGTGGGGAGGCACAATTTCTCTATCTCCCAAAGAATCCCAGGTGAGAATTTGGAGTTTGGAGAGAAACCTCCATTAGGGATCACTAGCCTCCTTACATAACTATAGTTCCCTGCATTGACCGGGGAACGGGACACACACACACACCATTAAACCAGTTGAAGTATGCAGTGTATATTTTGTACAGTGGTACCTCTGGTTATGAACTTAATTCATTCCGGAGGGCCGTTCTTAACCTGAAACTGTTCTTAACCTGAGGTACCACTTTAGCTAATGGGGCCTCCCGCTGCTGCCATGCTGCCAGCACACAATTTCTGTTCTCATCCTGAGGTCAAGTTCTTAACCCGAGGTACTACTTCCGGGTTAGCCGAGTCTGTAAGCCGAAGTGTTTGTAACCCGAGGTGTTTATAACCCGAGGTACCACCGTATATGGAAGACTTCAGTTTGCTATGCAATTTTAATGTGCATTAGCAGCAGGAGGACGAGTATAAAGCACACCTGGATAAGCAGGAGTGTTCTTTATACAGCACCTGGGGCTCATGATTTATTTATTTCTTTATTTATTGCATGAGTCTTGACTGCTTCCAATTGGTACTCGCCACCACATCCTATTGAGTGCTCTGCTTATGTAGGCAGGAATCTAGTCAGACCCCCTAACAGCCACCTGTCCCTATATTTTTACCCCAGCCTGTTATGCTGCAGGATGTCTATGTTGCTAAATTATAGCGAGTCCACTCATGGCGGCAGCAGCAGCGGAGTCAGCCACCCGCACACTTTGAGAAAACCTTCTACAGAGTTAACATAATGTTCAGTCAAGTGGATTAAGATGCATGAGAAATTCTGAAAAGTAAGGTTTTTAATTGTTGGGTTTTAATGAGGTTGTGCTATTATTAATTAGTAATATAAGACAGCTTCCTATGCCCGTATGCTCATCCAGTCAAACCATTGGGTCCATCTAGCTCAGTATTGTCAACACTGACTGGCAGCAACTCTCCAGGGGTTCAGACAGGGCTCTCCCCCAGCTCTATCTGGAGATGCTGGGGACTGAACCTGGGACCATTTGTGTGCATAGCAGATGCTCTGCCAACTAAGGTATAAAAAAAGTTTTGAAAAATACATTGAATTTTGCATAGCTCGCCATCGCCATCTAGTGTCACATTTGTATATTGCACCTTACAACACATTTAGAATGTTTTATTTGCAGCTGTGTAGCTGAGTCACAACTTATCCCTGCTACTACTAACTACTGCCATTTTAACAGCAACAACAATACTTTTAATGTACATGTTGCTAACCCTGCTCTGGACGTCAAAGCTTTGCTGAATCAGAGCTTGGACCTTTCCACAAAACGAATCTCAACCCTGTGTTTTAGGACAGTGGTTCCCAATTAGCCTAGTACTCTGGACCCCCTATATTCCAAAAGTCAAACCTTGGACCCACTACTTTTGAAAATTTGGATATGTCGGTGGTAGTTTTTGTTATGTGAATGCTGCCACAGACCCCCTGCGATCCATGGACCACCAATTGGGAACCACATACAAAAGTGCTTCTTAACTTTTCCCAGCTCTGCAATGTGCTTTCCATGTTTACCCAGGCATCATCATCTCCAGCAATCAGACTTCATTTTCCACACTGGCCAAGTGAATTCTTGATGCAGAATGAGTTTCTGTTAATGCATCTTCTGGGAAATCTTGATAATTAATGGTCTTTTGAAACAAAATATCATTAAAAATAATACCGAGCATGTTAACATCAGTTCACAGGTTGCAGCTAAGATAACCAAACTAGAAGAATGATGGGGAACCGACTCCCGGTTCTGACAGCTGAAAAGAACATCCAGCTATTCAAGGATGGGGGAACTGTGCCCCCTCCAGATGTTTTTGGCCAATGGTCAGGAATGATAGGAGCCAACAACGTCGGGAGGGCCACAGATTCACTATTCCCTGAGCAAAATAGACTTTATTCTTGCTGTAACTGTGTTTTCATGCTGTCCTGTCCTACTGCTACCACCCAGGAAGCAGGGGCAGACTTGGGTAAACTTTCGTAATGTGGCGCTCTGTGCAAAGCCAACATTTAGCAACCCCAAATGGATCTTCTCAATTTTGCGTCCCCTCCCCGAGCTTGGCACCCTGTGCGAGGGAACCACCTTAAATTCCACACTGCATGAAGCCGCTTGCATGGGCTTCTGCTAGTTTGACTCATTCATTGAATAGTGCCCTTTGTGTCCTGGAAGGTGGGATGGAGATCTTGATCTATATCTATCATCTATCTATCTATCTATCTATCTATCTATCTATCTATCTATCATCTATCTATCTATCTATCTATCTATCTATGTGTGGCTGTTCCCTAAATGGCTGGACAGAGGAGATCATGCAGGAAAGCTGCAGCAGAATGGAGAACTGAACCCAGGTGTTATCTGAGCTCCATATCTTAGCAACAAGGCACCTGTTTGTGCCAAGATGTTTGAGGGCAGCCAGCAAAGCAGACCCTTTGGGGACTAACCCTGGCAATTGGCCCCATGGGCCCAAGTGCAAAGCTGCTAACATCAGCTTGGCGTATTGGCAAAGGTCACTCCAAAGCAAAGTTTTGCCATATTACACCCTTTTATGTCAAGGTGCTTATTGTTTTAAGCTTCTTCTGGCACTTTCCATTTGCCTGGCAAGACTGGCCGGCTCCAGGTTTGATTCTGTCTGTGTCCACCGCATATGAAAGCTGCTGTCCTTTTTTTTTTTTCTTTTTAACCTAGGCAGCATGTGAGTCTTGCTTCCGAGGCAGGTGGAAGTAGCATGATGCCCCTTCCACTCTCTCACAATGGCTGCCGGCTTTCCTTGGATTTTGGTTATGGGACCAAGGCTTCACTTCTTCCCAGTAGCCAAAGATCAGCCACACCTCCATCTCAGGTGTGTATGGAAGCAGCAGTAACTCCTGGGTCGGAAGAAGAGAAGAAGAAGAGTTTGGATTTGATATCCCGCTTTATCACTACCCGAAGGAGTCTCAAAGCAGCTAACATTCTCCTTTCCCTTCCTCCCCACAACAAACACTCTGTGAGGTGAGTGGGGCTGAGAGACTTCAGAGAAGTGTGACTGGCCCAAGGTCACCCAGCAGCTGCATGTGGAGGAGCGGAGACACGAACCCGGTTCCCCAGATTACGAATCTACCACTCTTAACCACTACACCACGCTGGCTCGGAAGAAAGGTTTGTCCCCCCATGGGGATTTGATTCAGTCCATGGGGATGTAGGAGTTTCTGCTTAACAGCTCTTTGTATCACCTTCAGAAGAGGCAGGGAAGAATGGTTCAGATGCAGCAGAGGAAAAAGAAATTGTGTTTGTGTGTGTATGTTTTTAAGAAAAGAGCTCTACTGAAATTCTTAGTTGATAGCAGCCATGTTGTTGTTGTTGTTGTTCAGTCGTTTAGTTGTGTCCGACTCTTCGTGACCCCATGGACCAGAGCACGCCAGGCACTCCTGTCTTCCACTGCCTCCCGCAGTTTGGTCAAACTCATGCTGGTAGCTTCGAGAACACTGTCCAACCATCTCGTCCTCTGTCATCCCCTTCTCCTTGTGCCCTCCATCTTTCCCAACATCAGGGTCTTTTCCAGGGAGTCTTCTCTTCTCATGAGGTGGCCAAAGTATTGGAGCCTCAGCTTTAGGATCTGTCCTTCCAGTGAGCACTCAGGGCTGATTTCCTTCAGAATGGATAGGTTTGATCTTCTTGCAGGCCATGGGACTCTCAAGAGTCCTCCAGCACCATAATTCAAAAGCATCAATTATTCGGTGATCAGCCTTCTTTATGGTCCAGCTCTCACTTCCATACATCACTACTGGGAAAACCATGGCTTTAACTATATGGACCTTTGTTGGCAAGGTGATGTCTCTGCTTTTTAAGACAGCAGCCATAGGCACAGGAAATCCCTCTCCCTCTTGGTTGGCATATTGGAAAGAACTGCTTTCCTTTTTGTGGCATTTACTGAGCTTCCAGCAAGCAGGTTTGCTCGCCTAGGTTTGCATTGCAGCTCATTCTGCAGACTGGACTTCATTTCGTTCCCTTGGTGTCTCTCTCTCTCTCTCTCCCCCCCCCCGCTCTCCCCCCCACATTTGCCCCGAGGCTCAGATTTAAATCTCGTTATGTCAGCTGTGTTTCAGGCATTGGCCCTCTTTCGGCATGACTCTCTCTGGCCTAATTTAGATTTAAGACCATTTCTGTACCAGAGAAAGTGATGGTCTAAGTTTTGGGGGGTAGGGTGGTGGGGTAGGGGGAGAATCCAGACTCATTCAAGCTTTGTTTATATTCATCTCCCTGTGGCCAGCCAGACACCTGCACAAGCCATAGCACAAAGCTTTACACAGGGAAACAGTTGTCCAAGTTCCAAGAGCACTCTCAAATGTCCACAGCAACCATTAAGTGTGGTCTCTTGATTTTCATTCCCTGCATTTAATTTATTTCTCCAGATCAGGCAAGTCACATGGAGAGCCAAACTGGGAGGTGCCCAAGTACCCTAGAAATTGGAGTATGCATGGACATGGACACACACACACACACACACACACACACACACAAACACAGTACCAGTTGGTTGTTTGACTGATGTAAAGCCACTGCCAGGTGGCCATTAACTCAACGTCTCAATAATAACCAGATGGCTGAGAATTTGTACACCTCTTCTTCAAATATCTAGTTCTCTGGTCATTACTGTGTCTGAAAGCTACAACTAGAGATCCAATTGCGACATGAACCACCAGCAACATTTCCCAAGAGCAGTCACGGACATGGCACATGCAGCCACAGTCATCTCTGCCTTGTCCTAGGCCACACTGCACACTGCAGGGCAGAAAATCCAGGTTTGCCACCAAGGTTTGCATAATGAGCAAAAATGGCAGCCTGTCAACAATATGATACACAGGTAAGCAGGTGTGGAGTCAGGGTTGTTTTTTTTTTTGTCATCACAGTCATATTTTACATTTATAGGTCTATGCTGAAAGATGGGGTGTTGTGTGTAGCAGCTTGTGGTGTAATACAACCTCAACCAAGATGCACAGCCAGTCATGATTCCCTAGCTACATTTCTCACATGTTTGCAAACGTTCACACTTCACGCTTGTATTCATAAATACGAATTCAAGTAACGTATGAACTGAAGTGGTCTTCCAAGTGTACAGTAGAGCTGACAGTCTGTAGTGTCAAAGACAGAGGTGTGTGTGTGAGTGAGTGAGTGAGTGAGAGAAGATGCATAAGGCATCATATGGCAGCAAACTGGGAGTGCCACTGAATATATACGTAACAAGAGGCCACATCTACTTTTGATTCCCTTAATATAACAGCATGCTTCTGAGCATGCATTTATCTCAAACATACTTTGCATTTGTAGGTGCATATTTCAAAAACCTTAGTTATATATCTAAAACATCATGTGTGCAACTCTGACTGGTTGCACTAGGGAAACAGGAGAACCACAGAAGGTGAGACCATGGCCATCCAAGGATTTGCCTGGTTAGGTTCAGATAGTAAGTTCTGGGTACCAGTAGTAGTGGTGGTACAGCATTCCCCTGGGCCATGGATCATTGGGAAGGGTGGGCTTCTGCAGGGCTAGGCACTGAGGCAGGATAGAGATTACAAAGCGCAAGTCAAGATTTCCATCCTTTTTGTGAGATGAGTAAAAAACCCAGAAAGCATTGTTTTATGCTTTTAAGAAATGCAGTCAAGGAGAACCCGATTACTGAACCTTGATCTGAATTGTCACTCCCAAGTTACCCTTTTACAGAAATAGAGCACCGCAGAAATATGCAAATGAGGAATGGTTCATTTAAATTTAATGCTAATGAGAAGATTTCCTTCTCTTTCCAGCAGAGAGCAGCTGTTCTCATTTCAAGCTGGCAAAGTGTCTCTAAATCACCTCCACAGCACTGAGGTGGACAGTGATGTCACTGTTTATAGGTTATTAGTTATTATTTTATGGACATATCTGGCACCTGCCTTTTAAAGAGATGTTCAGACGGCTCCTGGCCTTCTGCCACTGAACCTGTCCCAGTAATCCTGTCTCTCACTAGCATCCTTCCAAGTGTCAAAACACCACTCCCTCCATACAGCAGATAACTTTTAAGAAGACTTTAGGTTCTTTGTTTCCTTGCAGCTTGCTGCTGCTTTATGATCTATGGAAACAAGGACATCGCTTCTCTGTTCAGCCCTGCTGGTCAAACATAATGGAATCTGGAGGCGGGGGGGGGGGGACCCAGTGTGGACATGTTCTTGCGTGGGGGTGGGGAGCAAGAAAGGTGAGGAGGAGGAGGAGGAGGAGAGCGGGAGAAGCGTGAAGCATATAGGGAAAGGAGAGCAGAAGGTGGATGATGCAAGGATAACAACAAAGGGAAGACTGCTTTGTAAGTTAACAGCCAGTGCTAGCCCAGAACATTTTGCTTCCTGAAGCAGAGTCCAAATGGTGCCTCTGTGCAACAAGGAGAGAGATACGGGAACAACATTTTAAAAAGTTTTGCTGCGCTGTTCAGACACCAAGCCCTGCCCTCAGCTATCCTCCCGCGGCAGCCCCTTCCCCGTGAAGCAGGTTGTTTCACCCTGTGGTATGACAGCTGGTTCCAGGTGTTGCAGGTGGATGACTAAGTGATGGAAACTTGAGATGGGATGGGTTCCTGGAAGAGGGGGCAGAGGAAACAAAAGCCACCTGCAGTTGCTCCCCCCAGGGATGACTGGACAAAACAAAGCCACTTCCGCCCTACGGAGGTGGAGTTGCGGGCGTCATGGCCCCGACATGCGCGCAGCAGCTGGAACCAGCCGCTGCACTATTGGGATTCCCGGCTGCGTCATCCCCTGGCCAGCCAATCAGCTGACTCAGGGGGCGTGGCCTGCCCTATTTAAGGCAGGACGCGGCCGGGGATCTCCCTCTTTGCCGCCTGCCAGCTGTTCCTGCTTTTCCCACCCTCCCGCCCTATCAGGTTTTTGTTCTTTGACCTTGCTATGGACCTTGGTTGGTCACCGTTGAGGGGCCTAGTAGGGATTTTTCCACTTGGCAAATTGGCACCAGTCACTTGGTTTTCGCCTACCTCGTAGCTAATCGTCACAACTTTCTGGGTATTGGTGGTTAGGCATTGGTATTGTTCTGTAGATGGAAGAGGGGAGATAGCACCATCACCTGCCCCACATATTGAAGGGTAGTCCGATAAAGGATTCCGGGGGACGTGGCCCTGTCCGATGCCTGGGGAGGTGAGGGCCTAAGGCACGCCCCCGAGCGGTGACCCCAGGGGAGTTCCTAGTTGATGCGCATCAGCAGGACTCCCCCAACTGGTGGTTAACCCTTCCCGGACTTCAAGCGGACGGGCTGAAGTCGGATATGGTCTGTTAGGACCAATGCCTAAGCCAATACAGCTCATCACCTGTAACCAATAAAGTTGTGGCCTTATTTAGCCCATTAACCTTAATAATTGTGTCATGTGTCATTATTTCCATTGGTGGGGGCGGGAGCTCACCACACAAACTGCTGTTGTAGACAAGGTGCAGGCCTTCCTCCAGAACCTGACCACTGGCTGCATTGTCTGGCTTGAGGGAAGAACTTTCTGGTAGAAGGGGAAGTCAATCTAAGCTGAGCTGGTAGGTGAGAGTTGGGGGAGCATCAGGGTTGGGGTCGCGGCATGTTGGGGGAAGGGGTGTATAAGTCTTTCTTCCCCCACTGTGTTCCCAACAACCCCTCCTCACAACCCCCCTACTATTAACCCTCAGAAGATTTGTAGTTTAGCTCTCTGTGTCTTTTGCACAAGAGAATTGTGTCCATATATGTCAGCATTACCTTGTGGCTGCACATTAGCCATTAGCCATAAGGTGTTCATAGTCCCTGTCCCAGAAAGCCTCCAAAAGGATTTGCTTTTTCCTTATGCTTTGGCAATATTTGTGCAGTCAAAAGCCAAAGCCACGTCAAACTGAAAAGAGAAAGGGGCTGTGACTCCATCACAGGGAGGGAGAAATGTGCCACAAATTAAAAAGCAAACTCACTCAGTCTCGCATTCTGTCAGGGTTGTAGATGAGGAACGGCATTGTATTTCATTTGTGATCAGTTCATGCCTTTCTCTGTTAGATGATTAACATGCCTAAAGTTCATTTTTTTTCCAGGAGCTGAAGCAGTGAGATACCTGCTTGCCAGCGCAGATTTTGCACTAATTCAGCATCACTTAGGTGAATTGCAGAAGTACCCTGTGCCTTCCAAAATATGAATCATCATTACATGAATGAATTCCCTGGGAAATAGAACAACTTCTGCTTCAGTTTTGCTAATAAGCAGCACACGCCTTCTGTTGCAGAGCCATGGCTTCTTAAGGCTTGGTGCAACAGAGATTAAAGAAGGTGGTGCATAATAACTGCTGAACACACTCATAAAAACCCAGGAAAGGGCAGATGACCATAGCACTCAATTATTGTGGTAACCTTCAGTGCTTGCAATGGAGTAGCACTCCAAAACAGGAAGCCCAAGAAATGGAAGCATTTCCCCGCTCCCCATCAGTTCTGTAGGCTTTGCAAAATGTGCATAACTCATTCATATAAACCAAATCAGCTCAGACTAGCCAGAAGGATAATGAATTAGGGAGTGAGTACAATTTGACTGAGCTTTGGCTCTGTGGGTTAAACCACAGAGCCTAGGACTTGCTGATCAGAAGGTCGGCGGTTCGAATCCCCGTGACGGGGTGAGCTCCCATTGCTCGGTCCCTGCTCCTGCCAACCTAGCAGTTCAAAAGCACATCAAAGTGCAAGTAGATAAATAGGTACTGCTCCGGCGGGAAGGTAAACGCGTTTCCGTGCGCTGCTCTGCTTCGCTAGAAGCGGCTTAGTCATGCTGGCCACATGACCCGGAAGCTGTACGCCGGCTCCCTCAGCCAGTAAAGCGAGATGAGCGCCGCAACCCCAGAGTCGGTCACGACTGGACCTAAGGGTCAGGGGTCCCTTTACCTTTACAATTTGCTAGCTCTACAAACATATGAAATGGCAACCTATCTTTTTCCTCTTCACCAGTAACTATCCTGTTTGCCACATGTCTGGTTGATTGCACATGCCACGAATTTGGTTTTAAAACGATGTCACACTTGGATCAAAGTCAGTGTGACATTGGTATGATATTCCAGCCAGTAATCCTAAGAACCTCCCTTTCCAGTGCCTGAAAATGTCTTCTCATTGGCTTACTACAGGCAGCTAAGGAGAGAAAAGGGGATTGTCCTCAAGAAACAGTTTGGGATTCTGGCACAGTTTTAGAGCTTCTCTCTCCTATAAGGATGAAGCAGGATCCAACCACAAGTTCACCATGGGTTGCAATGAGGGGTTTGGCATGCCAGCATGAGCTACGGCCCAGACAGAATCCTTTGCCTGGTTCACAGGATGCCAAACTGAACTCTACACCAACAATCTGTACGCCAAGCAGTTTCTGCTGCTTTCTCACTGCAGATCATCATCCTCATAATGAATGCAGCTTTGCCCTGTTTCTCATCTGCAACTGAAAGGACATATTCCACATCAGTGAGTATGTGGCACAGGCACATAACTTCTTCATTCTCACCATTTGCCCCATTACAAGCAGTGCAACGTCCTTGGAAGGTTGGATTGTATCCCACACAGTCTACTGCAGGTATTAAGAAGATTTTGGGGGGTAAAGGGACACCTGGCTGCTTTTTTGCGCTTTTTTTGGTGGCGCGTAGGAACAAGGGATCTACCAAGGTCAGATTTATTTGACAGCTTCCCTTCTGTTTGGAAGGAGCACCTGTCAGCTCTGTCCTTTTCATCCAGAGCTTTTTCTTGGGTTCTGAGCTAGAAGCTCCCCTGGCATTTTCCAGCCTCTGAATGCTTGAAAGCTGCTTCCTGCTGCAAAGGGTGTGGAGCTGCTCTCTGATCAGCCCTAGGTGGACAACGGAGCTCTCTTTTCGAGTCTGCCTGGCAGGAGCTGACCAGGCAAAAGGAGTGGGAGTGGGGGGGGGAAACATTCCTGTCCTTCGACTCTGGGGAAGCCAGAGCTCAGTGATCCAAAAGAGATGAAGTCCCTTCTCCACCACCACATAGAGATTTGGGGGGGGGGGGGGCTGGATTGATGCAATTCACATTTAAAGGCAAACCTACCTAACTTGCACAATCTGAAACAACACGTGAACTGAAACACAGCCACCTTTCTCGAATCTGCAGCTTTCCAAATTTTGCGATGCAATTTTCTCCAGCCAAACAATGTATACACAAATGCAAAGCGTGGATAAAATTGCATATATTGGTGTCAAACAACATACAGAAGTGCATTATATTATAGGAAGTTACTTTGCAAAAAAAAATAAATGTGAATATGAGGAAGAATTGCAGACAAAAATGTGAATATTAGGAGGAATTTGCACCAAAATGCTGGTGAATTTTTGTAAGGATTTAAAAAAAAAAGGTGGCATCTCCCCCCCCCCCCAAAAAATCATGCTGCACACCAAGGAGCTCTTTCAGTCTTAGCTTTTTTAGTAAAACACTGGCAAATGTCATAAGAGATAACATACAGTGGCTCTGAAACCAGGCAGATATTAGTTCAGCCCACGAGGAAATGAAGAGCACCAGATCGAGGCAAACTGTGTTAGGGACCTTCTGTGAAGCGCTGGAGGGGGTGAGAAGAGAGAGAGAGCTCTTTTTTTCCTGGAAAAGGGTAAGGAGGAGACAAAGCATGGCAGGATTCCTCAACAGAGCACAATGTCCTTCTCCTCCCTGTCCAAATATATATACAGTGGTACTTCAGGTTACAGACGCTTCAGGTTACAGACGCTTCAGGTTACAGACGTTTCAGGTTACAGACTCCACTAACCCAGAAGTAGTACCTCGGGTTAAGAACTTTGCCCCAGGATGAGAACAGAAATTGCGCAGCAGCAGCAGGAGGCCCTATTAGCTAAAGTGTTACCTTAGGTTAAGAACAGTTTCAGGTTAAGAACGGACCTCCAGAACGAATTAAGTTCTTAACCCAAGGTACCACTGTATATAAAAGAGAAAGGGAGGCTTTGAAGAAATACCTCTTCTGCAATCCACTAGATTCAGAAATGAAGAAGCAGAGAGCAGGGAGCAGAGCAAATAATAGAGCAGGAAGATTGTGACCCCCACCCCTCAAGACACAGACATTTCTCTAGCATTAGTGAGACCGAAGGCTCCACACTTGAATGTGCATAAACCCAAGCCCTAAATCCCAAACAGGGACACCAACAGGATTTCCTGGGTCCCGTACACTGTATGTGGATTGGGCCCCTTGCACCTGCCTCTCCCGGCAATCTATTGATAAGAATGGCTGCTTACATATTTTCATTTAGCCTACGTCACAGGGCTGGTTGCAAAAAAAAAAAAAAAGTGTAAAAAGCTGGAGGTGAAGAAAACGTGCAAAACCTTCCAGCTCCTGGGTGGGAAAGCAAGGTACAAGTATATGTCGCAAAGTGCATAAACCATGCCATACACTCCCATGGGACGCAGTGATGGCCACCAACTTGAATGGCTTTGAAAGAGGATTACACCAGGCTTCCTCAGCCTCGGCCCTCCAGATGTTTTTGGCCTACAATTCCCATGATCCCTAGCTAGAAGGACCAGTGGTCAGGGATGCTGGGGATTGTAGTCTCAAAACATCTGAAGGGCCAAGGTTGAGGAAGCCTGGATTAGACAAATTCATAGAGGTTAAGGCTATCAATGGCTACTAGGCTTGATGGCTATGCCTTCACAGCCAGAGGTGCTAATGCTTCTGAAGGCCAGTTAGTTGCTGGAAATCACAGAGGGGAGAGGGCAGAAACTCCCTTAACCTTACCTGGGGATTGAATCTGGGACCTTTTGTAGGTGTACAGGGCCAGCCCAAGACACATTGCTGCCTAAGATGGAGTAGTCAAGATGCATAGTACCAAAGGCTGGACTGTCTCCGAGGACAAAAAATATATATCTCACAGGGCCTCTCCCCCATCTTTCATGGTAAAAATATAAGGCAGATAAATTGAATAGCAACCCATTTCTTTCCCTTTCATGATACCCCAAATCAGCTTCCTCACTCTGCCCAATGTTAGGGCCGGCCCTGCTGGATGTGTATGCATTCTACCACTGGACTGCCACCATTCCCCTGCCCCCAAAAGAAGGGATGTTTCATTTAATTACCTGTCACCCTCATATTCTCTGTATCTTTCCAGTTTTAGGATTTGTGTCACCAACGCAAACATATAGTATGGGTTGTATCCAACCCACTGATAGCAATGAGCTTGAGTCAGTCATGTTCATTACTTTAAATGGGTACTGTGAGTAGGACTAGCATTGGCTACAACCCAGTATGTACCACCAGTGCAAGCCTTGTCAGTGTGTGTGAATCTGTGTGATCAATAGTTACAGGTAAGTACAACTTTGTTTTTCCTCATCTATCGTTCCAGGTCCAGGTGGATTTTCTATGGCTGGCTGGCAATATTTTCACTTGGGAACAGACCAAGGAACAAAGTCACATTTTCCATCTGACTACCAGAGACCCAGGCTCTCACAAAAGTAGCAGCACAGAGGTATCTGTTCCAGCTGATATTACCTTTCCCCCTCTTTGGTTGATCTGCCATTCACAATCAAACACTTGAGCCAACTACACCTTTAAAAAATCTGCCAGATGCAGGAAATATAAGCCCCTTTAAGAGCAGTTTTTGTTCATATAAAGCAGAATATATGGGTGGAATTCAACATCATGCTATGGTGAATGTCTCGTCAATGCAAGAGTTGAGGCTTGCCAGATGGAACAATCCTCCCTCTCCTCCCCCTATGTGCCGTTCTAGAGTTTCCCCCCACCCTGCCAAGCCAATTTGGGAGAGTGCTGGGGGGGGCATGGAGGGAAGGAGAGGAGGGGAAAGCCCCATTGCGCAAGTGGAAGCCCTTGTGCAGGTTCTGCATTGACGGGATTCATTAGGTGAATCCCACCAGTGTGTGTGTGTGTGTGTGTGTGTGTGTGTGTGTGTGTGTGTGTGACACCTTTTCCAGCAGTTGCAGACTAAGCCAGGAATTTAGAAATCCAATCTGTTGCCCAAGGTTTCCAGTAGAAAAGCAGTATTCACACCCCTCCTCCAAGCAGTTTGTTTTGTCTGCTTCGGTCTTGGAGGAAATGGAGATGAAGGCATTGGCTGGCTCAGACAAAATCTATTATTTCCCGGACTTGAGTCCCCACAGACTCACCGTACTGCAAGCAGGGAGAAATGGAAACACCTGGAGTAGGATTTTGACCTCACCAAGCCATATGAGATCAGCTGGAATCATATTATAGGAAAGTTTAAAAATGCCTGCAATCAAATCCATGACTCCCAGAAAAGCTCCAAACAATAAATGTGTCCCAATGGTTTAGTGTCCAGTCAGGACAATTCAGTTAAGCTTCTCAAGCTGAAACACAGCTTTACTGGGAGACACCTTTTGCTCCCAACCCATCAGGCTTGGGGATTTCATGCACATTTCCCATATGACCAGGAAAGAGAGAATGGAATTGGAAAAGCAGAGTAAACATACAACAACTTAGGGAAGGAATAGGGTTCTTTCATGCAAAGATGACACTGTCCTGGCTCTCACCCTCAGACACAGTATTTGGACTCAAGTCTCAGCATTAGTTCAAGGTTTCTGAGCACAATTCAAAGTGCTGGTGTTGACCTTTAAAGCCCTAAATGGCCTTAGTTCAGTATATCTGAAGGAGCACCTCCACCCCCATCGTTCTACCCGGACACTGAGGTCCAGCACCGAGGGCCTTCTGGCAGTTCCCTCACTGCGAGAAGCCAAGTTACAGGGAACCAGGCAGAGGGCCTTCTCGGTAGTGGCACCCGCCCTGTGGAACGCCCTCCCATCAGATGTCAAAGAGAACAACTACTACCAGACTTTTAGACGACATCTGAAGGCAGCCCTGTTTAGGGAAGCTTTTAAAGTTTGATGCATTATTGTATTTTAATATTTTGTTGGAAGCTGCCCAGAGTGGCTGGGGAAGCCCAGCCAGATGGGCGGGGTAGAAATAATAATAATAATAATAATAATAATAATAATAATAATAATAATTACAAGATACACGGTTCGTAAGTCTACAAGCACAGCTCTAAGATTCATGGCTAGGCAGTAGCTAAGGTGTTGCCCCTACACCTGGCATGCCTCTGCTGCTCTACTTTTAAAGAGTAGTGAAGGAAGAGTCATTTGTGTGCTTCCCATCCAAAGCGAGAAGACGGTACTTGCAAGTCTGTGCTCCTGCAGGCACTCCCTTGTGATGGGACCTGAGTCAGTCCTTCTGAACCTCTGGTTCAGCCAGCCCTGCTGATTGGACATCCCTCTGCCTCCTCTGCTACCATGGGGACTTCACTCCCAAGTAGCAGGGGACAGGCTGACTTGTGATGCCCGACAACAAAGGGGCGGAAACCTCTCCCAGCTCATTACCTGAGCTCTCTCCAGCGCCAACCCTTGAATCCTCCTCTGACAGATCTTGCCAGCTCTGCCCCATCCCAGCTGATGGTGATACCAAAGCCACTATTTTAGCCTTAGGCATAAGGCGTAACTGGCATCTGCCCACGTTCATCCCTGAAGTCCATGGCAGGGTAGGATTTCAAAACCAGATCTCCCACCATCCATTGCAGCTCTTGCACTGGCTGCACTGCTTCCTTAATGCATCCATCCCACCTCAAGACACAAACTCTCAAGGTGGCCTCAGGCAAACCATTATCCCTCCTCCAAAATATGGGATAATAATGATTGCTAGGCTTAGCAGTGCTATCTATGCACGATGCTTTGAACAATGAAGGTCATATTATAAGGGTAAGGAACCTGTGGCCCTCCCTGATGTTGCCAGACTACAATTCCCATCATACCTGATCATTGCTCATTCTGGCTGGGGCTGATGGGAGTTGGAGCACAACAACATCTGAGAGGCTACAGGTTCCCTAATCTGCACTATAAAATTTCCTCCTCCTCCTCCTCATTTTGATGATGATGATGATGAAAAGGCATAGATATAGAGAAACAACGATAACAGGAGATATATTTTGTTGTGTTCTCGGTGCATTTAGGAGTGCAGCAGCTTGTTTAACTCTCAAAGTGGGGTGCCTACTATGAGAACAAATGTACAGGTGAGACCCTCCTTTAGCTGAAAGTGAACCTGCCTTTGCCCACTTTTGTAATGCTGTTAGGAAGCGCTTTTATTTGAACTTCTTGATGTTCCAGCAGATGTAGTTAACCACCTGCCACCTGTCCTTTGGACTCCAGCCCCAAAACAACTCATAAAAAGAACTTGCTATCTCTGGCAGATCAATCATTATGCAAACACACGAGCGTCTCTTTGACGCCCGGTTCAACACTTTTGAGGCAGCGCGTATTAATACTGTAACTGGGGCGGTGGTGGGTGATGACAGTTTGCCTGCTAACTGGCATCCTGCTGCTTGCCTTATCTGTTCTTGTGAAAAGAAAGGCTGTCAATTTGCAATTTGCCATTTTTTAAAAATTTTAACCCAAAATAGCCTATCAACTCACTGGACCCAATTCCCCACAGTGTCACTAGCAAGATCTGCTGGAGCTGTTTTGACCTTGTTTGGCCAGTAGGGGGTTCTGTCTGCAATGGAACCTGTTGCATCTATGAGCTTCTCTCTGGGCTAGGCCACTAAGAGAGCAGCAAAAGGAGCCCATTCTTCCCAGAAGCATCTGCTCGGCAATTGTTCAATTACTTCACAAGTGGGATGGCATCACGGTATTGCACAACCATGTGGAATCCTATTGGGGCCTAGTCCTATCGCCTGCGGGCCAACGCCACCATCTGCTGACATCAAGAAGCAGGCGAGGTGATATGGTGGGGCAGGCCTAGCCTGGCCTGTGTAGTACATATGTGTCTTCCTGGAGATCGATGGTGGCAGAGAGCAGCACATTCCCTTTCAATGGCAGACACAGGCTGTCCAAGAGAGTCGACAACTTTTGCTTTCAACAATACAGTGGTACCTTGGTTCTCAAAAGCCTTGGTACTCCAACAACTTGGAAACAAACACTGCAAACCCGTAAGAAAGTGTTCCAGTTTGCAAACATTTTTTGGAAGCCAAACATGCTCAGTTTTGAGTGTTACACTGAGGTCTGTCTGTTTTTGCTATTTATTTTGCATTTTTTGTTTTTGCTGCTTTTTTTCTTTTGTTTTTGTGACTGTGTGGAACCCAGTTCAGCTACTGATTGACTGATTGATTAATTGTGTGACTGCAGTACATTGTTTATTGCTTTCATTTTATGGATCAACGGTCTCATTAGATAGTAAAATTCATGTTAAATTGCTGTTTTAGGGGTTGTTCTTAAAAGTCTAGAACAGATTAATCCATTTTGCATTACTTTCTATGGGAAAGTGCACTTTGGTTTTGGAGGTAAGGTTCTGTCGGGCTAGGCGGTCAATAAGTCTAATGTTTACTAGTTCACTGGACACTTTTCAGATCCTTATAAAGTCTACCTGCTATAAACAATTTTTTTTCCTGTTTGGACCAGTTGACAATCCCAGAACTGCACATGGTATGCTGGGGCAGTCTGCACTGCCAGAGCTGGCCAAATCCTTTTGCTACCTGAGGATAAGATGGTGCTGTCCCATGTGCAGAAGCTGACCAGACTGACAGTAGAACCTTATCTCAATGTTGGCAAAGGGGCAGTGCCCTCTTCCGTACTTGAGGGCAGCAGTCGGTGAGCTCTGGGGGCACACAACTAGCTGTATGACATCTCTCTCCTCCAACATTTTGACACTGCTTTCCGCCCCTAGCACCCACCACCTAATGTCTGCATAAAGGTAGGGCTGGGCCCTGTGCACAACATAGCCCGGGGAGGGGGGGCTCTCCTGCTTTCCCCACTTTCTGCCAGGCTGGTGACAGGTGGAGAGTTCAGTCACCTCAGCTCCACACAATTAAAGCACTCTTATACAACTCAAACAGGGATGCAGGTGGCACTGTGGGTTAAACCACAGAGCCTAGGACTTGCCGATCAGAAGGTCGGTGGTTCGAATCCTTGTGACGGGGTGAGCTCCCGTTGTTCAGTCCCAGCTCCTGCCAACCTAGCAGTTCAAAAGCACATCAAAGTGCAAGTAGATAACTAGGTACCGCTCCGGCGGGAAAGTAAACAGTGTTTCCGTGCGCTGCTCTGGTTCGCCAGAAGCAGCTTAGTCATGCTGGCCACATGACCCGGAAGCTGTACGCTGGCTCCCTCGGCCAATAAAGCAAGATGAGCACCACAACCCCAGAGTCAGCCATGACTGGACCTAACGGTCAGGGGTCCCTTTACCTTTTTATACTACTCAAACAGCCATGGCTTTCACCCAAAGAGTCCCAGGAACTGTCATTTCTTAATTACAGTTAGCAAACCAAGAACTCTGAGCATCCTTAGCAAACTTCAGTTCCCAGGATTCTTTGCATGAAGGTGTGGCTGCTAAAGTGCTATTGGAATGCTTTAGATGTATGTTGCAGGTGTGACCCGCACACCCTTTCCTTGCCGGCCTTGTTTATTTCTTTATTCGCAGCTTTGTGCCCTGCCAGCTCAGCTACAAAGAGCCCTCAACTCGGCTCCCTTGCTCTGTTTCTCCCTTGCGTTGCTCACAGCCGCCAGATGTTCTTTTGAACTATTGTTGTGTTGCGTTTATACAAAGATGCATATTTCTCCACCAGCTTTTGGAATAAAATCTGCAACTATTTGTCTCTGTGGAAAAACAGCCACCACCACCACCAGACCAAGGGCTCTTTCCCACATGGATCAGTTGTTTGAGGACTGACAGTCTATTGACTATGCACTGTCCATATGCCTGACTTGGTGGTTGTGGTTGTGTTGCAGGGACTCTGCATTTTCTGAGCTTTCAAACCACAATATTTTTAAAACCCTGGGAAAATGTGATACTTCCCCTCCCTCCTCCCCTGGGCAGCACATCCATTAGAATGTGGTTGCACATGCAGACTGCTTCCAGTAACTATTACTTACCATAAAAGCAGTCCACACACACACACACACACACACACACACACACACGTATTAGTGTAAGATGATTCCCATGGACAGCAAAAAAACAGGTGGAGGTCAGTCCAACCCTATGCATGGGTATTCAGACATGTGTATAGGGATCTAACTGGGGAATCATCCTGAATCTCTGTTAACGCCACTCATGTGGCCTACCTCCCCTGTTGCAGCTCTGCAGGAGGACATTCTCAATTAGCTAAGCCCCCAAGGAGTTGTGTTTTTCAGGCATTCAGCAGCTGAATACCTGCCTGTTCATAAACTGCATGTGTTTCTCCCCTGCTCCCCTACCAACTAAGAAGAGTTAATAGCATTAACCATTTTAAGAGATCTGGCTTCCTGCCTGTCATTAACATTGTATTGCATAACAGGGGATGAATTTAATACCCAGGGAGCTGTGGTGCAGAATATTCATATGCCAGGAACCAAAATGAAGTAAATGCAAATCTTCATTACCAGTGGAGGATGTTAAATATTGATATTTTCTTCTTGATGCATAAGTCTGGGACACATGAAACTCAATTACAAGACAACTAAAAATGCCTTAAATTATACATAAACAGCAACAAAACGAAGGGAGACAAGCTCAACTTTGCAAAGCACAAACATCAAGACTAAACACGGAACAATGAAATGAGATCTGTCACACAATACAGTGAGAGCTGTCTTCCAGAGTGAAAAGGCAATTAGAAATGACGATGCATTAGGCTGAGTTCCTGCACAGCAGCAGCAGCAGTTGGGGTGCTTAAGTCTTGCTGAAATCAGCAAACAACCCAACTATGACCAGGATGACATTGAAACACGTGCTGGTTGCGTTTCTGTGTGGTTGCTGGATTCCCTACCAAGCTTAGGTCAAGATAATAGTAAATGCATTCCCAGCTCCAAACGTTCCTTGGATTTAAAACTCAGTTTTAAATTACCATATTTTTCGCTCCATAAGATGCACCTGACCTTAATACGCACCTAGTTTTTAGAGGGGGAATGCAAGAAAAAAAATATTCTTTGAAGGGAGCGCTGAGCAGAGCCTGTATGCATCCCAGGCTCTTTAAAGGGAGCGCGGCTCTTGGGGGCTTTTGCGGGAGGTGGGGGAAGGGACAGAGCGTGGCTAAGCCAGAAGCTAGAACAGCGAGAGGGAGCGCAGTGATCCCTCTCGCTGTTCTGGCTTCTGGGATAGCTGCGCAGCCTCTTCAGGGCAGTGGGATGAAGGCTCCCCGCTGCCCTGAAGAGGCTGCGCCTGGCTAAGCCAGAAGCTAGAAGAACGAGAGGGAGCGCTGCACAGCGATCCCCCTCGCTGTTCTGGCTTCTGGGATAGCTGCGCAGCCTGCATTCGCTCCATAAGATGCACACACATTTCCCCTTACTTTTTAGGAGGGAAAAAAGTGTGTCTTATAGAGCGAAAAATACGGTATGTCCTTTTTTTTTTTAAAGGGTGCTTTCTCATTGGTTTGCCAGCCATTTAAGCACACAAATGTGCTCGCTATTTTCCTTGCCACAGAGAGAGTTGCCACTTCTTCCACTGACCTTTCTCCTCCTGTGGCTTTAACAGCAGCTAGGTATGCAAGACATTAAGCAGGCGAAGCTTTTCCTGGAATGGAGATGGAAATGGCATATTTCTATGTGCCGAGCTTCTGTGAGAAGCTCACTTAAAGGTGGCAACCCTTGCAACAGCAAATGTTAGAAGACTAATGGGTGGCTTTGTGGCTACAGCCAGAGTTGGGGTATCAGATATGGAGGACCAGAGAGGTTGTCTCTTGCGGACGGTAAAAAAGATGGGTTTCCTTTTCACAGGCTGGCACTGTGACACCAGCTCTAGATGGGAGCAAACCAAGACATTAAGATGATGATTGTTTCTATAAATAGGCAAGCCTGAAAGCATATCCTGGGCAATTCAGGCCTATGAGCATCTCAGAAACCCCTTTCTGGGCCCAGCGAAACATTTTCCACATTTAGGTAATCAGGCTGCAACTTATTAGCTTTTAGAAATAAAAACCTTCATGAAAATCCCTTGGGATAGTTAAGGATGCAATGCTGCCTGCAGTGAAGACAACAATACAGCACAGAACGAGGAAGAAGGCAAATGGCTCTAGATTATGAAAACAATATTTGACCATGAGATATATGGAGGGACCATGCCAGGGACAGGGAGCCTCTGTAGCTCCAGATGTTGAGCTCCAGCTCTCATCAGACCCAGCCAGCATGGCTCACGGTCAAGGGTGATATATCGGGGGGGGGGGCGACGACATTTCCCAGCCCTAGATTATATAATGACTTATGGAAATCAGGTGCAGTTAATAACGAGAGTGAAAGCAAGAGTGAAGGAGAACATGGTGGCGCAGGGAGCAATAGATGTTCAGGCATGTGTACGTTACAAACAAAAATCAGATGAATGGCTAGGGTTTCTGCTAGAGTGGCCAGCTGCCCTACTGTACAGAGGACAGCCCACTGTTTGAAAGGCTGACAGATCTAAGCCTGGCTTAAAGATAAAGAACCACGAGAAAGGATAGCAGGGGCTATGAAGTTGCCCAACCAAGGCAACTTCTGGAGAGAGGAGTGAACAGCCACACATGTTACCTGGTTAGATACATTGAGTGCAATTATAGGCGTCAACTTTCAGATTTGAAAATAAGGGATCAGCAGCCTCACCTGTCCTGGGGACAGTCTACGGGATATCTAACAATCCGGCATAGCAGTGGGAAGCAGCGGGAAACGGTGCTGGAATAAGGGAATTTTCCGCAAAAAAAGGGAAGGTTGACAGCTATGAGTTGAATCCAGCATCATGCTAATGCAATTGCTTTGTCTGTGCAAGAATTTCTGCCAGCTAGATGGAACCATCTCCTCTCCCACCACTCTGTTCTGTTGTTCTCCCACCCTACTGACTTGATTTGGGGTGTAGGGGCACAGGGAGGGGAGGGGTAAAGCCCTATTGTGCTAGCCTATCTAGTGTTGCCTTCCACTAGTGCAGCTTTTTAATTGAATCCAGCCCGCTGAACCTCTATTCTTTTTACATTACAGTAATTATTTCTAACTGTACACCCATACATATAAAATTAGCTCATGCAAATTTCATGTAAATCTGTGTCCTTTGGTTTGGTGATGCATCTCCTCTTCTTTGGCAATGCATAAATGGTTACCTCAAGAAACCCTGGGAATGGCCACTCTGTGAGATAGCTGCAAGTTTCTAGCAAAGTTTCCAGCATCTCCACGAAAGGTCCTGTTCTCAAGGTCCCTTGGAAGAAAGTCTGGCTATTGAAAGCTGGTTTAAATTGCAGCTTAGATGAGACTGCAGCCAGCTGATTGGGAGAGAGGGAGTTCAGCTGAATTAGATGGATTCTTCCAAGAGACTCAACCTTAGAAGATCAAAGCAGCCCTGCTAGATCAGGTCCAAGATCTCTCTAGTTCAGCATCCGGCTCTCCCAGAGGCCATCCTGATGCCTGTTGGAAACCTGCAAGCAGAACCTTAGCACAACAAGACGGTTTGTCATTCCCAGCAAATAGCAATCAGAGCCATACTGCCTCTGACTGTGGTTAATAGCCACTGATGGCCATTTTCCTCACAACACCTGGAGGGCACTAGGTTAGAGAAGGCTGCCTTATTCACTTCATGACATTGGGAATGAAACTGGGTAAATACCATTGGCTTTATGGCTTTGCCACTGTTTCTATGGTGTTTTACAGCAGGACTGGGGAACCTGTGGCTCTCCAGATGTTGTTAGACTACAACTCCCATAATCCATGAGCATTAAACAGGCTGGCTGCATTGCTGAGACTTGTAGACCTGGAGGCCACAGATTCTCCCATCCCTGTTTCAGACTTGAAAGCATTCAAAGTGCTTTGGAGAACAATGGTGCTTGATAACCCAGCTAACACACTGCTGGACAGCTCCCGTCTTGGTCATTGTTCAGCTGCTCAGTATTTACACTCACTAGTTCAGCTAGACTACTATCCTGCCCAGAAGACGGGGAATGACACACCTACAAATTGTCCCTTACCACTTTGCAGCTGAGGAGTGTTAACCAGGACCCCTTAAATGTGTGTTAGCCACCCAATGTGCGTTACAGTTAAATGAAAGAGGAATAGCGCACGACAACAGTAAGCAATTCATACTGGGATTGATCGTCTATAATTGACCTCAAAAGGACATAAAATAATGTAACACACAAAGCCCAGCTTCTACCACTTCATATTCCATGTGTTCTCCTACAACAAAGAAGTCTATTATTCCGTGGCATTCCATTGCCTTCTCTTTCGTACGGAGTGTGCAAGATTGCATGCACAGAGGTGTGCGCATATGTGTGTTTTAATTTGTTGAAACAGCATTGAGGTCTAGTGGACCCCAGTCAAAGTGAACAGGGTGGAACAAAACATCATCTATCCAGGGCACTGAAGCTTGTAAATGATCCTCACAGGTGAAAACTCTGCATGAAGTTGTCCAGTATTATCTATACTGACTGGTAGCATTTCAGAGTCTTGGATGTGGATCCTTCCCAGCTCACCTTCCTGATGCTAACTGGGGATGCTAGGGACTAAACCCATGGGTAGGCAAACTAAGGCCCGGGGGCTGGATCCAGCCTAATCACCTTCTAAATACTGCGGATGGTCCAGGAATCAGCGTGTTTTTACATGAGTAGAATGTGCCCTTTTATTTAAAATGCATCTCTGGGTTATTTATGGGGTCTGCCTGGTGTTTTTACATGAGTAGAATGTGTGCTTTTATTTAAAATGCATCACTGGGTTATTTGTGGGGCATAGGAATTCGTTCATCCCCCCCCCCAAAAAAAATCTAGTCCGGCCCCCCACAAGTTCTGAGGGACGGTGGACAGGCCCCCTGCTGAAAAGGTTTGCTGACCCCTGGACTAAACCTGTGACTATCTCGGTGCAAAGCATGCGCTGCACCACTGAGGCCATCCAACAGCACAACAGCCACTTTACATTGCTGAACACGTTGAGATATAGAGGTGTTAAGATTTTTTTTAAAAAAAATCATACCTCTAGGAGGCTTTGAAGGAAGAAGCGCATGCCTAAGGTGTTAGGTATCATTGCGAACTCTAAATACCATTCTCATAGAGTTGGACTCCTGTACCATGAACAAAAATCCTCAATAAAATATCATTAAATTGGGTTTACTTGTCGATCTCATTTTGGTGAATCGTTTTTGTGCTGTGTTGTAACTCAGCTGTTCTGAGCTCTCATGAGCTCTCAACAGAAGTGCAGAATATAAATATGCCTAATAATAATTTTTAAAAAATAAATCTCTCTCCCCCCCCCCAAATTCATGTCCCACCACTTCCCACTGTAATAACAAGGAGTGGGTGAGTTTTGAACAGAAGAAAAGCCCAGCTGGATCAGTGTGGCCTATCTAGCCCAGGATCCTGTTCTCACAGTGGTCCTCCAGATGTCCATGGGAAGCCTAGCAGCTGGTAACCAGAGACAGGCTGCCTCTGACTCTGGAGGGAAAGTGACCCCAAGGTTTGGCACAAATGAACCTTCCTGTCATAATAAATGGCACCACATTAATCAAATAGGGAGGGGCAGGCCTGAGCCATGGTATCTCTTATTTCAGAAAACAAAGCACAAATAGCCAGATGGGTGTGTGTGTGTGTGTGTTTATAGCAGATCACAGGCCGAACATGAATCAGCAATAATGTGCTCCCCCTACCCCCACCCCTCCCATCCGTCCACAATACCAAAATGCCATTTTGAGCTGCATTAGCCAAAAAATTAAAAAAAGGGGGGGGGAGAAGCATTCTATCCAGAACAGAGGAAGGAATAGCATTGCTCCACTTGGCACCACTTAAGGCTAAGCCGAAGAAGTATTATGTTCGGCTCCCTTTGCCAGATTTTTAAGGAGGATGTGGACAAATTGGAGAGGATTCAAAGGGGAGCAACAAAGATGTTGAAGTGTTTTGAATGCAAGAAAAATGAGCGTGGACCAGAAAGAAACTGGGTACATTAAGCCTGGAGGAAAAAAGGATTAACAGTTTTCACAAGTTTAAAAGGCTGCTATAAAGAAGATAGAGGATACCTCAGGGAAGGACAGAAATCAACGGGTTTAAGCTGCAACTTTGTAAGAACAGTTGGCCAAGGAAACAAGCGGCCTCGGGGAGTTATTTTATATATATTTCCCTGGATATATTTTTTTTCCGGAGAAACTGAATAATTTCTTTTCTGGTATGGTTTGGATCAGGGCCAGATTAAAGGATATGGGTCCCTCTGCTCAGCTACACCCCGGGGTCTTATGCCTTTATAGTTTATCAGCATCTACATACAGTGAAGGGTGTGGAAAAATGTAGCCCCCCCACCCTTTATTGCATTTTTATCCCCTGAAAGCAGCTAACAACCAGAAAATACATGTATAATTAATAAAGCATTTGTGAAATCATTTGCTCCGTTCTGCCCACTGGAATGGTTTATATCCTGGTTCTTGCCCTTCACCACAACAGCTGCGGGGTCCATACCTATTAGCTACTACCAATGCTGTAGAGGAGGGAAGGGCAGCAGTGGATGGAATTGGTTTGCACAGAAAATGCACAGCTGTCCAGGATGGCTTACTTACACAAGCCATCCTTTCCCAGCACCCCATCAGCTCCAGCCACTATGAACAATGGTAAGAGATTATAGTTCAGCAACATCTGGAGGGCACTGATGGCATGGTCACTGGTGAACACAGACTACTAGTGCTGTTTGCATAAATAATAGGCAGCTGCAATGATGTTCCAACAGAACTGGGCTTCCCACCTTTCTTCACTTGCCTTGAGTGAATGGCAGATAGCAATGATGACCCTCCCCACTCCCAGCCACCACTCAAGAGTGGCAGCAGAGAACAGCAGAATGCATTCCTGGAAGGGGGGGGCGGTCATTGCTGTTGGAATCATAGGACTGCAACGGACCTGAAGACCATGATCCAATCTTACCCACCGCACATTCCCGGATCTACTCCGTCATCCGCTCATGACAAGTCGAGAGATGGAACAGTTAATAAGGTGCCCCACGCTAAATTTGGCCATGCCCTTCAAGAACAATTTAATGAAATGATCCCGGTGTGCCACATATCACACACGGGCAAATAATTCTACCTTAACGAACAAAACCCATCAGCCTCGCTAGCTAAGCTGGGATTTCTGCTCAGGGACAGAAAATGTGAAGCAACCACTATGCTACATTGGCTCCCAGTACGCTTCCGAGCACAATTCAAAGTGTTGGTGCTGACCTTTAAAGCCCTAAACGGCCTCGGTCCAGTATACCTGAAGGACTGTCTCCACCCCCATCGTTCTACTTGGACACTGAGGTCCAGCACCGAGGGCCTTCTGGTGGTTCCCTCACTGCGAGAAGCCAAGTTACAGGGAACCAGGCAGAGGGCCTTCTCGGTAGTGGCGCCCGCCCTGTGGAACGCCCTCCCACCAGATGTCAAAGAGAACAACTACCAGACTTTTAGAAGACCTCTGAAGGCAGCCTTGTTTAGGGAAGTGTTTAATGTTTGATGCATTACTTTTCTTGGAAGCCGCCCAGAGTGGCTGGGGAAGCCCAGCCAGATGGGCGGGGTATATATTATTATTATTATTTATTATTATTATTATTATTATTCTGTCCTACCCAGTACCCTGTTTCATCCTGCCTATTTCATCTTCCTCGACCCAAAGAACCTTCTCTGATACATGGAACATTTGCTTCTCCATGTTGGCCAAACTATGAATATTCTAAGTTTTCCTTCTGCCCAAGGACCTCAGGCTATATGAGGCCTTACTCCATGTAGTTCCTAGCATAGTAGTTAATTCAGAGCTGGTGTAATGGCCAGTGTGCAGGCAATGTGAAAGCGTGATTCTTCAAGCAGTATATTTCCATGTTTCAGTCCCAGTTGCAAGCAGTGAATTGTTTCCAGGGGGGAGAAGTGGGATAAGGTCCTCGGTGAACCCAGGATGATATCTTGGCTTGTGTTTATTTTTAATATAAATGTGCCTAGCAATAAAAACTCCAGGGGAGAGAACAACTGATAAGCAGGGTGTAATACAGTAATTGCATTGACTCTACTGTCTGGACTGCTATACTCTGGTCTGTTTTTCCATTTGCTGTTGGGCCTATCTGCATGCTGTATGTAAATGCATGGAACAGTCCTCCAGCGACCTAGTGTTTAAGGAAAATCCACTTTGTGAGGGGCAATTTGGAGCAGAGAAGTAGCAGGCGAAGTGGGCTTCTCCACTTCATATCACTCCCCTAAGCTCCTCCCCACCCCCACAAGGTTCCAAGCATGTGTGGCGATCACACAGGGTCCCCGGACGTTTCACCGTCTATTGATCCCTGTGCCACCACTTTATTTCTCGCTGCCACCACCCAGGCCCTAGCTGGTACAATACTGAGTCCAGTCAGGGTTAAATTGGAACATAAACTTCTGTTTATTTATTGCGGTTTAACAAGCGTGTGTGTCAGGGGACTGCCATCAGTGCTGGAGGGAGAGAGCAAAAGCCAGAGGGATTCCAGAGAGCGTCCAGGGATCGGGAGAAGCAGCTCCTCTTCTGGGGAAGAGAATCAGCATAGCACCAGTGGAGAAGGGGGGCAGGTGGTGGAAGTGGCGAGGTGGTCCCATGACTCCTCGCCTGGGACCAGCGGGGAGAGTAGGGGTCCTCCGTTGCCCACGCCCTCTCAGCGCAGAAGGCTTTCGCGCAGAGAGGGTAGGCGGAGACTAGGCGTCAAAAAGCTTCTTTGCTGGAAGTTTAAGAAACGCCCACTCACGGATTCTGCCAGCGACTGAGTCAGCCACGGGTGAGTGGCGGTCCGGACAGATAAGGTTTACTTTGGCAGCCCAGCCAGGTGTTTGCACCCAGCCAGGGAGATAGTTGCCTGCTTACGCACAAGCAACCCCCTTAGAAACCATTACAGTGTGGTTTCATAAACGGTATCGGTCAATTACAATCATGGGGTGCCTATCCAGACCTATAACTTCCGCTACCTGCTCTCACTCACTAAACCACCTCTCAGATATTTACTTGTCTTCCTAGCTCCTAACTGTTCCTGACTCAGCTTATTTCGCTACACTAACTCAACCTACCCACAGACTCTATCCCAACTCACTCCCACTCCAACCAACCACCCAACTCCCAGCGAACTCCCCTTTCGCCCCTCCCAGAGCTGGTTTTATAGTCCCTCTGACTCCACCCCCTGGGTCTTGATTGGGTAACCTGTTTAACTATTTCACCTCCAGCACTCTCATATGTTAACGTCACAGCATGTGCATTTGGAATCGCACATGGAGAAAAGCCGTTCCGGGAGATCGGAGGCAGGGGAGGAAAAGTTAAAGGCCCCTCCCATACTTTTCAACTGCAAACTACCTTTTCTCAAAGCTCTGCTATCCAGAAAAACAAGCCATTCTTTACGCATGTTTTTGCATAAAATGTCGTTTAGTCCTGTATTATGTTCATGATGTTGGTGGGTGGGAAGCAATTGGCCACTTCCACCCATATGCAGTCAGCTGATTGTTGCATATGGGTGGGTTCTGGTCCCTGGACAACCACTTTCACTGTTATAGCTTCAGCGTAGGAGACTATAATGAGCAGTTCAAAGGCCTTCTAACTTATATGGTGCACTCACTCTGTACAAGTTGCAATTTAATGTGTGCTTGAGCTTGAAGAAGCAATTCAGGATTAACTAGGCCAGAAACTGCAAAGGGACCCTGGAGACAAAGAAAATGGGAGGAAAGCATTTGCATACTCCAGGTTTATGTGGTTCTTGGGATAGCTAGTTGAGAACATGGCCAGCATTGCTAGTTGTTTCCTATTTGCTCTTCTTCAACTCATCATATACAACACAAATTCCCAAAATGGGGGATGGGGAACCTGTGGTCCTCCAGTGGTTTCACACAATATGAAATAGTGCTGAATAATACAACTTAGAACTGTGCGACCTTTTGGAACTAAAGCAAAACTCCATAGGAAGGGTCAGAGTAAAATGATGGGCAATATTCAATGTTAGTTGTACTCAGAGTAGACCCGTTGAAATTAATGGACTTAAGTTACTCCTTTCCATGTATTTCAAAGATTAACACTGGATATCACCTGATGCGCCTAGCGTTAGGGCAAGGTGCTGAAATATCACTAGTTTTGCTGACAAGGTCAGGAGAAGAATTTAGAAGATTAGGGAGATGGATGTTGGAAGAAGATGGGATGTGTGTCTCTTTTTGTGAGTCTCCCCAGTGCGGTGGACAAATGTTAGACTTGAAAGTGAAGCTGATGGGCCAGAGTAATGTGGGGTTTCATAGCAAGGTTCAGCACTGGAAGACAATGTCACAACCCAAAGACATGTTCTGGGTATAATATTTGTGATCACATTCACTGTAGCATGGCTTGTGAAAGTTTGTTCTCTGCATCAAATGCTACAGCAGCAGTATGAAAACATTTAGCTATGGATTTGCCCCAAGCAGCATAACATTGAAAGCCCAGCACCACATTTCCATGGACAAGCATCAGGTCCTTCTCATTCAGTGTCATTTTCCCCAACCTCTGTTAAGCAACAATGATATGGGAAAGACCAGGGGATTGGATCTGCCCATTTAGTTCTACATCCACATTGCCACAGAAACATGAGAGGAGTCTGCGGTTAAGTGTCTCTCTTCCCTATTACATGGAGGGCAACACTCAGCGTAGGGTTGCCTTATTTCATAAAGTGAAAATCCAGACAAAGTGAGCTTTTTCCAGAGGGTCCCACAAGCCTCCTAAAATTTTTTTTTGGGGTGACAGGGGACTACAGGGGGAGGAAAGAAAGAATAATCCCTGCTGCATGAACAGATACCTGGTCATGCTACATGTAAAGTCACTTACCACCTCAAAATGCTTTGCACATAATCTGAAAACAGTTTCAAACCATTATCTAATCATTTTAGCTATAAGCATAACATCACACACACGCTTGATCATTAAGGTACTTGTTTGGCCCAAAGCAAGTTTCTGAGTCAGGTTGTGATACTGTAACTAATTTTAAAACAAAAAAACCTGCTTTTCGTTGCTAAAATTCCACAGAGTTACTGGCTTGTGGCAATGTCGTCCCATGTAAACAGCACGGCCATGGATTTGAACTTTTGATAATGCAAATAGTTTAGATGCGTGCTATATTGCGCAAGGAAATAGACTATTAAAAGGTCTTTGCGAAATATTTCTTAAGAGTTGGAAGGAAATCAACTCTAAAGAACTCCCAGGTTTGCCTGAGCTTACTGTCAGTCAAAGGCAGCTTCCTTCTCATTATCCAGGTTCCTTTTCTAAGTCAGGAGAACATGAGAACTTCCATGACATGAAAACCCAGCTTTGCTGTGGATTTTAAATCACAGATAGGCAAGAAGACACCTATCTAACAAAGCAGAATATGTTTGCAACAATAACTATTACTCTACTGGAAAATCAAAAGGCTGTTATGAGCTGCGTAGTACCATAAAGTCATGACTTTAAAGCTGATTTCTCAGTCAATTTTCAGGTGGGGTGTTGTTTTTCTGTTTGTTTTTGGCACTATCTACCTGCCAAATTTCTTTTGACATTTAGCATCTCTCCAGAACAGTTTGAGTCTTTTGCAGGTCTATTCTGCAACATGCTGTTGACACCATAATAGTGCATTCATGGTGGATTTGTAGTGGGCTGTCCACACACCATTTCTTTCAATAAGTGGTTTTGCATTGCTTCCTCAATGCTATCGTGTTATTGCAATTTGGAGGAGCAACTCTTGCACTACAGGACAATAAAAGTGGAACAACAACAACAACCACCTCTCCCTGAAAAAAATGCAACATAAAACCTTTTGGGGATTTCAAAGAGGATGTTACAGGACATGCACTGACTGGACTTGAATAAGTATAAAGGTATGCCTCCCCCCAAAATAACTATTGCCGGTGCAAGCAGTGTAGGACGTGAGATTGTATATAACCAACCTGATACAATCATGAGCACAAATGATCACGAATGTAATGTATGATAACAACAACATCTGGAGTTAGTAATTTATAACTAATAGGAATCACAAGTGGTGATGTGTTCCATCTTTTTCATCCTGGCACTGTGGAAGCCAAATGCATTTCCATTTGATTTTCACAGAGAAGCAGAGAGAAAAGTAAAAGCCACAGCTGCTCCCATTTCAGATGCACAAGCAACCTCATGATGTTATATTACTTTATTAATTTATTGCATGCATACCCCCTCCTTTATCCCAAGAAGTCCAAGGTAATGTACATGGCTCTCCTGCTCCGTGTTATATGCATAACAATCCTATGGGGTTAGTTAGGCTAAAAGAAATGGACCCAAGGTCACCCAGTGAGCATAATGGTTGGGTGGGGATTTGAACCTGGTGTCCTCCGGTCCTAGTCTGGAACTCCTTTTTTATAGTTTTTATTAATTTTTCAATTTCACATCTCAAAATAAACATCTTACATAGTACCATACATTCAATGACTTCCCTCTTTCCCCTTCTATGGTTCATTATCCACCATCCCTGTATATTTTACTGTAGCCATTTTATTCAGTTCTCCTATCTTACATCACTCAAGTGTTTATTATACGGTTGAATTTACTTTAATGCTGCCAGTGTTTTCAACTGTGTGCAATTATTTTCCGTATAATACTCAGCAAAAAAATAAAAAATCCACTTCGCTTTAAATACATGTTCTTCTTGCTTTCTTATTCTATATGTTAGGCCGGCTAGTTCTGCATATTCTATAATCTTAACCTGCCAATCCTCCTTACCTGGGACCTCCCTCACTTCCCATTTTTGGGCTAACAAAACTCTGCTCGCCATTGTTGCATGCATAAATAAGTTTTTCTGGCACCTTGAAACCTCTGTCTGAATGATTCCTAGCAAAAATGCCTCCGGTCTTTTAGGCAAAGTTGTTTTAAACATTTTTTTCATCTCGTTATAAATCATTTCCCAATACTCTTTAACCTTTTTACATGCCCACCACATATGAAAAAAAGTTCCTATTCTGGAACAGCACACTAACTCTCTCACCATCTCCATAATGACGCTGAATTTGAATGCTGATCCAATGAATGTTTTTTGGGGGTGTGTGTGTGTATATATATATATATATATATATACAGTCTGACACACACCAACTGCGAATACATCAGGATGGCATTCCAGACTACACATGGAACTTGTAGTTTCAGCTGACCTGAAACTCATTTTCAGTCCTGCAGCAAAGTTCATAGTGTTTTGGTGCTGAAACTGAAGAGGGGTCAGTTCTCTCGCATTCCCCCACCACTGCCGTGCCCGGAATGTATGCTTGGGTTTATCAGAGGACAATGCCTTAGAAGGGCTGAAGGCTTTATTAAAAAGCATTTGAGCCAGACCTGTGTAAACACTTTCCTCAGTGAACCAAAGCCAAGCCATACTTTGAGCAAAGGTCAGGGCAGGGAACAGGGTAATTCTTCTGCCTCCGATACAGCCAAGAGCCACACGTCTGGCAGAGCCATGCGTCCGCAAGCCAGGCATTTCCTTCCAGTCCAGGAAAGAGATTAAAGCAGATTACAAGCAGCATGTTGTAACTGAACTGTGTGTGTGTGTGTGTGTGTGTGTGTGTGTGTGTGTGTACACACAGAGAGAAAGAGAGAGGGCGTAGCATAGACAGTTCAAGCTCTTGCATAGCTCAGCTACCCAAATGGCATTAATTATGATGAGAATAACAGAAAACGAAATGAAGAAAGAAAGATGAACTTCAGCTTTGTCCAGAGTGGGATTGTTAGATGTTTTTCTGGAAGCGTTCCTTGCCAAGGAACAAGACCAAGAGCTCAGACAAGCTTTACCTCCCATTTGCTTCCCGTTGAAACAGGAAAAGTGGACAAGTGGCTGTAGATATAAACTACATATGCAGGCACAGTGCAAACCTACAGCGGAAAGCACTTCCTCACCACCTGTCATCATCAGAACTCCCAGCAGAAATTTACTAAAAAGTTTTGGCAATTTTATAGTAGGAAGATATCCTCAGGTTGTTGTTGTTGCTGCTGCCAGAGTTCAATATCTTGGGTTCGCAAAATACCACAACAGGGCTGAAGATTGAAAGTACAGCCAGAAATATTCCCATATATTATTATCTAAAGAGCTGAACAAAACTGCAAATTCCTCTTCCACAAACCTATCCAAGTTCGCACTATATTCTAAATCTAGTTTTCTCCAACAACCATCACCCACCCTGGCAATTCTCAACCAGTCTTTGCGTCAAGATAGCAGTAGGGTCAGGAATGTGGGGCTACCCCACTATGCATAATCAGGATCTGGCCAATACTCACATTGCATGCCAGCATCAGTTTCTATAGCAGGGGAAGGTACCTCAGGCCTGGTGGGGAAGCAATGTGGCCCTCTAAGCCCTTCTGCCTCAGGACACTTCCCACACCTCTTGCCAACCCTACTTGGCACCCTCCATGAGTGGTTTTGCCTGGCTGGTATATGTCCTTGAACTCTGATGATGCCTTTTGCTTGCCTGCATGGAGGATAGAGAGGGGTGTTTGAGTGCAGGAACTAGCCTACCGTACAAAAGTAAAAATTACATTTCTTGATCCACCCACTATTGCCTCATTATCAGAGTTCAAGGATGCATTCCACCTTGGGGGGGGGGCGGAATCCAAGGATGGTGCAAGCTAGGGCTGGTGAAGGTTATGGCCTGGGGAGAGTGCCAAGGGCCAGACAGAGAAACCTAGAGGGCCATATTTGGTTACTGGCTCTGAGATTCCTCTCTCACACACTACACTGAACAGGAGCTTCACCAATCACATCAGAGGGAAACAGCCACATTGCCACCCTCAGCTGAATTTCCAACATTTTGTTCCAAGCAACGCACAACAAAGGGAAGGGGGAGCTTTTCCAAGTTCTTCACACTTTTGTCAAGGTATCAAAAGTGTTCTAACAATGCCTAATGATAATGATCCAAAATGTAAATGCATGCATTCATGGAAATGTAACAAGAACAAAAAATGTTGCTTGATTTTGAGTGTGAATTGAAAGAAAGAAAATGTCCATAATAGAGCTGGTTATATATATATATATATATATATATATATATTTATATATATATTTATATATATATATATATATATACCCAGACATCCATTATAATTTGGCTCAGTTTCTTACAACTGCCTTTATGTGCTCAAATTTCCTTCCTGTCTGATTTGATCAAACCATAGTTTGCTGTAACATCTGAATCATGTGTACTGTAATTTTCCTCTGGAACTGAAAACCCACTTCAAACCAGAATTGCTTCCCTTTTCTGGCTTGGAAGCAAATTTTATGGTTTGCACACAAACACCATGGTTTGCACAAACCATCATTTGCCTGGTTTGGACATCATGGCAATCTATAGTTTGCCTGAACCAGAGAGCAACTTTGATCTTGCCCTTTTGGAAATTTTGAAATGTAAGCACTAATCAGACCTAGGAACCACTGCAGCTAATTCATATGTTTCACGTACAACTAATATACATTAAAGCTAAAATAATGGAAGATTGGGACTGTATACAACCAGGCTAGTTGTGGAAGAGAGATGTGGGGGGGGGTGTGAGAGAGAGAGCGCACAAAACAAAGGGAAAGGCACAAACCTAGAACTAGAGCATCTTTCATTGTGGATAAGTATGAGGTGTAATTCTTTTAGTGCCCATTCTATTGAAAATGTGGGATATCTTTGGTATTTTTTCCTATGTTGTTGTTTCGCTGCACTGATTTTATCCTGTGAAACATCTTGCTATTCAATACGGAAAGGTTTGAATAAATTAATACAGGGGAAGTTCCTTGCCTTCAGGGAGCTGGCACACTCCAAGGTAATCTACTGCCTCAAGCCGAATAGCGCCGTGAACATGAGAGGCTTATGGTTTCATTTAATTCTGCTGTGGGTATGTTCCTTGCCTTTTCCTTATCCTGTTCTATGTCATTAAACATCTCCTTCAACTATTGTCCCTGGAATATCAGGTGATACTGAGGTGGAAATGAGATGTGGTTTTCTTTTATAGGAACAGCTTTCCCGTACCCTCTTTTTCCCCCTGCAATTCCTCTCGGAATTCCCTTAAGAGCTCTGCAATTGTGGCAAGTATTGCTAGGGGTTCCCCCAGGACCAGAGCCTGCTAAAGGTCAGGAAAACGAGCTTACCTGAATCTCAGAGCAGATGGAGTCATGGTGGAAGCTTATTTGTTCGGATTCAGGGAGCACACAGATCTGGATGATGATTCATGAAATGTATACAATTATGCTTTTCCATCCTGATCTTCCTTTGGAAAATTCAGAGCAGCTTCCGGGGGTGGGAGTGTCTCCTAATCAGTGCTATTTCTCTGGAAAAAGAGGTGCTGGAACTCACTATGAACACATCTCTGGTTTTCTTATACTGTGGTACCTTGGGTTAAGAACTTAATTCGTTCTGGAAGTCCGTTCTTAACCTCAAACTGTTCTTAACCTGAAGCACCACTTTAGCTAATGGGGCCTCCCGCTGCTGCCGTGCCGCCGGAGCACGATTTCTGTTCTCATCCTGAGGTAAAGTTCTTAACCCGAGGTACTATTTCTAGGTTAGCGGAGTCTGTAAGCTGAAGCGTATGTAACCTGAGGTACCACTGTAATGGCAATAGCGCCCACCTGAGAGGTGTCGGAACAGAGTTCCAGTGAGTTCCACCTGGAAAAAAAGCCGTTCCTAATAAGTCACTAACCAGCCATGCTGGGATTTGTTTAGCCTTAACAATATAACATCATGGTGCGTCTTTGCAGACCCATCCCAATCTCCTAATGTATGCCTTCAGAGCATACGCATGGGAAAGTAGGTTTCCCCCCTTAAAACTGGAACAGCAGAATTCATAAAACATCCATGAATCCCTAAGGTGTGTGTTTCAGGGGGAAACTGACAGGGTTGTGTGAGGACTGGAGACGTATATATGAAATTAGGTCCAAAGTGATCTCAAAGCCCCAAGCTTTGGATTGTTTTTATTGCTGTTGTTGTTTTAACAATCACCACACGGCACCTCAGGCTTACCTTGGCATGCGGCTGGATGATGGCGGTGGATAGTTTGGAAGGTTCCGGAGAGGAAAGCTCTCTCAGGGATGTGACTAGTGATGAGGAAGGGAGTTCACGTGCCGCTGAGGTCTTACATAACAGCTCTCTCCTGCCTCTTCTTCCCCCATCGCACAGAGGCAGACGCTGACAGATTGGCTAAAGCTATTAAGGGACCAAAAGGATTGGGTTTTAATTCTATAATTATTTGCTCTGGGAGAGATACTTGTAATCACCGAGAACAAGTCCGGCAGTATTGGTGGGGGGTGGGGTTGAGGATGGGAGGAAAATGAGGCCTTAAGTAACTTCTATTTGTGGGGGTGAGGGTGGGGGGAGATGATGTATTATCCTAGCTTGTGTGTGTGTGTGTGTGTGTGTGTGTGTGTGAGAGAGAGAGAGAGAGAGAGAGAGTGTGTAACTTCCTGCCCCCCCCCCAATAGTGGACAGCCAGAATGGAGGCCTTTTCCTGATCTCTCTCTGTCACACACACACACACACGCGCGCACACACACACACACACACACACACACACTGTTTTCCACCTGTTTCAACTCCTCCTCCTCTGGCAGGTAAGGCTGAGCCAGGGTTTCCTCCGTTTGAAACCGGGATTCCCCTTCAGCAGAGCAACACACTCAGATGCATCTCAATGAGGACAGGGAGGTTTTCCTCCCCTGTACAGTACATTTCAGGCTTGCACTATTGGCTCACATATACATACACTGCAATGAATGTCACCATGGAAACAGGATTCTGCGAACAAACAGTCTGCAGCGATGCCTTTTCTTTTCTTTCGTTTTTGCATGCTTACCAAGGGAGTGTCTGAAACGCCCCTTCCTTTCTCCATAGAACCCTAGAAGAAGAAACACACAATTTTTTAAAATTTTTTTTTAAAAGCATAACTAGCAACTACTGTGTCTATCCAAGGTCCGGGGTGTTGTTTTTTTTAGCAGCTGATCAACTCAAATGGTAGTCAAAACAGCAATACAGAAGATTAATAGGACGTATGGGAGATAATACACAGATTTCCTTCCAGGGATGGATGGGAACACTCATACTTAATATGGTGTCTTTTGCCTCTTGGGTAAAAAAATAAATAAATAAAAATCACAGTGAGATGGATAGAATATCATTGGAGGGGCATTTGTGTACATGTGTCAGATTATACCAGATTTATCACTACATCCACCTATCACACAAAAGTCAGAAATTAGCACAATAACTAGTTCAGTTAGGGTACCACTAAAAATAATGATTGGAGTTGTGTGAGCACATATGCTCACACATATGTTTTTCCTAATAGGGCAAGTAACAGTTTCAGAGAGGGTTTTCATCAGCAAGAGTGGGAAAGGTTGCCACCCTGTTTCCCCATGCTGCTACTCCTACACGCACTCCACAGCTGCTATTTGCATCTCTATCGTCGCATCTAGTTTGTCCCCCAGATAACCAGTAAGTCATATTTTTTTTTAATTACTCAGCTTGTAGGAGATAGTTATAGGTAGACAGACACCACCACCACCACATCTTAAAATGTATCAAGGCAGTGTATGCTATAAAAATATTAAACATAATTTAAAATAACAAAAGCAGATAATAAATTCAAGGTAAATATCTAATCAAAAATCAAACAGCTGAAAATGCCCATCAGCACAAAAAAGTACCACCCCTCTATGAGCTTGGTCCTCAGGAGAGCATGTGATTCCCACCCTGGTATTTGGCCCTGAGCCTTCCTCCATTTTCAGAGTTTGGAGGTGGGCCAAACATCATGCCCATCACAGCACTGGGAGTGTAGTAATGAAAAATTAAAATGCCTAGGGGTTGGGGGCTTACCATTTTGAAAAGAGGCAGCAGAGAGTTCCACTTATATTTAACTTCCCTCCTCCCAAAGAAAGCTCCACCATCACAGAGCTGTAAGCAGCAGCCCAGCATCATAGCAATCTCCAGCTATAAAATGCCCAAATGGGAATGGCACTAAATCAGATGTTTTCATTCATTCCATGCGAATATTGGCTCTTGGGGCTATTTTACTGGGGATCTTTGCTGATTATTTTTGTATAAGAATATGGGGGGAAAGGTTATTTTTTTATTCTTTAATTGTTACTAGTAGACTACCACTTTGAGCACGTTACTAATTATTTTATATTTTATGGATTGTATATCTGTATTAATGTTATTGTTCTAAGTTGCTTTGAGACTGGTAGAAAGCATCAAATAAATCAGCAGTCTTAATCAATCAACCAATCAATCATTATAAAAATTATGATGCATTTATTCTCCCTGGGCATTACATGTTTGTTTTTCAAAATGGCTGCCATCCTGTTGTTTCCAGCTCCACTGTCACTTGAAGTGGCAGAAGAGTGCTTTTTTAGTTTGAGTCTGCTGTTACCGCTTCTCAAAATGGCAAGCTCCCATTTTCGTTTTTGTTACCGTTCACCTGGAAGTGGCCAAAAAATGCCCCCCCCACTGTCATGGGGGTTAAATGATCCTGCAAAAGTGTGTGTGTAGGGGATATCTGGCCCATTTCTAGGCTCCTCCAACATTCATAGAGCATTTATCCTGATTTGTTTGTTCAGAGCTTACACAGTTGTTAGATTATGTCCAGTATTGAGCATTCATTCTATGTTATTTGAAGGGAGGTTATATGACAATGAACATTCTTCCTGAATTGCTCGCATGGTGGTTACATGCCTTTCCAATGATTATTTGTTCATTCCACACCATTCAGTGCATTTCCCAGTCACTTTCTTAACTGCAAAACAGTCCGTTCTTTTTAAATACTTGGATTTGTTGCACTGTGGTGACAGAGCACTTGAATCCCTACTTTAACTGGACAAACCTAATCTTCCAGTGTGAGCTCAAATCCCTCCTATAAAATAGTGACAGCCTGGAGTAACAGTCACGTCTTGTCTGAGCTGAACTTTCTTTACCCTCATTCTGCCCATCACTGATTTGAGACACTCACTCACACCTGAATCTGATAAAAAGGAAAGTGTAGAGTTGGGTGACATCTCATCCAATACCATCCGACAACCTCTCCCAACAATTTCATGAAGGTGTTAAAGAGCAGGGGAGACAAAAATTAAATGTTGTGGAACCCTGGAGAATAATTCCTATGGGAAGGAGCAGTGGCTCTCCAGCACTACATTCTGAAACCTGCTGTCCAAAATGGAGAAAACTGATTGCAAAATGGTGCCTCAATCTTGCAATCCTAAAAGGTGGTCCAGGAAGAATACCATCGCTGGTTATATCAGTAGAAATCATCCATCAGGGCAACCAAGGCAATCAGGGTTAAAAGCAGACAGAAAATAATCTAGACTAGTTTCATTCAGGAATACCTGGAGGATGCCACAACTTTGCCCACAAATGGAAAATCTGAGACTTGCCTATAATAATTGAAGGCTAAATATAAATATATATTCTGGATCCCAAACTGAACTGGGTCAATTTGGGTCAACTCAGGATTCAGTTGATCAGGTTGAGTCAGTTCTAGATCACCTCAGTTCAGTTCAGGTCTACCTGGAGTGATCTGGGACTGCCACATGGTGGTGGTGGGGTGTCTGGTGGCAAGAAGATGAGGGAGAGAAGATGCTTAGGCAGTCTACATGCATCTCCTTCTCCCCCATTCCTGGCTGCACAACTGTACAAGACACCCAAAATGGTTTGTGGCCCAGGTATGGGTCAGCTCAGCCCCAGATTGTCCCAGATCAGTTTGGGGCTGCTCCAAAGAATTGGATTGGGTCCAGAAACAGATCAGGAGTCCATACATGGCCCTAATGCATAACCAGGGGTTGAGCCACAGCCCCTTTTGATGCGGCAAGCTCAAGATCTCCTGAACAAAGGGCATTGACTATTCTGCTGACCAGTCCTGCCAACCTTAGGCAAGGGTCAAGTGGACATGTTATGACTCAAACCTCTGCAAGTGCCTGGTCTGCACCCTTATTTGCACTCAACTGCAGCTCATCCAAGCAATTGCAAGAAGCCCAAATCAAGATCTCTTGCAACACAGATTCTGATATCAAAATAGCTTCCCATGTCAGAGATTATGTGAGCAGCATTATCCACAAAGTGTCCCACAAACAAGTGGGGATTTTGATGGCACTGTGGGTTGACCACAAGGGGCTGCAAGAGTTCTCTAAGAACTAGCTCTGCTGGAAAACATTTTGTAGATACTATGCCAGTGAAAAAGTAAGTTTTCTTCACTGCCAGCAACGTCCTTGAGTAAGGCTTCCAATGGGCTCTAACCTGCTATTTTTCATCCCGGGGGTTTTCCCCACCACCACCTGTGTTCTAGTCATCCCAACCTCCAGCTCCAACAGGTCCTGTTTACTGAATCCTTTCAAAATATGGTCTGGGCTTATAACTGTCAAAACATCCAGTTTGTAAATGAATCCTCCACAGTTTAACTGTGAGTTGCATGAAGAAACACTGCCCCATATCCTGGATCTACTATCTTCACGGTCCCTTCCAATTCTACAATTCTATGATTCCAGTGGATAAGCCCATTTGAGAAAAGAGAGAGAGAGAGAGCGCAAAATTTATTTCCTCCATGCCATTCATAGAGTCACACCACTTGGTCACTGCAAATGTCACTGAGCCCAAGGGAAAACCTAATCCACTCTTACATACAGGCCTTCTCCATAAAAATATCCAATTCAATAATAAATGAGGCATTCTCCTTTCAGGGCACAACCTTAAGAACTTCCAGCAAGTCCTATTTCTTCCTTTGCAAGCTGGCTCAAATAGCAATGAATCAATACGTGGACCCCACCTTAGAACCACCCAGTGCTTTTTTTCTGGGGGTACGCAGGGGTACGCATACCCTTAAACCTTTTTTGAATCTAAGTTTGGCTTCATTGAGGAGCAGTATTTCAATATGAATAGGAAAGTGAGAGTACCGCTGAATATTAAAAAAAGAAAAAGGAAAAACACTGGAACCACCCCTATTTTCCATATCTTTAGCAGAGCTGCTCTTATAGCGGGGCTGACAAAATGACCATACTTCTCCAACTATGCATTTTATTTATTTATTTTTGCACAGGCACGCTCGCACACATTACCTTTGAACGCCTGCCTGCCGTCGCTGTGCCCAAATCTGCTTCCAATTTGCATTCCGCTTGTGAGATTTTGATCTGAATGCTTTGATGAAATGAAGCCAATGCGTTGGAGTGCTTCAGTCAGCTTCTCATTGCATTGTTTTCATACCCGGCCCCAGTCACGCAAGTGAGCTCTCTCTCTCTTGCTCTCTCTCCAGGGGCTAACAGTGGCCTCGTGAATTATCCCAGCCACAGGGGAGCAGGCAGAGCAGGCAAATGTAGTGAACCTTTCCAAGATCTCAGCCAAACATTAGATTTGTTCGACTCACATGCACACACATGCACACACCCCTCTCCCCAAACCTACACAAGCTCCCAGCCTTATATGCTGTACTTTGAACAGAGGTTCTTCCACCAGCCTTATAAAACTCTCTCCTTCTTTTTCGCCCACCCGCAACAAGCTCTCTCACACATCTATTTCCCCTCTATCTTGTATACAAACTGCCGTTCAACATTCAATAGCATGTGCCCAGTATGAGACGCCAATGTTTTGAAATAAAAAGACAGCAATCTCAGTCCCCCTCTCCCTCCCCACCCCCACCTCCCCAAAATCCCTGTTTCTACCATCTCTTTGCATTTGGTACAAATACCTAGTCTAATAGTTGCCTCTCCATCAAACTCCCCACAGTGCCCTCTGCTGGCTAAACAGAAATCCTTGCCTCTGGCTGGCACAGAAACAGGCAGGAAACCCATCTCGGCATATTCCATTTTCTAGGTCTATAGTCCCATCACACAAGGATCTCTGCCTGGGCTCAGTCAGAGGCTCTGCCATCAGAGAGGCCTGCACTGTTCTGTTACAAAACCACTCTTCCCCTCCTCCCCCTCCCCTGGTTGTTGCTATAATTGTGAGTGAATAAGAGGGGAATTTTGGCTCTCGGTTGCAAGCAAGAGCAGTTACCCAGCCAGCTATGCATATCTGGCCAAGGCAAAGCATTCAGTGGGAGACCAGTGTTTTGCAGAGTTATCGTTCCACAGGCGGGACTGGAAGGTGGCAGAGAAAGAAACGATCTGAATCATCTCTAGCACTCTGCGTGAGAGGCCACGCTCTCGCGGTCACTCCAGGTTTTGGTGGCTGTGAGAAAGGTGTGGAGTGAGGCAGCTTGGCTTGACTTTATGTTGCTCTCAAGGCATACCCAATACAGTTGCACTCAGCTGGGACGCTGGCATGTCACTGCTAGACCATATTTAGCTTGTTTTCTTGTCCTAGCTTACTTCATTGTTTGGTAGGGGTGGGGGACACCACCACCAGCTCCTTCGGCAACACCCTGTTGTGTTAGAAGCAGTTCTGCTGCTCCTTCCCGGCTGTGTTCCTTTCCTTGCACCACCCCCTGCTGGATGGAAAAGAGGCTGAAGATCTGTGCAGAGAAGCCAAGCAGCTAGGCTGGGTGGGCAGGGGGGCTGAAAACACATAGAATTGGAAGGGACCCTGAGGTCCAAGCCCCTGCAATGCAGGAATATGCAGCTGCCCCATATGGGGATTGAACCTGCAACCTTGGCATTATCAGCACTGTGCTCTAACCAACTGAGCTATCCAGGCTACATATGCTGGCTACACACATGTATCAGTTCCAAACCTCCTACTGGCCTGGAGAAGAGAAGAACTTAGTGGGGAAGGAGAACACCATTCAAATAACTAAAGGGCTGTCACATAGAAGAGGCCTGTCAGCTTCCTCCTCCATACTGACTTGCCTTAGCAGAACAACTCAAGGAAGAGGGTGTGAACAAGGTCATAACTGGCTCTAGCATTTATCGGTTCAGGCTCTGGCTGTCATTGGCCTCTGTGCTTTCCACTCTGCCAGCGGACTACCAAACATATTGCTTTGGCAGACATATCATGCATTTCTCCCTGTTCCCTCTCAGCAGTGCTTTCTACTGCTGGCAACAGGGTGACGTGGGGGGATATATATTATTGTGAGTTTGGGGTGTTCAGATGTGTGCCAGGCTCCTCTAATCTCTGGATCCAGCAAGTGTTTAAATTTAATCAAGGCTTCTAATTCTTGGAATAGCCAGGTTAGCCTTCTGGTGCAGTGAGGGTTAAGAGGCGAGATGGCAAATGTGTGGGAGCCCCTCCGTCAAAGGATAAAGAGAAGAGAGTTCTGAGAGCAATGATGTGACTTAGAGAAAAAGCAGCAAGCTGGAGAGAGAGAGTCAGAGAAACGTTGGGCAGCAATGTTTGGTTTGTTTGAATCCAAGGCTGCAGCTATGGGAGAAGAAATATGCTTTTGGGGTGTTGATGCTGTGAACCCCTCCATCATCGGCTCAGGTTGTATATATGTATAAATGAACCAGACACCATAGTCTCTGCTGTGCCTCATTCACAAAAGGAAACACGAACCCTGAGAAAGCACCTGGAACCACTGGAATATCACACCACTCGGAGTTTGGGGTGGCGTGCAACAATATACAAGTTTCTTCTATTTGTTCTGCTCTTTCCTCCCAGTCTCCTTCTTGGTGACTTGGCTACTGAGAGCAACAAGAGGAGGAGACCTAACCTCCTCGCCGTTTTAGTATTCCACCTCCCCGAGCTCTGCCTTCTCCCTAGTGGCCAATAACCAGCCCTTTAATTACTTGTGGAGAGCTTTGGTGCGGGGCGTAGCAGGCCCACCTTGTAGTAAGGAGATTAAAAGTGATCTCTGAGCCTCATTTATCCAAGAAGAAGCTGGATCGGAGAAGTGCGAGCGTTTGTTCCGAATGCCTGGGAAGTGCGCCGCCAGCCCCAAGGCCCATTTGGGGGCTGTCTATTGTATTCAATCACGAGAAGTCCATCTCAAATGGCCTGCTAATGAAAGCCCATAATATGGCCTTGCATTAGTGGCAGTAACTGAGAGGTTCATTAAAGTCTAAAAACGGGAGCTTCAAATGACATGACAGAGACAAGAAGGAAAGGGAATCCAGAGGGAGGTGGAGAGGGATGGGGAGGAGGAGATAGAAAATTACAGCTACATTTTTCTCAGCGCAGCCCAGAATCTTCAGCACTTGCAGAAAGGAGCCTTTGGTTGTCATCCTTGGAGAATTTCACCTTCAGCCTCCCTCCGGTGCTCCCGGGCCTGCCGGCTGCCTGCCTTCAGCAGAAGTGGAAGATTCAGCTGACAGCAAGGGGAAGAAGGAGAGGAGGGAGGGTTTAGGACAGAAGCCAGCTCCATCGCAGGGTCGCCAGCTCCTCGGGGCATGCAGGGCCTCAGCAACAGCAGCAACAACACCTTCAGACCTCACCCGTTCTGACAAGGTGTCCCTTCCTCTGAGGCTGGAGAATCGGAGGCCTCCCAGACTGGGAGACGGGCCAGGTTCCCTGACAGCTTGGTAAGCAGGAACGCAGGTTCGCTGTGTTCTCTGCGTGGCGATCATGAGGCATAGAGGGTTTGCTACAAATCAGGCTGTGCTTGTTGTTTAATCGCAGGTAGCAATGGGGGGGTAGTACCTGGAGTCAGTGCAGAGGGATCTGTCAGAGCAGGTCACAGTGACCAGGAAACAGTGTCCTTTGAGAATGAGCATTAGTCACGTATTCGATTCTTCCTTAAGTAAATGACCGGCATAAGCACGGATTGCGCATTCTTGTTTGTTATGGCCAATCTGGTCATCATGCGAGCAGCAGGAGCCGTTACCATCTCCCCTGCAACCCTACTACTATACAGCAATTGTTCCCAAAGTGTGTGCCGCCCAGGGGTGCCAACTTGAATAAAATATTGGGGGGGAAATGGACAGGTAAACCTCACCCCACACAATCAATCACAAGATGTAGCATGCACACACCATTTGAATGGCATTATCCATCCACTTTGGGGGAGGGGGGTAACCCACTCAAATATTTTATTGGGGGGGTGGTTAAGGGACCCCAGCCCCTAGGAGTTGGCTCCTATGTTGCCACCCATGGGCAATAAATCAATGCAATTATTAAAAGTCCCAGTGCGCCCAAAGTGCTTACTGAAGAGGCTTCCTGCTGCATCTCTGTATGTTTCAGGTCCCTTCTCTGCCCCAAGATCATGGAGAGCTGCAGCCACAGTAGTCAGCGTTAGGTCTGATGGATACATAGTCTGATCTGGTATAATATAGCTTCCCAACTTCCTGTTCAATCTCACACAGTGACCTCTGCCACGAGCTATGGAATCTCGCACCTACAGCCAATGTAAGAGCAACTGCCATACCTGCAATTCCTACAAACTGCTATTCCTGTAGTGACTGTCTTATGTTAAACCTCTCTATCTCTCTCATACCAAAAGCAAGCATACTCAGCGTTCCTCATTACATGCAAACGCTTACCTGCAAACAATGTACTCTTCTTGCCTTTAGCTTTTTGTTTTGTTTACTAGGTGCTGTGGAACACTGTATATATGGACAACAGAGTACCATGGGTCCCCGCAGCAGTTACAAGCAGACTGTCAAAAATAGAGGAGACTGGCTCTCCCCAGTGCTGGCCCAAGACATTTTGTTGCCTGAAGCACAAACCCCAATGATCCTGTGCACTGATTAGGGACCACATTTGGAGCTTGGGGGAGGCATGCTGCACCTTTCATACACCAATTTCAGCCTTAATTTATCTCCCCCACCTTCATGGTGCTGCCTGAAGCAGGTTGCTTCACTCTGCTGTGCGGCCAGGCTGGCCCTAGTTATCACATTTACAGGAAACACATGGAATGGAATTGAACACTAGGACTATGCAGAGTAGACCCACTGAAATTAGGTTTGTTAATTTCAATCTGCTCCAAGTAAAAGTTAGTTGAATAGCACCCATTGTACACAGTCGCGTGCCCACCATTTCTAGATCTGATGTTCTTTCAACCACACCTTAAAATCAGCACTGTGTCTCGCTCCTCCTTCTTCCTGTTCAGGTATCAGATCATTTGCCTTTTCTCTAGCTGATGAAGAAATGATTATCTAGCCTGCTGGGTTTGTTATTCAGTGCGGTTTTTCTTTTCCTGGGGTTCGGTGTCCATCACAGCTCGGACCATCCTCCCTCAGATACTTGGCACATCAATGAGCCACCAGCAACGAAGGCAGTGACAAGGTCACAGCGCCACTTCAGAGTGTGTCAGTATATTTGTTTTACTCACCAGTGAGCTAACAGCTCTTGTCAGAAGCTGTTTGTAAAGGCATGATGATAGCTATCATATCTTGTTAGGGGTGCTAATCTCCACTTTCCCCCCTGCTCTTTCCCTGACCTGTCCTGCATTATTCATTTATCCTTTCTCCCATGTGAATTGGCTCACACTCCCCACCATTATCTGCCCCTCAGTATTCCACACTGCTAGGAGAAAGGACTGCTGACGCCAAGCTAGATATCGTCTAGTCCAGGGGTTGTCAACATTGTGCCCATGGAGGTGGTAGAGCTATCACTGCTTTGCCTGCAGAAGGTCTGAGGTTCAATCCCTGACATCTCCACATAGGGCTGGGAAACACTAGAAAGCCCCTGTCAATCAGGAGTTGAAAATATTAAACTAGAGCAGTGGTTCTCAACCTGTGGGACCCCAAATGTTGTTGGACTCCAACTCCCTTCATCCCTGAGCTCTGGCCTTGCTAGCTAGGGGTGATGGGAGTTGTAGTTTAACAACATCTGGGGACCCACAGGTTGAGAAAGGCTAAGCTAGAGGATCCAATATAAGGCAGCTTTCTTGAGGTAAGAGGGTCTCAAACTGTGGTCTGTAAACCAGTAATAGTCTGTGTCCATGGAAAGAATTCAGTATAGTTGAGAAGATCTGTCTCCTTCTTCTTTGGCGATCATTCATAGCCGAGTAAGATTGTCTTTCATGAACACAGTCTTAACAGTGAGTCCGTAAGTGACTGTGGAGACCAATTCTGGATCCACACATCCTTCCAACATGGAGACGTAGGTTTCTGGGTGGGAGCTGATCATGGTGAGGGTTTGCCAAGTGTGCCTTCCTCTTAGCACATTTCTCCCTTTCGTCCTGAGTTTGAGCATCTTCAAAGCCCATGACACCTTTGATAAAGGCTGTTCTCCAATTGGAGCACATGCAGGCCAGTGTTTCCCAGTTGTTGGTGTTTATACTACCTTTTTATAGATTGCCTTGAGAGATTCTGTACATGGCCCTCCACTTGATTTCCCCCCTCTTTTTTGATGTCAAAGATCAATGTGCTGGTTTCAATGAAGATGCCAGCACTGAAGAAGGCATTGTTGTTGTTTCATAATTCTTCATCCGTTTTCTTAGAAAGACAAGACTAAAATCATTAAAATAAGAATGACTAGCAGACTAATTTCCAGGTTGCTTGAAAATTCTAAGAAACCAAAAAATAAATCAGTGTGGCAGCTGATATCAGAGCAGCTTTGGTCTGCTCCCTTGATCCAAAATGACATCTGGTTATATCCTAACGCAAGTGAAAACACTGCTCTTGCATAATACAACAGTATCTTCAGATGTGTCCAAATCCATGTTGAACTAACAAACTTCCCAAAAAGTATAGTAGATTTGATATATGTGTTTGAATTGGTGGAGCAACAAAAATGTTTGTTAAGCAGTCCTCCAAGAAAACCCAGCAATTTTTTTAAAAAGTCCATGGGGCAGGAGGGGAGTTTGAGGGGCATTGTATTATACCATCACATCTGGTACTGCTCAACTACTTTCACTGTGAGCACCTCCCCCCAGGTTGTAAGGTATTACCGCTAGCGTATAAAGCCTTAAATTTCTTGGCAGCAATCTACCCAAGTACCACCCTTCTTTACACATTCCTGCTTGTTCTTTGAGATCTGCTGCAGAAGCATTGCTAACTGTCCCTTATGACATCCATTCAGCTGCCACATGGAAAGGGGCATTTAGCGCACTGTAGATTGTGAGGTTCAATTCTCTTGCAGATTAGGCAGGCATCTTCCATGTTCCGTTTTAGATTCCGGCTGAAAATGTTTTTAGCTTACCCTTCCATATGACCTAGTTTTCCTGTTCTTCTGATATTCACCTTTCTACCCTTGATTGTATTATTGGTTTTATGACTTACGTCACTTTGAGAAGTTTCCATGCCCCCTTCTCCTTGATTTAGTGGGATAGAAACGTTATGTATAATAAATGTATAAATAAGGAGTGCAGCAAATGCTGCACTGTCCAGCCTAAAACTGAAGCCCAGGTAGAACTATAAAGAGGAACAAAGCTTGAATGAAGGCTGCAAACTTCCATGGAGCATCTATACGAATTCCCCCAGCTTTGAAAATATTAATTCAGTTCTCTGTAATGAAAGAGCTTGCATTATTCCTGGGCGCCTGTGCATGGGGCAGTCCAAAGAATATAAATTAAAGTCATTCTATGAGCAGATGCGTCCAGAAGTATGACTGAACAGAGAGAAGGGGGGTGGGGAGCAGAGTTGGCCACAGGAGGGAGAATAACATGAAGGGAGGAGGTAGGTGGGGAAGAGACTTCAGGATTCTGATTCATCCTGAAAAAGGCAGGCAATCTGTAGAGCCGCCTTTATGGTTCTCAGGGAGCAGCCTCTCTCTGTCCAAGACGGAACACAATGCACTGCCTTGCATCTGGGGACACAGAAATCCTTTCTGTGCTTGAGCAAAAACGACTTGTTTAAAGGATCAACCAAGAAAGAGATTCAGAATGAAAACAGTGATTATCAAGTTACAAGTCTCAGCCCTCACCTAGGTTTAAAACAAGCCCCAGTCCTTCTTGGAATTAACTCTGACAAGGGATCTCACTCTGTACATATGATTATGAATATAGGTCATGTAAACTGGAGGTGGGCTGGCTGCTGCCTTGCATGCTGTGCTTTTTTAATAATAAGAACCCAGCAATCTGCTGGTGTATTTTAACAAAGCAAGAGGGAACGCAGAGGGCCACTCTGTGACTGGGATGCAATTAAGTTTTCCTCTTGAATATGTGCTCTTGCTTGTGCGACTATAAGCCATGGTTGCGGAACTTGTGGCCCTCCAGATAGCATGGGAAATGATCCGTAATGATGGGAACTGGAATCCAACCACATAAATAAGGTCTTAAGTTAGCCATCTCTGCACTAAGTGGTGACTTGCTGGATCAACACAAGGGCCATAGAGTCTTGTGTTCTTGCAGCAGCCCATATGTGGTCCCCCTGAAATTGGCCAGCTGACCTCCAGTGGATAGAATCATAGAGTTGAAAAGATCTTGGTCTACCTTCTTCTGCCTTCCCTTGTGTAATCAACACCACACTGTAATCATTGCTGGTACATTCAGGACAGACCAGAGTAGGAAGGTGGTGCCACTTCTGAATCTGAGCAATAGAGAGATGATGCGCTCCCATTCCTGCTGATCTTATTAACTAAGGTGTAAGGCAGTGCCATCTATGATACTGGGTGCTCAGCAAGCAGCTTTGCGGCTCCATCCTACTCACAAAGCCCAAAGTGGTCTTTAGAAATATGTGTACAGAAAAACCTAGACTCTGCAATACATCTAACAACCTCAGGTCCCCTGATTATTATGGAACCAAACCGTCTCTTGTGCCAACAATGCTGCCCCAGTAACTCAGCTTTGCTGGGAGTGCTTCAAAGTGGCCGATGCCTTTTTTCGAGAACCCTGATTGGAGTGTGTGTCTGCAGTGCTCCAAGAGGATTTCATTTTTTCATCTTTAAATATTTATGCTTTATGTAAGAGGCTTCCAGGAGAGTCCAACTCGGCAAGAGAAACAAGAGAGTGCATATTTGCCTCGTCTCCAGAGAACTACTGTCCTGGCAATTGTGAAAACGAGTCACATGAATGCTCCAAGCCAGATAAGATGGCATGCAGAGACATCCAAAGCAAAAATGGACTCACTGGCTGAACCTAAACCATAAGCAATTTCACTGCTAGATAATCAAGCTGATTGACTAAATGAGTAAATTTATTGCTATTGTTAAAGTTAGGGTAAAAACAGGGATAACCACAAGTGGATAATAATGGTAATATAGGTGATGCTTTGGTGGAACTTTAAAACATGGTCAGAGTTTAAAGCTGCAATGTTCAGTACAGCTACTAAGGAGTAACTCCCATTGAACGTATTTGGGCTTCTGTATAATATCCTTAGGATCCCAGTGAACAGCTGCTACCGATACACACAAACACACACACACACACACACACACACACACACACAGGAAGCTGCCTTACACCAGATCAGATAATGTGAGATAGGTTTTAATGGATAGGAAAGGATATATTAATTGCAAGTTATCCCCCCAGGTGCCCACCTGTGTGGGTTAAATACAGTTTCAAAATCCCATCCTGATAGCGATGAGATCGCACTGTCCTATTTATTCTGAATGTTTGTATGTGATGCCAGTAAAGGTTTGTTGATGATGATGATGATGATGATGATGATGAAAATCTCATCCTTGGCAGCAAAATTAAAAACATAGCAATTAGGCAACAACTAGTAAAATAAGATTTATAATCTTGCATTGATTCACAACAAGAGTAGCAGTAAAAACCACGCAGGCAAAATGCTTGTATTTACTAGCATTTTATAACTAGCTTCAGGCATGTACCTAAAGCAGAGGCATGTCTACATCCAATGCTAGTTAAAGACGGAACAGGAAATACTATATGCTACTTCCTTTCCAGGAGAGGAGGGAAAATGTCACCGCACAGAGCCCTTTCTGTCAGTTGTATTTCTATGGTCTGAGTGTCTGCCTAGCAGCAATACAACTCTGTAGACTTAGCCTTATGTTTCTTATGCTAACTAGCAAGAATATGAATTCGTTAGTTTGTCTACTAATCTCCCAAAGATCACTGGTTCATCTAGCTCAGTACTGTCTATACAGACTGACTGTGGCTCTCCAGGTGATGTTGTGTTACACTCCAGGAGGTGTCCTCTGGAATGGGGTCCCAGTTCATGGAGATATAAACTCCCTATCCAAAGCACTAAAGAAGGAAAACAGGGTTGATTGTGATAACCACAAAGATCACCAAGGGCCAAGCACAGGGAAACAGTATAGGTCCAAAATGTAATCCAAAGATAAGGTCGGGAACCAGTCCAAAGTCAATACCAAAGGGAATCTAGTCATGGTACAGCACAGCAAGGTGGGGCAACTAGGTTTAGGATCAAGGAACCAGAGACCTCCCAGGCCACAGTCCAACTACAGCTGGTGGTGAAGGTGTCTGGGAGACGTCTGACTTCCAGGGTGACTTCTACTTCCAAGTTGCATGATGACTCTAACAGTGTGTGTAAGTGTTGTAGCTCCTAGGCCTGAGTCTGGGTCTTTTCACACTGGCATTGTTGAGGCTAGGGTTCTCCCCAGCCCCCTGACAACACTGGGAGTTCTCGGCCCAGTATACCTCAAGGAGCGTCTTCACCCCCATTGTTCTGCCTGGACACTGAGGTCCAGCACCAAGGGCCTTCTGGCAGTTCTCTCACTGCGAGAAGTGAAGTTAAAGGGAACCAGGCAGAGGGCCTTCTCGGTAGCGGTGCCCACCCTATGTAATGCCCTCCCATTAGATGTCAAAGAAATAAACAACTATCTGACTTTTAGATCTGACACTTGAAGGCAGCCCTGTTTAGGGAAGTTTTTAATGTCTGATGTTTTATTGTATTTTAATATTTTGTTGGAAGCCACCCAGAGTGGCTGGGGAAACCCAGCCAGATGGGCGGGGTATAAATAATTTATTATTATTATTATTATTATTATTATTTGTGAGTCTTCCACCACCCAAGGGTCCCTCAAGGGGATCCTTAGTGCTGATCCTAGAGCAGCAGTTCTCAACCTGTGGGTCCCCAGATGTTGTTGGACTACAACTCCCATCATCCCTGAGCTCTGGCCTTGCTAGCTAGAGGTGATGGGAGTTGTAGTTCAGCAACATCTGGGGATCACAGATTGAGAAAGACTGTCCTAGAGGAACCTGCCTGCTACCCTTGATCAGTGGGGGTGTCAGCTTCATACTCTGAGGCCCTTGGGCGGTGGAAGACTCACAAGTAATAATAATAATAATTGTCAGAGCTGCTTCCAGATCCTAGCTCACAGAGGATCACGCGTCAGGCCAAGACTGTATGCATTCAAAGCAAATGTCTTTACATAGATGTTACAGATAGTGTCCATTCTCAATACTGCTTGCGTGACAACTCTAAGATACAATCATGGTTAGACCGGCGATTGTCTCCGTCTGAGTCTCTGCCCTTGTACACCGAACTTAATCATCCTAGCCCTGGCTCCACCTTTTCCAAGCCTGACTGTAATCTTCTCTGGAAGATCCCTCTGCACCCTGGGATCTCATTCTTATCCGGGATTCCTCTGACGCTGAACCACTGAACTCTTACTCACTCCTTAACGAGCAGGCGCAATTATGGACCTGAGCTCAACATCAAATCCGAAGATCATGGCCTACTGTGCCCACCTTCCTGTGCAATTGAAGTGAAGACATGGCGCGCGCGAGACCTTCCACCTTCCGTCTGACCGCTTCTTCGCTCCCCGATGGAGGTGTGGCCACTCCTAGACTCAGTGCGCCTGCCCCTGTTGGGAGCTGCCAGCGCTGGATCCCTGGACACCTTCCTACTTCCCTGACATCTCTGGCGGTGACGCTGGTCCCGATATTCCAACTGCTCCCTCTGAGTTTCCCCTCTGGCTCTATCTTCCTGAGAGCTGGACCCTAAGAAGGCTCGCTTGCCCTGGCCACTGGTGCTCCTTTCTGGAATCTTCTGATTCACTGGAGAGACTCTTGAGAGTCTCATGGACTGCAAGACGATCAAACCTCATCTATTCTTCTGACCTCCTCCCCGAGTGCTCTCTGGTTCCTCCGATGCCCTTGCCTCTGCTCCTGAACCCTGACCACATCATAATAAGAAGACTACTCTGAATAAGACTCTGACGTTGGTCAGATGGCTTGGTTCTCGGATACCGGACCACAGAGAATGAGATGGCTGGATGGTGTCTAAAGCCACCAGCATGAGTTCTGCATTCAAACTGCAGGTGGCTCTAGCAGCACAGAAGTGCCTGACGGATCTAGTCCATGTGTATCATCTAAATATTGTTTGGTGACAAGTCCTAAAATAAATAATCATTTTAGACCTTATGTAAATGGAACCATTCACAACACACATTATCTGTCAAGGATAAGGAGGGAGAAGCTGAGCTGTAACAAGGGAAGGAGACTGACTTGACATGTGATTTCACACTCACATGTTTGCTTCTCCAGGGCCATCAATTCATAGAAAAAGAGTTTGAGATTTGTTCTCAGTTTGAATAGTACAGCTAGGAAGTGGGGGTGGGGGTGGGGAATTACCTGACTTACTTTAAAAAAGAGAGAGAGAAGGATGGAGAACATTAACTTTGTGACAGTCATCAAATTAAGCACAGATTATGTTTTAGAGCACAATTCGAAGTTTTTTATACATTACATTTTGAAGAAATGGGGATAATTGAAACGGGGAATGCCGTTTCAATCTCTGGCACATCTGATTTAAATGCAATGCAATGATGGCAATTATGGCGCGAGGCTGCCTGTCGTCTTGAAGTATTTATGATTCTCTCTCACTCATCCATCTACCCAACCTGTGATGAAGTCGCTCATGTCCAAACAAGGTCTCCATCTCTTGTCAGATTTGTTGACAGATCAGGTCACAGCTTTGATAAAGACACTTACAGGTAGCTACAGGCTGTGAAAACTGCTGTCACCGCAGATTAGCATACAGTAGTTCTCCTCTTGCCTGACGTTTCTCATTATTAGGGAGTGGGGGGGGAGGGAGAGGGAGAGCAGGCAGGCAAGGAAGGGAGAGGGGGTTTTTTTGACATTGAAGATAATTGGAACTATGGAAATCATAGTGAAAGGGGAAACCCTACAGTATGTGGACTTAGGAACAGCAAGTAACATGCTAGAAAATGCAAATGGGCGAATAAGTAGAAGGGAGAAAAGAACAAGCTGTTTCCTATAATGGGGCAATGGAGTCATGTCTCAAAAGGAAGCAGGTGGGAAGGTGTGCAAACAGAAAGGCGAGCAAGCTCCTTAAATTGCTCTCTGCGGAAAGGATTCTTGAACACATGCAGATCCCAGGCTTCCTCGTTTTCCCCTTCCGTTTTTGCTTCCTGCCTGCATGGAAGCATTTTGTATGGGGAGAAAGAAAGAAAGAAAGAAAGAAAGAAAGAAAGAAAGAAAGAAAGAAAGAAAGAAAGACTGAATGTTTCCACTGTGTCTAACTAAAATCAATATTTTAGTTAGGAACCCATATACTCCATTCTTAGAGCTGGTAGTTCTGCAAGGGCCTGTTAGGACTTCCACACTGGGCATCTGTCACTAGAGGTTAATTACTTAGATACAACAAATTATCACAAGGCTAAACAATAAGCCCTCTGACCTGAACATGCTACTCATCCGTCTATCATGAAATGAACCGGTCTCATCACATTCATGTCAATGGAAAACAAACACAGGGGCTATCCAGACTTGACATTTGTGCTCTGGGTAGGCAAACAGCAGCAGAAGAAGAAGTCTACTTGAAAATAAGATGCACAGGCAGACAGCAAGCTAGCCACTGACAAGAAAATAATTAAAGCTTTTCCTCTCCATGCTCCATCTTGGCTCATTCCTTTTCACTCATGTGCAAACACACACAGAGATCTCGCAAGATGATTAGAAACAGCAACGTTCGCTATTAAGCCCAGAATTCTGCAAGGTAAGAAGCTTAAGTGTACAAAGACTACAAGATCCTGAAAATCTCAGTTCTGATTCATACCATCACATCTATGGTAGGTCTTCATAGGAAGCGTGAATGACATCCCAAGGCCATCAAGAGTCAGGAACGGAAACAGTTGGGTTTGGGAGACATCTGGATGCCTAATGTCCAAATATTTTATTCATAATTCAGACTGAATCCCACCCATGTTTTCACTTTTCAGATAAGAACAGCTCATGATAGGATGGAATTTGGTGTGGATCTGAGCAAGGGCTGCAGCTCAGTGGGAGAAAGTGCACGCTTTCAAGACAGAAGGTGCCAAGTTTAGTCCCTGGCATCTCCAGTTTAAAAATGATCAAGTAGCAAGTGATGGCAAAGAACCTTGTCTGCCTGAGACCCTGGAGAACTGCTGCCAGTCAGAACAGACACTACTGGGCTAGATGGATTAACATCCTGACTTGGTACAAGACATCTTCCTATAATAGTAAAGGTAAAGGGACCCCTGACCATTAAGTCCAGTCGTGGACAACTCTGGGGTTGCGGCGCTCATCTCGTTTTATTGGCCGAGGGAGCCGGCGTACAGCTTCCAGGTCATGTGGCCAGCATGACTAAGCTGCTTCTGTTGAACCAAAGCAGCACACGGAAACGCCGTTTTCCTTCCCGCCAGAGGGGTACCTATTTATCTACTTGCACTTTGACTTGCTTTTGAACTGCTAGGTTGGCAGGAGCAGGGAGAGAGCAACAGGAGCTCACCCCGTCACGGGGATTCAAACCGCCGACCTTCTGATCGGCAAGTCCTAGGCCCTGTGGTTTAACCCACAGTGCCACCCTCATCCCACATCTTCCTATAATACTTATGTCTAAAAACGGATTCTCTCTTTAAGAAGTGGGGTGGATGGGCAGTGCAGTGTGGCAGTATGTGCCCACAGAGTGTCCTCACCCACATGAAATACAGAACTTCCATACTGGCGTATGCAGATATATGGGAACTTGGGGTGGGGGAGAAATTGTATTTTGTTTGTATTTAAGGTCTAGCTAATGCATACTTTCTGAAACAACATGCAGACCAAAAAAGACAGCCATCCTTTGAAATCCACATGATTTTTGCAACGCGGTTCTGCAGCCAAGTACTGTGTACAAAAACACATATACTAGGGTGAAGTGTGCATTAAAAAGTTTGCATTTGTGAACCTAATGTACAAAAATGCATTCTATTAGAGATCATAGCTTTGTAAAAATGTGTAGATTAGGCAAAACTGCATACACAAAATGTATCCAGTAGGAGAAATTTGCACTAAAATGCTGAATAATATTCATCAGGACATTTCTCTCTTTTGTTCTTTAAATTGCAAACTGTTGTGGAAATGTGGGAAAGTGAACCTAAGATCTGAAAAATAAGAAACTGAGGGAAACTGAGATGGACAGGTTCAGCCATCCCTACCCTGGAATGAGAGGCTTACAAACAGATACTCTGGCAACTCTGGAAGACACACTAGAGAACACACAACAAGCTGTCCTGTGTTTGTTTTTTTCTGTCAAACAAACAAGGAGAATCGGTCTGCTAACAACTAAAGAACAAGAGATGTCTTGTAGAAGCATCTCCAAATACAGCATTATAAGCATTTTTAGCTCAACTTCATCTGGCTTCAGTGTGAACAAAGGAGATGCCATGCTTTTTTACATATTCCCCCCACTATTACAACGCACAAGCTCTTTGCAACAAAGAGATTGCTGTTAGTTCTTGTCTGCTTATCTCTAGAAACCTTGAACGACACAATGCGTATACGCATTTCACATTTGAGTATCAGGTTACACACTGCTATATTTTAATGGGCTTTCTGCTAAGGTAAAAAGGCAAAGGACCCCTGGACGGTTAAGTCCAGAGAAAGGTGACTATGGGGTTGCAACACTCATCTTGCTTTCAGGCCGAGGGAGCCGGCGTTTGTCCACAGACAGCTTTCCAGGTCATGTGGCCAGCATGACCAAACCACTTCTGGCGCAACAAAACACTGTGATGGAAGCCAGAGTGTACATAAATGCCGTTTACCTTCTCGCCACATTGGTACCTATTTATATACTTGCACTGGCTTACTTTCGAACTGCTAGGTAGGCAGGAGCTGGGACAGAGCAACAGGAGCTCACTCCATCACAGGGTTTTGAACCGCAAACCTTCTGATCAGCAAGCCCAAGAGGGTCAGTGGTTTAGACCACAGCGCCACCCTATGCAGGTGACAAGGAAGCCGTGCCTGCTCTCTCCAGCATGCTCCTTTGTCCTGTAATTCATCCCCTCCCTCATTTGCCTGTCACCTAGAGGCTTACCTGCCATCTCAAGTGAAAGACGGAAATGGAAGACACATATAGGGAATAAACAGGAGCACCAGGAGATATAAAAGATCACTGACCTGTGTAAGGGATTGCAGCCACAATTGCTGACCAGACGAGGGTAGCTTGGGCTGTGCAACTTTACAGAGGACAGTCCTCTATTGGAAGGGCTGTCAGGGGGCAGCCCTTTCTTGCCTAGGGACCCTATGTTGGAAAAGCTGCCTGGTCCAAGTCTGCTTTAAAGAACCCAGAGAAGGAAGAGCCGGAGGCGCCTTGAAGTTGTCCACAACCATCTACTGCCTAGTTTCCCCTACTATAATGAGATGTACTGCATTTTTTATTAATTTTGAAATTTGCATCTGCAGCAGAAACAGCCAATGTGGTTCCCTCCAGATGCTACTGGATCAAAGCTTCCATCATGTCTGACTCTTGGCTGTGCTGGCTGGGGCTGCTGAGAGCCAGAGTCCAACATCTGGAAGGCAACATATTGGCTACACATCTAAATTAGCACATGCAGATTTGATTCGATTTGTCTCCTTTTTGTCCTCTATTTTGGGTGGTGCATTTCCTCCGGGGGGGGGGGTGCTGCATCCATAAGTGGACACCCTAGATCCGGCTCCAGGAGAGGCACCAGGGAAATATATTTGCCCTGAATCCCTTTGCAGCCCCCACGTGCACAGACACAGGTTTCTGTCTAGCGCTCATTTTCTCAATTAAGTTTCGTTTCTCACTCTCAGCTGCCTCCATCACCCTCTTAGAAGCTCAAAAACTGCCTTCCCTCCTCCTTGTAAACAATTTGGCCATGTTTTGCCCAGCACATACAAAAAATGTGTGTGTGTGTGTTTTAAATGGCTATATACGTTTAGTCCTGGCTTCGTCATAAAGTGTGGAGAAAGGAACATGCCCAAGCAAGTCTCCTGGATTATTAAAAGCAACATCAGTTGAAATAGCAGCCTAGGGAAACCAGCCTTTGTCAACTCGCTGGTGCTCCTCATGCCAGCAGGACAGATTACTGTCTTCGCAGAGGAACAATAAAATACCGCACAGACATGCAGCAAACACAGAACCTGTTAGCCTCATTTATTTCTCAACAACAGCGCTGCGGGGTTAAAGTACAATAGAATAGATGGAAGGCTGGAGTGAATGTTCAAAGGGCACAGGGGAAAGCTTGAGTCCAGTGCAACTTCAGATGGATTAGATTCAATGGAATGGCTGGACTGGGAGAACAATGTTCAGAACCGAATCAGTTTCCATTCGTGTTCCAAGTTTGATTTAGCAGAGCTGCAAGATTTCAGGCCAGATATGGTCAGAAAGGTGGGGATTTGGCCTAAGGACCACTTCTAATTCTTTGCACTGTTCGTTTTAGTCAATGTCCCCTTTCATTCCCATGGAGGTATCTCCACTGCTGGAAGCAGAGATGCTTCTGCATTCCAGTTGCAAAGAAGCAACACAATGTTCTCCAAAGCCACATTCACATTGTGTATTTAAAACACTATTTTACCCCTTCAACAGTTATGGCTTCCCTCAAAGACTCCTGGGAGCTGTAGTTTGTTAAGGATGCTGAGAGTTGTTTAGAGAGCCCCTATTCCCAGGGCCGGCCCGTCCATGAGGCAAGATGAGGTGACCGCCTCTGGCAACAGGATCCACAGGGTTAGCACACACCTTGGAGACTGGATCTGCTGCCGCCCTGGCAACCCCCACCCCATGCTGCCTCCACAGTGGCCTTTTGGTTAATGGAAGGCACTGCTGGTTTCCTACAACCCCTTGGGAGGAAATGGTGGAGGCTGCCCTCTAGGGTCTCAGGGGCTCTGTACCCACCTCACATGATTCAGAGTGGGCCCTTTTCCCCCTTGTTAAATTGGGTAGTGTTGATTTGATTTCCCCCTCCCTTGTTCCTGATGTAGATCTTCACTACCCGCTTGCTCCTGATGTAGATCTTAATTCTCCCCTTGTTCCTGAGGTAAATCTTCACTCACCTCTTCTTCCCTGGCAGGTGGAGGAGAGCGCCATTTTGTGGTTCGCCTCAAGTGCCAAAATGTCTTGGGTTGGACCTGCCTACTCCCCTCACAGAGCTACAATTTTCAGAGTGGTTTAAAAACAAACCCATCCCTCTTCCCAAAGAAAGCTGAGGGTTGTAGCTCTAACAACTCTCATCGCTGTTAACCAGCTGCAGTTCCCAGGATTCTTTGGAGGAAGCCATGACTGTTAAAAGTGGTATAACAGTGCTTCCATGTATGGTGTGGCCTAAGTCTCTGATGTTAGCCTGCGGCTGGTCTTTGCCAGATTCCACAAGAAAGGAGCCGAGAGCCCAGCTGTACCCACTGATGAGTCATAAAGAAATGGCAGGACCCCAGGGGCGGGGGCGGGGGGGATTAAAGGCCTTGCTAGGACATGAGTGGGATGTCCAGTAAAGGCAGCTCTTAAAAGGCTATCCTTTTGGTCTTAGCCTTGTTTTACCACAAACCCAGGAGATCCCGAAAGTAGCAGCAGAGTTGGGAGAATAACTCAAGTACCATTGCAGCGAGCATTCTCAATCCATCATGGTCTCCGTGACTAATTCTGTATTGTGGTGCCCATTATTTCAATATTCCTCTATAAATATTCATAAACTGTCAGCTATGAAAAAGGATCCTGGCTCTGGTTGCATTCCTTTGCTGGAAATGGAGGAAAGAGGGACAAAGATAAGGACAAAAGGAATTAGAAGAGCTCTCTAATCAGTGAAGTTCCATTCATTTACATGAGTGGAGAGAGTCTTTTCCAGGAAGGCCACAGTGGCCTGAATTGCACAAGTGTAGTATATGATTCACTACCAAACCAAAGCTCTGCATTGCTGGTATATCCACACCCCTGGGATATGAAACATCCTGCACCGTAACTAGACAATATCAGCCCATTACTTTGCATGAGCTGGCAGACTGCGGTGGAAGGATTCTCCAACAGCCTGTTCCAACCCTGATCTTGCTTGACAGAAACTGCCATCGTTCCTGACCACTGGGCATGCTGGCTGGGGTTGATGGGAGTTGGAATCCAACAGCACTTGGTGGGCAACAGATTTTTTTTTGGGGGGGGGAGTTGCTGTCATTTTGAATGCTGCGTGCGTGTGCACACACAAAACATACCCTGCATGTAGGAAACAAATACAGTGGTACCTCGGGTTACAGACACTTCAGGTTACAGACGCTTCAGGTTACAGACTCTGCTAACCCAGAAGTAGTACCTCGGGTTAAGAACTTTACCTCAGGATGAGAACAGAAATCGGACGGTGGCGACGTGGCGGCAGCGGGAGTCCCCATTAGCTAAAGTGGTACCTCAGGTTAAGAACAGTTTCAGATTAAGAACGGACCTCCAGAATGAATTAAGTTCTTACCCCAAGGTACCACTGTACATTAGGGCTACATTAAAGTACATATCCAGACCCTCCAAGTGTCCATATTTCCTAGAAGCAGGATTTAGAGAAGCCGCCCCGGTATCTGATTTGATCCTGGAATGTCCCGCTTTTCCTTAGGATGTCCCTATTTTCATCAGAGAAATGTTGGAGGGTATGCATATCATAGGAAAAAGTTTGTCCTCATGTAGGGATGTTTTATATATATGTAATGGCACAGCTTTAAAAGATGTGTTCAGCCTTCACTATCAGAAGCATTATGCCTCTGAATATCGGTTGCTAGGAATCTCTGGTGGGCAGATGGGCTGTTGTACTCATGTCCAGCTTGGAAGCCTCCCACAGGCATCTGGTCAGCAACTGTGAGAACAGGATGCTGGACTAGATGGGTCATTGGCCTCATCCAGCAGGCCTATTTTTCTGTTCTTATGATTCCCCCACCCACAATCTGAAGTGATGCCGGTGAAAATTCCACCTTCTCCTCCTCTGTAATGCCTCTAGATCAGCACTAGCATCGCCTAACTAGGGAACTTCTGTTTTGAAATATTGCATTCATATATAAATAATAATTCTACCCTGCCTTGCTATAAAATAATCAAGGCGGCTTACAATCCATAAAATAACAATAAAACTGAAGCACCAAACGACTTGCAATAAGCTTATTGTAAAAACATACACATAGCAGCAGCAAAACAATATCCCAGAAACGCACGATTATATTTACCATAATCTTGAGGCATTTTAGATCGTAAGCAATTTCTGTGCTTCCATTTTTCAATTCTGTTTGACAGTGTAAGCATTTTAAGAAACCTGAGTGTGTGCCTTTCTTGGTTTGCTCAGGGCATTATCCCGTATAGCATTGTGCCATCTTGCCCTGCAGTCCCAGATCCCCACATTGACCTGGCTATGTTATATATGCACAGCTACAGTGTGCAGACTACAGTTGCCAGCCAACACAATACCACTCCTCCATCTCCACCATATGCTAGAGCACACCAGTTGTACGCATTTTCACAGGATGCTCTAGCCCAGGGGTTGTCAACCTGGTCCCTTCCAACCACTAGTGGGCGTTTCAGGATTCTAGGTGGGCGGTAGCAGGTTCTACAGCAGAAGCTGAATCCTCCTTCCATCGAGCACTGGTGGGCAGTAAGGAAATTTTACCATCAAGAAAGATGCATTACTGGGCGGTAGGTATAAAAAGGTTGACCACCCCTGCTCTCGCCAGAGAGGACTGTGCATACTTCCTGTGGATAGTTGAAAACTGATGAATTTATCATAGAATCATAGAACTGTAAAGTTGGAAGGAATCATGAGGATCATCTAGTCCAACTCCCTGCAATGCAGGATTTTTTGCCCAACATGGCAAAACCCATCACCCTGAAGTTAAAAGTCTCCATCTCCACCAACTGAGCTATGTTTATGATGTTTTTCAGGTCTAAAATAATGGAATTATATGGCTGGATCTTGAAGGTCCCCCAGTCCACCCTTCTGCTCAGTGCCAGGTCAGCAATGCAGGAGGGAATGTTAAAAAGTAAAGATAACGGACCCCTAGATGGTTAAGTCCAGTCTAAGGCGACTATGGGATGCAGTGCTCATCTCACTTTCAGGCCAAGGGAGCCGGCATTTGTCTGCAGACAGCTTTCTGGGTCATGTGGCCAGCATGACTAAACCGCTTCTGGTGCAACGGAACACCATGACGGAAGCCAGAGGGCACAGAAATGCCATTTACCTTCCCACCACAGCGGTACCTATTTATCAACTTGCACTGGCATGCTTTTGAACTGCTAGGTTGGCAAGAGCTGGGACAGAGCAACGGGAGCTCACCACCATCAGGGGGATTCGAACCGCCAACCTTCTGATCAGCAAGCCCAAGAGGAGCTGTTGTTTAAACCACAGCTCCACCCACGTGATAGCATACCTGACACATGACTGTTGAGCCTCTGTTATACTCAAGCAAAGGGGAGCCCTACCATGTCACAAAGTCTGTTCCACTGGAGCCGAGATTGGCTTTTACTGAAAGCGATGCGTAATGAGCACATGAAGTGAAAATGCACATCCACATTCCGCCCTGCATTAACAACCTTTGTACGCACGAAGAATAGCACAAGCGGGTTCTGGTGTACTAATGACCTCACCTACTTCAGGACCAAGCTTAATCACTGGGGTGGCACGTGCTGAGTGTCATCGTACAGCCCGTGCCAATTTCCTATGAAGTTGTGAGGGGGAAGCATTTCTAGTGAAGCATGAGCAGGTGCAAGGAAGATTCTGGTGCTTTCCCTGCCAGATCTCTCTTCCCCCACCCCCAGTCAGCCTGCTCATCCCTCCCTCTTCTGTGTTGACGTTGCTGGTCTGGCTACATATGGACCTGTGCTAGGATGAGTTCATTGTTTCTGTGCAGCTTAGACCTATCTTCCAAGAAAACGAGGAATCCTGAGACTCCAAGTTCTTTTTCTGAAGTAAAAGCAAGGCTTTTTTCCCAGCCAGAACTTACCAGAATTCAGTTCCGGCACCTCTCAGGTGGGCGCCATTGCCATGATCGGAGAAGTGTTCACGGTGAGTTCTGGCACCTCTTTTTCTAGAAAAATAGCACTGAGTAAAAGTAAATGTTATCTATTGCCACATCCAAACTGTCACTATCGGGGGGGGGGGTGTTAAATCACGTACCAGGAAATTCAGGTTGTCTGTGTATAGTTGATTGGGAGTTTTTGAACAGAATCCCCCGCCCCCCACTCAGATATGGGCTTTTTGCAACAAGGAAAGTGACAAAGGTAAAAGGTAAAGGTAAAGGACCCTTGGACGGTCCAGTCAAAGGCGACTATGGGGTTGCAGCACTCATCCCGCTTTCAGGCCGAGTGAGCCGGCGTTTGTCCACAGACAGCTTTCCCGGTCATGTGGCCAGCATGACTAAACCACTTCTGGCACAACACAGCACCATGACGGAAGCCAGAACGCACGGAAACGCCGTTTACCTTCCCGCCGCAGAGGTACCTATTTATCTACTTGCACTTCGTGCTTTCGAACTGCTAGGTTGGCAGGAGTAGGGACTGAACAATGGGAGTTCACCCCGTCGCAGGGATTCAAACCGCCAACCTTCTAATTGGCAAGCCCAAGAGGCTCAGTGGTTTAGACCACAGTGCCACCTCACTGCAAAGTGAGGGACAACACTTGCTCGACGTAATGTTTTCTAACTTCCTTGAAAAGAGAGCCAGAGTGGTACAAGTGTTTTGACTAGGACCTGGGAAGCCAGGGTTTAAATCCCGTCTCAGCCATAAAGCTCACTGGGTGACCTTAGGTCAGTCACCCACTGATCCAAGGTATCATAAAAGGGATGTTGTGGGGTTTAAATGAGGAAGGAGAGAACCCGCAGAGGTCGCCTTGAGCTCTTTGGCAAAAAATGAAGGATATAAGTGCAATTAATCAATCAGCAAATTTAAATGTTGTTGGCATCTGTCTTTCTCAAGAATGACTGGATATATTTGAATGAATGCTCGATAAATAGATGGTGCCATCTAACCTCCCTGCAAACAAATCAGGATGAATTCCCAGTAAACAGGTAATCAGGAAGTGACCTATCATAGCTGCCGCAGTTCCTGACATGTACTTTAATATCAATTACTGTATTTTTCGCTCTATAAGACGCACCAGACCACAAGACGCACCTAGTTTTTGGAGGAAGAAAAGAAAAAAAAATTCTGAATCTCAGAAGCCAGAGCAGCAAGAGGGGATCGCTGCGAAGTGAAAGCAGCAATCCCTCTTGCTGTTCTGGCTTCTGGGATAGCTGCGCAGCCTGCATTCGCTCCGTAAGACGCACACACATTTCCCCTTACTTTTTAGGAGGGAAAAGGTGATTCTTATAGAGCAAAAAATATGGTACATTGCTGCCCCCCGCTACTACGATATGTTTGCACTCAGAAAAGATGGAGTGCTGCAGATCAAGTAGGAACAGTGGTGTGACAAAATGACATCTTGGTGTTATCCACATCTTCCAAGTGAAATCTTTCTGAGGTTTTCAAAATTTCAAGGAATCTGCAGAAATCACTGTTCTCTTAAGGTACACGCAACAGAGCTCTGCATAACACAACTTCAGTTGCCAACATTATCATCCCATTGCAGACCTGATGTTCTTTTTTCCCCAGTTATAAGGGATCACAAACATTATAGGAATAATTTTCAAAGGATGAAAAATAAACATCTTGCTCATTCATTTCAAAACAGGAGTGTGGGCAGCTCCTCTTGGCAGTGAAGGCTTCCCCAAAGCTTATGCAACCATTTTAAGCAAAAGGAGGGGGGGAGAATGAGTTTCTGCTCTGCTTCACTCATCTTCTCCCATTTATGTTAAAGTCTCTCCTTTGTCACCCTAGTAACAATTGACCAGGGTAGGACATTGGAGGCAGGACAGGGGGGCAGGGGGGAGTGGATACATGTCTCCATGTCAGTCTGCCATAAGGTTTGTGGAATCAGATGTTCATTGCTGCAGAGAGGGCAGGAGTGGGCTTGTGATTCCCAGCTTGGCCATCAGGTTTAGTAAGAAACCTGTGATGACAGTCACAATAAGTTATGCTTCCCTCTCAGATTTTCTGACACTGCATCAAGCAGCTATTCATGGCCAGAAATCTTCCACCCTAACCTTTCGTTGGGAAGAGAACGATTCATTTATATCCCGCAATGGATCGTCCTCAGTAAAACAATTACTGAATCACGCACATATTAGCTTTCAGAATATTTAGAACAAGCCAAATTGACAGATATAATAAGGCAAAAACCAAAAAGTGAAGTGAAAAAGGAATGGGAGTGTCTAAATGAATACCTTAAAAGCCAAGGTTTGAGGACAGAAATCTGGCTGAGTCTGGAATAACCTTGTGAAGTGAAAGGATAAGGAAGACGGATTTATATCTGGATGCTAGGATAGAGATGATAAGGAAAACAGGAAGACACAATGAGAGGTAAAGGATTGGTGGAAGTCAATGTTTGTTTTTCTTTTTAGTGTTTATATTATTAACTTGTAAGATATGGATTTGGTTTTTTGAATGTTGGTTTTTGTGTTTTGTGTATTGTTATTTTTTGTGTTGTGTGGAAAATACTAATAAAATTATTAATTATTATTATTATTATTATTATGAAGAATAAGAATAAGAACCATGTGCATATTGGCATCTCAAAACTGCTAATACAGTTGCTGAAGGGAGATCAGAGCGGGATTTGTGAGGCCTGGGGAGATTAGAATGCTGCATCTCCAGCTTGTTGCCATTGGCTACAGGCTATTTGTGACATCACAAAAGCCCATGGCAGCTGAGTGTATATAAAAGTGAGCCTTTCCCTCTTGCCCTGCAGAACACAGTGGGCAACGGCTGTGCTATTCAGCATTGCCCAGTCATCTTCTAGCTAGAGGCAGCGAACCGGCAGAGGGATGGAAGTGATCACATGACAGTGGCACGCTGTGAACTACTAACCAACTCACTGAAGGCAGCCGATATCCATGGCCAGAAGTGATGGACCTAGTGGAAACTGGCAGAAGGTGGGTGGAAGCCAGCAGAACTCGTGTTTGAAAACCAGTTGGTGCCATAAGGCTGGTGTTTGTGGATGTAAGCTGGTTGATCTTCACCTTTGGAAGCCCATCAGATAACAGAGTTTTGTGGTGTGCCCCTCCCTAGTGTCTGTACACTGGAAAGGTGGGCTATAAATATATATATTTTTAATAATAAATGAATCACTGCTGAGGTGCCCCCACAACTGCGAGGCCAGGGGGAGCTGTGTTGATGCATCCCCAGCAGTTGCCATTGGCTGCGAGCTGCCTGTGATGTCACAAAAGGACATGGAGTTGAGAGGAAAGAGGCCATTATTAGTAGTAGGAGGGAGGGAGGGAGGGAGGGGCCTCAGGAGAAGGAGGCTCAGAGGAAGTTGAGGTCAGCAGGGAGGAGGATGGGGACAAGCTACAATTAATTGACTCTAGTTCTCATTGGCTTTCACTCAACCTACTGTTGCTCCCCCTGCCTTCTGCTGACCAGTCTCAGCAGGCACCAGCCACCACTGAAGCTAAGGGTTGGGTTAGGTCTGTTAAATGTATTGCATTAGTTGTGAGAATTCCAGGAAAATACTAACAGTCCTTATGTTAAAAATGCATTACATGGGATGACCTGCCACCAAACCTGAATCTGTGGCGGCTTCAAGGCAGCAAAGTACACCTGAGGTGGAACCAACCTAGGGTAAGCAGACGCAAAGGAGAGTTGGGCTCTTAGTTCTTTACATGATATACCGTATTTTTCATCCCATAGGACGCACCGGCCCATAGGACGCACCTAGTTTTTTGGGGGGAAATAAAGGGAATTTCCCCCCCCTTTATTTCCCCCCCAAAACCAGGTCGGGGAATCCAAACCAGGTCGGGGAACAGCGGGATGGTGGCGCTGCGCCTCCCCGCTGTCCCCCGAGCTTGTGGGGCTGCCCGATGTCTGCCCGAAGCGCAGGGCGCTCTGCTTCAGCGCTCCCCGCACTCCACGCAGCAGGCTGCCATCCGCAGCCTAGGGAGCCCTGTGGGAACTCCCGCGGGCTCCCCAGGCTTGCTGATAGCTTCCTGAAGCCTGGAGAGCGAGAGGGGTCGGGGCGCCCCGACCCCTCTCGCTCTCCAAGCTTCAGCGAAAGCCTGCATTCGCCCCATAGGACGTACACAGATTTCCCCTTCATTTTTGGAGGGGAAAAAGTGAGTCCTATAGGGCGAAAAATACGATAATTGCTGTTTAATATAATTATAATTGCATTGTTTAAAAACAAATTGCAATAAGTAAAACTAAATTATTTTTTTAATAAGCAAGTAGTTTTTTGGGGGGGAATCAGCAGATGTGGTCTATTTCTGCATGAGAAGCTGCATTTGCCAAAATTCCCTCTTCTGCATAGCTATTCAAGCAGGGATAACTGAATGTGGTAAGTGGGATCTGTGCTATGTTCTGGGTCCATTGAAGGTCAGGAGACGAAAGGAGGAATGGACCTCTGTGCCTTTAACATAGGGGTGGAGAACATGCAACCCCTGCAGCTGTTGGTGGGCTACACCTTCCCTCATCTCTGATTACTGACCTTGTCAAACATGCATCCTCCCCATCCCAGCACCCTGAAATGGAGCCCCTGAGCTGCAGGCTACTAGGGTGGTCTCCTTATCCCCAAGGACTCCCCCAGTCTCTGCCTTCACCTAGCGAAGCTGGTAACACACCCAGCTTAAAATAACTGAGTAGCAGTTATTTAGAGCCTATCTTACTATGCTCTAGATCAGCCTTTCTCAACCTATGGGTCCCCAGATGTTGTTGAACTACAACTCCCATCACCCCTAGCTAGCAAGGCCAGAGCTCAGGGATGATGGGAGTTGTAGTCCAACATCATCTGGGGACCCACAGGTTGAGAACCGCTGCTCTAGATAGTACTGCCTCTTTAAACTCCTCCTTCCACCCCAAAGAAATGGACCCTCAGATAAGTAACTAGGCTGAGAATATGGTGGGCTCCAGAGCAAGTTTATCAGGCTGGAGCTGTCCAGGGTCCTGCCATCCAGGCCAACCTTCCCTGCTACAAATGGATGCACCACCAAGTTTTTGCTCCCCTCCAACTTCCTATTGCCTCAGGTGTTCCTTATCTGGACATGACAAGCTTGAAGTGTCTAAGTCAGGCATAGGCAAACTCCAGATGTTTGGGACTACAATTCCCATCATCCCTAACCACTGGTCCTGTTAGCTAGGGATGATGGGAATTGTAGTCCCAAACATTTGGAGGGCTGGAGTTTTCCTATGCCTGGCCTAAGTCCTTCATTCCAGCGGCCTTAAGTCTGTCCCAATGATTCCAGATGCAACACAGCAGAGTAAGTTCCCCAGATCAGCGACACTCTTCTGCTCTTGCACAGGCCCTGCCTGCAATTTATCAGGTACCAAACATTCCTTACCCTTCTCACTTAACAATGAATGAACAATGCTGGCTTTTGCCACACTTATTCATTACTCAATACATCTTTTAGGAGCCATTGATTTTGCTCTTATGTATTTCACTTCAACCTATTGATCTGATTAGTCTCTGTAATTCAAGCTAAATTAGCTGTCATTTAGTGGAGGTATAATTTGTCAGAAGTCAGCTGCTGGGTGGCCTGCAGTTATTTTGGTGTACATTAGTTTCTTCAGTGCAGGAGAGCAAGACTGTTTGTACGATCAAAGTTACATACTTAATGGATATAGTCTGTCTGCTAAGAGACTAGCCAATGGCTCAGCAGGCTTACTGTACAAATGGGAAAGGATTGGATGTTCCATTTAGTTTTCAACAAAGGAAACAACCATCTTCTTTTCTTACAAAGTCACAGGATTTCCATCATCTCGTGATCATGTGTACCTGAGATGCTGTGGAGAAGGTACACTTCCCAACTGGAAGCAGATGGGAACGCAACCATTTGAGATCAGAGAGACCTTTTTTATGGATCTGCAGTGAAGTGACTGCTTACTTATTTACCTATGTTGACAATTTGTATACCACTTAATCACAGTCCCCTCTATAGGGTGTACAGGAAACTCGGTACAATGAAACTAAAAATGAGTTCAAACAAGAAAATCACTATGGATTCAAAACTCCTGCTGGTGTGACGAAAAAGTTGGTTTTGCTGGACAGATTGGGACAGTAAGTGTTTCTTTCTTTCTTCCCTGCCAGCAGATGGTTAATGAATGGCAACTTCTGATTGGCTGTGGTTCCAGGAGGGAGAGTTTAAAAGGAGAGGATTTGAGGAGAGACAGTCAGGAGTTGTGGGAGCTGAGAGGGTTGGAATTGAAGTTGGAGAGGTTAGGAGATAGTAAAGGTAAAGTTAAAGGGACCCCTGACCATTAGGTCCAGTCGCAGACGACTCTGGGGTTGTGGTGCTCATCTCACTTTATTGGCCAAGGGAGCCAGCGTACGTGTTATGTACTGAGTTGAATAGGATCCAAACTGCAGCAGTCTGATTGGTCCTAGAACAATAGGATTCAGAATGCAGCGGTCTGATTGGTCCTAGAACAATGCAGCAGTATGATTGGTCGGCAGGAGCCACCCAATCCAGCTCCAGATAGAAGTGAATCCACAACCTGATTGGCTTACAGGAGAATTCCAGAATTAGCCAATCACGTGCAGCCCATTGTGTAAATAATGTATATAAAGCAGATACTTTGAGGGGACTTCCATTCCCTCCTCACCACTATGAGCTGAATAAAGAGCATGAAATCCACTCTCGACTCTGAGTATATTTCAGTACAGCTTCCGGGTCATGTGGCCAGCATGACTAAGCCGCTTCTGGCGAACCAGAGCAGCTCACGGAAACCCCGTTTACCTTCCCTCCAGAGCGGTACCTATGTATCTACTTGCACTTTGACATGCTTTCGAACTGCTCGGTTGGCAGGAGCACGGACTGAGCAACGGGAGCTCACCCCGTCGCAGGGATTCGAACCGCCGACCTTCTGATCAGCAAGCCCAAGAGGCTCTGTGGTTTAACCCACAGTGCCACCTGCGTGCCGTGAAAGGGGTTAACCCTCCTCTAAAACTCCAAATACAGCAAAACCAGCAGTTTTAGACTCAATATTCACATTCCCCTCCTCCCAAATTCTTCCTAGCTCTCGACGCACATGCAGGAAGGAGTCTTTCAGATCCTTAAATGAAAAAAGAGAGAGGAGCCTTTTCTGTTTTGATTAACAAGAGAGTCTTCCTGGGAGGCTTTAGTGCTTCCTTCTTTTCAGCGGCTGGCTTGTTTAATTTAGCCCTCTCATAATAGCCGCTAAGATAAAGAAAGCTCCTCCAGCAGCTCGCTTTTCCATTGCCACCCCCCTCCACATGCACCTGAGCACCAAACAATGCCAGCCACCATCGCAAAGGTGGTTTATTGAATTCTTCGGGTTGTGACACCTTGGAATATTGGGCTGTCGGAGGCATTTGTGAAAAGCCACATTCTCCGCAGGCACTGTCAGAGGTAGGGGAGAGAATTGGCCTTTGGAGTAATAAGGGACACACCTGCCAGCCCCTCTGCTCCCTGCCTCCTCTTTCTGTTTTCTATCCCTGGCTCCAGGAAGAAATGGATTGTGCCGCTGCTCATTGTTATGGACAAAAAACACAAACCAGCGGTGCTCACTGCCTTGGTCTCATACGCCCACGCATGGTTTGACTGGCATCTCTCCCTCTGGGGCTGCAGGGGCAGCAGCAGGCACACAGGATAGAGGGATTGGATCCTAAGGACACGCTCGCCTGAAGTGCATCGTTTGCGTAAAGGCACTTTGAAGCACGGAACATCTCAGCATCTTAGATATGTAAGCTTAACTGCACATCCGCTCGTGCCAGTCACAGCTACTGCTGAGCACAGGCCCTAAAAAGGCCTGTGTGTGTGTGTGTGTGTGTGTGTGTGTGTGTGTGTTACTGCTCTATATCCTTCAACCAGGGAGGCAGAAGAAAATATGAACTACGGAGAATCCTGTGGTACAAAAAGGCACAAGGTATGGTTCAAATGAAGCTTGAGGAGGTTCTAGCAGGGGAGCGCAGCTATCGTGTACCCTTGACTGAAGAATGGTACACTCCTTCTATCCGGGATGGTCGTCCTTGGGGCGATCACACAGGGTCTCCGGACGTTTCACCGTCTATTAATCCCTGTGCCACCACTTTATTTCTCGCTGCCGCCACCCAGGCCCTACTTGGGACAATACTGAGTCCCGTCAGGGTTAAATTGAAACATAAACTTTTGTTTATTTATTGTAGTTTAACAAGCGTGTGGTTTCATAAACGGTATCAGTCAATTACATTCATGGGGTGCCTATCCAGTCCTATAACTTTCACTACCTGCTCTCACTCACTAAACCACCTCTCTGATATTTACTTGTCTGCCTAGCTTGTCTGTTCCTGACACAGCCTATTTTGTTACACTAACTCAACCTACTCACAAACTCTATCCCAATTCACTCCCACTCCAACCAACCACCCAACTCCCAACCAACTCCTCCCTTTGCCCCTCCCAGAGCTGGTTTTATAGTCCCACTGACTCCACCCCCCTGGGTCCTGACTGGACAACCTGTTTAACTATTTCACCTCCAGCACTCATATGTTAACATCTCAGTCCTCTTCCACCGAGCCCGTAGCTTCAGGAGGGACGCACATGGAGTGAGCGTGAGGTGGAGTGGTGAGGGAGGAAGGGGACACCCGCCTAGCCAGCCAGATCAGCTGAATCAACCCTGGCGATCAATGGGGTGACAGATGTCACAGCCAGATCGCCCTCACATCCGAATGAAGCTTGAAGTAACAATGTCTCTGAAGAAATAATAATAATACCCCACCCATCTGACTGGGTTGCCCTAGTCACTCTGGGCAGCTTCCAGGATATGCAGAAACATAATAAAACATCAAACATTAAAAACTTCCCTATACAGGGCTGCCTTCATATGTCTTCTAAAAGTGGTATAATTACTCATCTCCTTGGTACCTGATGGGAGGGTGTTCCACAGGGTGGGCGCCACTACCAAGAAAGAAAACGCACCTTACAGGGTTGTTGTGCGCAGGGGAGAACCATGTACACAACCTAGAGCTCCTTGGAAATGGAAGTGGAATATAAAGGGAACAAAACAAAGAAATATTGATTCTCATGGGCAAGCTTTTTCCCCCCTTGGCGTATAAAAAGCTGCCTTCTACTGAGACAGACCATCGGTTCATCTAGATCAGTATTGTCACCGCTGCCAGGCAGCAGTTCTCCAGGGTTTCCAGCCAGGAGTCCATCTCATTTCTACCTGGAGATGCTGGGAATTGACTCTGGGACATTTTGGGTGCAAAGCATGTGCTCTCTCACTATGCTACGGCCCTTTCCTTTCTTCACAATGGAAATGCTGGGGACTTAGCAACCAACGACGATTGCAAAAGCGGGACTCTGTATCTCAGAATCCCTTGAGACCCACCACTTTTGGGGGCAGAGAACAACCACACAACAGCTAAAGCAGGAGCATCCCATGCCATCCAACCTACGGCAGACTCTTGAAGAAAGCCATTGAGCTGGATTCAACTAATGAGATCCACTTGTGGAAGCCCACAACGGGGCTCTCCCGCTTAAGGCTCCTAGAGAGAAGCCTCTCTTGAGTTTTGGACTGGGGTTTGGGGAGAATGCAGCAAAAGGAGATAGCCAGTGTGGTGTAGTGGTTAAGAGCAGTAGACTCGTAATCTGGTGAACTGGGTTCGCGTCCCTGCTCCTCCACATGCAGCTAGTCACAATTCTTTGAAGTCTCTCAGCCTCACTCACCTCACAGAGTGTTTGTTGTGGGGGAGAAAGGGAAAGGAGAATGTTAGCCGCTTTGAGACTCCTTCGGGTAGTGATAAAGTGGGATATCAAATCCAAACTCTTCTTCTTCTTCCCCTGTGGTCCCAGAAGATTTGCTCTGGGGTGGAGGGTCAGGAGAACCCACAACAAAGCACAAGGGGAGAAGGGGAGGGTCATTCCACCAAGCAAGCTGAAATGCTTGCACCAATGGAAGGATTGCCATAGCACCTTTTGGCTTCGGCTGGAAGACAACGAATGACTCCTTCAAAAACTGCAGGTTCCTCAAAACGCAAACCACCAGCAGCAGCTCAAAATCACCTGACAACGCAAGCAAGTTGGCAGCCTGAATCCCCACTCTGTGAAAAAAGAACTTGGTATGAATTATAAATGCTCATAAGGAGATTTTAACATCATTTCTGTTTCCCTGAATTATATATCCTTGGTAGCCAGGGAATCTCACTGCTTGCCAACAGGAGCAGCTACCTGTAGCATACGGAGCGGTGCTTAATATCTTGCCACATTTTACTTGTAACAACAAGAACTGAACTGTTGCTTGCTGACAAGTCCTTAGATACACACAGCTCCTGCTTGTTGTCTTCAGGAAACCCTAGTGATCTGAATTGAGGAACCCGACATTGAGGAATTCAGAATTACTGACTCTCCAATGGCTTTATCTAAGTTTGCCTTAGTTGAACAGATTTTATTGCCTCTGAGCAGTTGTGCGGCTTCAAATACCGGCTTGTGCAATTCAAAAGATATGTGAAATGCCTGGGATCATCCATCTCTGGAGACTGAAAGAATGACACTGTCAATAAGGAGACTGAATTTTTTTCTACTGCATCTCACTTTGAGGGGCTTGCGCACACAGTGACATAGAAAACTGTCATACTGCAAGTTGCTCCCATTAAAAACATTGGCTGTTTTCTGTGTGAGAAGCAAGCTCTCTCGCAAGGCGACACTTCCTCCAAAAACGCTATCTCCTTTTGCTGCATTCTCCCCAAACCCCAGTCCAAAACTCAAGAGAGGCTTCGCTCTAGGAGGCTTAAGCAACACAATTCAGAGTGAAGCTAAGCTATTTGTAATTATCACAGTTAAGCCATTCTGCTCCTTTGTTCTAAGAACATAAAGAAAGCTCTGCTGGATCAGGTTCAATGCCCATCTAGTCCAGTGATTCCCAACAACTGACATTCAGAGGTCTGCTGCCTCCAACAGTTCAGGCAGAATATAGCCATCATGACTAGTAGTGATTTACAGCCTTAGTCTTCATGATTTTGTCTAAACCTCCTGTGAAGCCGTTCAAGTGATAGCCATTGCTACCTCTTGTGGGAGCTAATTCTACAATTTGACTCCTGAGTGCTTTCCATTCTCTTGTCCTGAATCTTCACTCATTCAGCTTCTTTGGAAGTCCCCAGATTCTAGGAAAGAAAAACCTATCCCTAAGGGGGACACAGGATGCAGAAGCTATCTGCAACTTGAACACATAACATCCTTATATTTTGACTCTGACTGCCAAGGCCTGATGAGGAAAGCACAAAGGCACAGTATTTTAAACACTCATCCCTCCAATGAAAGATATCATGGGGGGGGCAGTTAATAGTGTTTATAGCTGAATGGTCGCAGGGCAGGAATAAATATAATATTACAACAATAATTAACTATATCTCTAGAGGCTAAAACATGTTAACCGTTAAACCATGCACAAAACGTCAGTAGCAACCAACGTGTCACTGAAGAAACAAATACAAACAAATTTTACTAAGCTTTTGGGGGAACCTCTGGAACAGGCATGGGGGTACACTAGGATGCACAGGGGGAGGAGAAGAGGGAAAGTTCCATTGCATGAACGGACCTTGTTCCCTGCATACACACCCCACTTAGCACCAAGGTGAATTCCTCCCATCATTTCCAACATTAAACACCATCTCTCACAACAACCTGGGCAAAGAGCACTTAACCTTTCTCTTGGGGCTCCTCTAGACAACCAATTTATTGACGATTCATCCCAGTTTCATTGCACAAAGCTTATGCAGTGGTTAAACTATGCCCTGTTTTTATTGAGCATTCATTCTGATTTCTCTGTGGGGAGGTTATATAACAATGAGCACCCATCCTGTTTTGCTTGTGGGGTGCCTGTATGTCTTTGCATTAATCATTTGTTCATACCACACTTTCCAGAGCGTTTCCCATCCACTTCCCTAACTGCAAGAAGCTCTTTTAAAAAGTGGATTTGATGCACTACAGCAACAGAAGGCTTTAACCCACTTTGTGCAAACTGAAATTACCAGTATCTGCTTGAATGCCTGGAGGCAACCCCTAGATACTGTCCCCTTTCTCCCTTCCTCTGCATAGTTCTTGTCCTTTGAGCATCTTCTAGTGAATTCATACCCAAAGCCTTGAAGGACTGAGCCCTATGCTCTGACTCCAGCTTGGCCTCGACCTGACCTGAGCCCTCTTCATTCCTCCTCCTGCAAGCAGAGCTCACCAGCTCTTGTTATTAAACCTACATACAATTCCAATTTTCATAGAATTAATAGTACAAATACCTCTAGTTTAGCAAATACCACAGGCAGACTCTCAAACAGGGGAACCTCAGGACTGGTGGCCAAAAGTGTTTTTACCTGGCTACAATTGGTACCTGATATCACCTCTTGCTTGCCTGGAAGAAGGATGGACAGAAATGTGCAGAAACTTGCCTACTGGGCAAAGGTAACCTTTGCATTTGTTGCTCTACACACTGTTGACTCTGGCCCTGCCTAGCATGTGGCCCCTGGCAGGGAATGTGGCCCTTGGTATGAAAAAGGATCCTCACCCCTGCTTTAGAATGACAAATAGGTCTTTAATGGCTGGATGTCTTTGCCTAATTCCTTATGCATTTGTGTCCTTCTGTGCCAGGGTAGCTCTGACACTTCCTGCCTTTCCTCCCACCCTCTTTCTGCTCATCTGAAGCAGGGCCTCTTTTCCTTCCTTCTGTCATATGACACTGTTGTTGCATTAGCAGCCTCTCAGATTGCCTCGAGCAATCATTTTTGTTTCTCTTGAGTTGTGGCTGAGGCCAGCGGTCTCATCATAAATTAATGAGAGAGCTGTGGAACTCCCCAGTCGGAAGGTGCAGGTTTTGAAATTATTAAAAGCATCAACTTTCATTTGAACAGCAACACACACACACACACACACACACACACACCAGCACACCCCGACAGTGAAGTAGCAATCTCAAGCAAGCTGGAACACACATGGACTGACAAACCCTACGTCTACAAGGATCTCATCTTTCCTTCTGCCACCAGCATCAAGTTCATAACTGAGTCCTGACTTCAGCAGGGAATTCCCCATCAACTAAATATTGGAAAGAAAAACTCACCTTCTCGTAACAGCACATTCCTTGCCACTCCAAACAAATCCTTCTGTTATTTTTGCAGCAGGAAGAATAACCAATTGGTCAAAGAAACTACCTCTCCATGGTCCCCTAGGCTGTTTGTTTTACTAAAAAAACTTGCTTCCCAAAAGGAAACTGATCCACTCTACCCTTATTAATCTTTAACCAAGAACAGTCAATGTACACAATCAAGCCGGGCTAAGGTGCACAGTTTAAGGAAGATGTGGGTAGACAGTGATTGTGATGAGAGAACAAACCTGCATTTTAGCGGATGGCATGAAGGTAAAACGTACTGACCTGCTGCTGTGCTGAAATGCAGAGCCTTTCTTCTTGGTTTGTCATGGCCTTCCTGTAAATAACAACAATGACTAATCAACAACAGCATGAAAATAGATGGTTTGATGATGTGTCACAGAGCAAATTCTCTTTCCATTTTCACTTGGGTGTGCAGGAAAATAATGGGAATGAAAACTGGAGTGGGCACTGGAGGAATTTGCTGAGGGATGAAAAGATGCGACACAAGTGTGTGCCAGGCAAGAAGGGAATCTTAGCCAAACAGCAGCATGAGACAATCAAGTCAAATGGAAATGTGGACAGCTGAGACGGCTGAATTCACAGAAACATTACGATAGGGAAGCACCTGAGCAAGGATTTGTTCAATTATCAGCCTCACATCTGGACAGCTGAGGTTTGTACCTTGCAAGCGTGTGAGTGAGTGGCATTTCAGGCTTTCTAAAATGGGGGCTGACTCACAAGATTTTAGCTTTGTCTGATTTGGGCACCTAGCTATTCAATACAGTGACTGGTTCCAAGCAGGTACCTCTTTACCGTTCCCCTCTCTCCCCTGCTATATATTACCTTTAAAAACCAATCACTCGAAGCCTTACAATGCACCCACTGAAGTCTCTTGTTGGATCTTGAGTTCCAGCTATGAGGAAGTCGGATGCTATGCACCTGGCAAGTCCAGGTTTTGCTGCACCCCAACTCCCATCAGCCCCAGCCAGCATGGTTGATGGTCAGGCATGATGTGAGTCCAGCAACATTCGGAGGGCCTCATGTCCTCAATTTATCCTTTTCCCCAGCCGTGCTATCTGTGATTTCCTTATGGGGAAATGCACAGAACTAAATCTGTGAACTATCACTGAATGACAGCCACTCCTTGAAAGGAAATTTGTGGTCCACATTTTTAAAAAATAGAAAATACTGTATTTTTCTGTCTAGAAGATGTGCCCATGTATAACACACACACACCCTATTTTTGCGGCAACGACCAATCGCCAGTCCACCCTTGCCACTATCCGTGTATAAGACGCCCCCTAATTTTTGACATTATATTTTAGGGGGAAAACCTAGTCTTATACACGGGAAAATACGGTAGTCAATGTCAGCTCCAGAGAGAGCCCTTAGGCAAGACACGCACGATAGGGCTTCTTCCCTCAGTGAGCCCACCTCCTCATGGCAACCTGTTCAGTGGAGTCTTGTCAGTGGGCACTCAGAAGATGTCTGACTATGCTGGTGTCAGCTCTGAAAACAATACATAGCAATAATAATAGTTTATTGAAAAGCAGAATAAAGTTGCACAAGTGTACATCCTGGTGCTGTTAGGACAAGTTGTTGAATACTGCCCATGGATACTCAGGGCTGGTCCTACCATTAGGCAGAGTGAGGTATTGGCCTTGAGCAGCCAGTGCAAGAGGGGAGTGACAGCAAGATATTGGAGGGCAGAACTCTGTGTCCTTTTTAAAATAATAATAATAATAATAATAATAATAATATTTATTAATTTTCCAACTGTTTAAACACAACAAAACAGAAAAACAAAAAAACAAAAAAACCATAAGACTAACAAAACAAGACACAAACCATTTAAAACACAAAACAATTTCGATATCTTAACTTTCATTCCCTTATTTCCACGACCTCCTCACACCTCCCTTTTTGTATTCCACTTCTGTTAATTGTTTCAGCAATTCCTTTCCATCTTCCTCTGTTTTCTATCCTATAATTACCTTAACATATTCTAACCTTATTTTCCCTTTAATACTCTATTAATCTATTTATACTTGATTCCTTATAGCATTTCTGCTAAAGCCATATAACTTCATTCCAACATTTTTCTAACATTCATTATTTTTACAGTATTTCTATAAATAGTCTTAAACTTTTTCCGGTCTTCTTCCACCGACTCTTCTCCCTGGTCTCGGATTTCTGCCAGTCGTTTCCGCCAATTCCATATAGTCCATCAACTTCATCTGCCATTCTTCCCGAATAGATAAATCTTGTGTCTTCCAGTACTTCACAATGAGTATTCTTGCTGCTATTGTTGCATACGTGAAAAAGTTCTATCCTTCTTTAACACCAATTGGCCGACCATGCCCAGGAGAAAGGCCTCTGGTTTCTTCAAAAGAGTATATTTAAATACCTTTTTCATTTCGTTATGAATCATCTCCCAAAGTGTCTTAATCCTTGGGCATGTCCACCAAAGGTGAACTCTAATCCTCAAATTCGTCTGTTTTTCTTTAAGTTCAGTCATAGCAAGCGTCAACTTATGTTCATCAAATTGCCTCTGTAGGGCTGGGGCTCTCTTTCTCTTTCTCTCCAGTTGTGTTACTTTACATTCAGCAACAACAGCTTTTCCCTGGCTTCCTCCGCAGTTTGCCGTATCAAAGTAGGTTCCTGTATCAATTTCTGGGTGGTTTCTGTATTGGTATTATTTATACTTTCTGTATTTAAGTTAATTTTAGTAATTGAAACATCCACTTTCGCATTTATCGTGTCCATTTTCCTGTTAAGCTGATCCAATGAGTCATTTATCTTATATAATGCAGCCACTAAAGCCTCTTCTGTCGACATTCCTCCTGGTTTTAAATATACTGGTACAAAGGCTGCAACAGAAGGAGCAGGGGGGCCTGATGATGGACCTCTCCTGGATCATTGCCAAGTCCTCCCAGACCTTAATGTTTTGTCAGCAGTTGACTGGTCTGTTTTTCCTTCCATTTACCATAACACTTAAAAGATTCAAGGTCAGTCCCAGAGTCTCACGGTTTTTAACTTGCAGCTGAAAATTTCCCTAGCCCAGCTCTTGTAAAGCAACCGGTTTCAAAGGCTTCCACTAGGGGAAAACAGTTTCTATTTGTAATAGTCAATAGTATCCTCTTTTAAACAATCCAAAATTAGTTTCGAATTAGTTTCAATTTTCAGTTACTTTTACTCCTTTTTAAAGCAGCCGGAGACAGTAGAAACAATGTATTTCTCTTGTTTAACTAGCTGTCAATGAACTTTCTAAATGCTGTCAATGAACATTCCAAAAGACATCAGTCCTGCTAGCAGCCCGTTTCCAGGGTCAGAGCGGCGGTGTTTTAAATCTCTTCGCTCTCTCCCACAGGCATACTCAATCCGCAACTTCCCCCTCTCTTCTCCTGCCTCCAAGAGGGGGTTTAATGTTCTTTACCGATGGAAATTTAATCTTTTACAAAAGGCTTTCCAGGACTCCAGCTTGCAACTTCATTGCCTCAGTCTATTTAGAAAAGGGGAAGGCGGACTTCCTGTTTTGAACCTCCCGGTTACGATACCAAATTAAACATTTAGAAATTCAATTCTTCCGCTTCAGCTCTACTCACGGGTAATTACTTTAAAGTCAAATTGTCCACAGGAAAAGGTCAGCGCTCTCCGGCAACAGCTATGCGGCTTCGCTCTGTGGAAGAAGCAGACGATTCGATGCACCGCGCCGCTCACCCCACATCGCTCCGGAGCCCCAAAAAACGGGGTTCCCCGCGAGTGGGGGAGGCGCAAAAGGTGCCCGCCGAATCCCACGCTCACAGGCTTCTCCCGCCTGTGATTTTAACGGGTCTCCGCCTTCGCCGTGGCGGCCAGACCCAGATTCCCACGGAGCAGATTCCTCCCGGTCAGAGGAATTCAGCCATTACCGGAGGCGCCTCCCCGGAAGTCCCGAACTCTGTGTCCTAAGGTAGTGTGCTGCCCTCAGGTGCAGCAAAAGATGCTAGCCCATCCTTGGTCCAGTCTACTTGGCTTCTGCACATGGAATGGGCAGGGCAGGATACCAATTTGTCCTTTGCCACAGGCATCACAAAGTCTTGGGCTGACCCCACGTTTGAAATCCCAACACCTGAGCCCAGTTTCTTGACATCACCCAATCATAAAACTTGAAACTACAGCTGTGCAGCAGCAACTAGGCTTTCTTCAAAGTAGGAGGCGCATATAAAGACAGCCCTAGACTTACTTCTCTCACACCATGCCAACTCATAAAAACACTAACAAGGCAATGTGCAATAAAACCACCATAAAATTATTATTAATTAGTGTAATTTTCTTTATTTGCTAGCAGTGCTTTTGCCAAATTAGTCGAAGTTTTTTTAAAAGTATGGTATAATGCAAATAATATGCAATTGTGTACTAAACATCAAAGAAATAAAGATATTTGATAATACAGATTGCAGTATATATCATTATATACTAAACATCATATAAATAGTGAGGAGATCTGATAAAATACTGTTAGAAAAGACACGAGAATAAAAATATTGCTCATGCATTATTTGTCTCCCCTCAGCTTTTCCCTATTTTTATCATTCCCCGCCCCCCCTCTTTAGAAATACCAACAGCATTACAAGCATCATAAAATTAGAAGAGCATAAAATACAGGACAAATAGGTAAAGAATATAAACTCATCAGCACAGAGCCCAAACTGTGTAATGCTTTGAAACTCCCTGCAGTGATTTAACACACACCATTGTCCATCTCCTCACTCACCAGGCATGCAGCTATCATGGACAAGTCATGCTGCTGAGCTTTGCCTCTCAACGCCTCCGTCAATATATCAATAGAGGGCACAAATCTGCAGTGACACCACAGTTATGTCCCCGTCAAACAGCATCACAGCTCACATTGCAGTTTACCCTGAAAGCTACTCTGATGTTCCCAAAGTAGCCTTTTGTGAGGAGGCGACACTCCTCTTGGTCCGTAACCACCTCACCAACTGATG